CAAGGTAATAAAGTGAGAATTTGGGAGTGTGAGAGGAGTAGAGCGAGAGGGCGAATATGCCCTCGCCTTGGGCGAGGAGTAGACTGAGGGGGGTTCTCTTTCCCCCGCCTTTCCCGACTTTCAAAACGAGCTTTCTTCAAACATTTAATTGTGTTAGGGGATAATTAGGGATATGTGAGGATAGGAAAAATTAGGGATAGATAGGAGTAAATTGGAGGATAAATAGGGGTAAAGAGGTTTAAATGAGTACAAAAAGACTTAAACATTTTATATACTGTTTTCTCACCTATACCCTCCCCCCTTGCTCCGGGAGCCGAGGCCGCCCCAATTGCCGAGGCCGCCCCAATTACTAAGTCTTTTTGTACTCATATACCCCTCATTCACCCTATCTATCCAATGATTTCCCTAAAGATTAACTTTAATTTCCAAAGATTAACCGAGTATAAACCTCCCCGGAGCAACATACCTACCATTTTTTTTTCTTTTACCACCATGAGAAACGTACCATCCCGTTCTTGATACATCGGTCTTGTACTTGATAGTCCACGACTTTACCACAAGGCTACTTGGTGATTGTTGGAAGCCTACACCAACTTATTCTCCATAACCTTACCATGTAATATTAATAACGAAAATTTCCACCTAAAACGAGATTCGAACCTTCGACTGTCGACACATGAGACCAACATCTTGACCACTAGACGACGAGATCTTCTACTGAACGGTTATGATTATTTAATTTACTTTATCCTTTTCAAGAAGTCCATAATGAAAAACGGTTTACCATGCTATTCTTGGTACTTCGATCTTGTACTTGATAGTCCACGACTTTACCACAAGGCTAACATGAGATTAACATCTTGAGCACTAGACTGCGAGATCTTTGGCGGAACGCCTTTACTTATTTAATTTACTTTGTCCCTTTCCCGAAGGTCGTAATGAAAAAGAGTTAATTTAGCTGGGATTCGAACCATCGGTTTACCACTTGGGAGATCATTGTCTTCGCCACTAGATTACAAGATCTTTTGCTTAACGGCTATGATTATATAATTTACTTTATTCTTTTCATGAAGGGTACAACGAAAAACAGGCATACTTGGATTTGAACCTTCGACTTACCACTTGGAAGACTGTTGTCTTCACCACTATGCTACGAGAAATTGTGCTGAACGGTTATGGCTATTTATTTTACTTTATCCTTTTTTCACAATAAATGAAGAGAAGACATCAGAATCATTTTCTCGAAAGACATAGTGAATAGAAGATATGAAGACAGCAAATGAAAAACAGTTATACTTAGATTTGAACCACCGATTTACCACTCGGTAGACCATTGTCTTCACCACTATACTACGACAACTTCTGCCGAATGCGGGGTAATTAATTTACTTTATCATTTTCTCGAAAGACACAAAAGAAGAGAAGACATGAAGACATCAAATGAAAAACAGTTACACTTGAATTTGAACCACGGATTTACCACTCGGGAGACCATTGTCTTCACCACTATACTACGAAATCTTTTGCGGAACGCTTATGGCAAATTAATTTACTTTATCCTTTTCTCGAAAGACATCAAATGAAAAACAGTTATACTTGGATTCGAACGACCGATTTACTACTCGGAAGACCATTCTCTTCACCACTGTACTACGAGAACTTTTGCTGAACGCTTATGGGTAATTAATTTACTTTATCATTTTCTCGCAAGACATAATCAAGAAGAGTTATACTCGGATTCGATTAATCGATTTACCACTCAAAAGTGTGGTATTTACCACTCGATTTACCAATTTATCGATTTACCACTCGGAAGTGTTGTGCTGAATAGCCATGGTTATTTCATTTACTTTATCCTTCACACGAAGTTCAGTCACGATGAAAACATTTTCTCCATGCAAGACTCGAACCATCAAATTGCGAGACCACTGTGGTCTCCCCAAGACTCGACTTCATAATTGACGGGGTTTTTATTTTACTTAAACCTCTTCTCAAAAGGTCATTATGAAACACATTTGATCAGTGAAACCACAGCTTATTAAGACGGGGGCGAAGACAAAATTCACAGCGCCGCGTTTAAAGTTGCAAGAAAAACATGGAGCCCAAAGGACGCAGGAAATAAAACGCCGACAGCGAAAGTCTTAGTATATATGATATTGCTCAATGTAGTGATTGTGGGATTACTACGTACTTGTTCACTGCGACTGCGTGGAGTTTCTTAATACTTAATTAAATATAGTACACGTACATGCACCTCGCATGTCTGTAAATTTCTAGTTAGCATAATAAAATAAAATTTTCCGCGGATTTGAACCATAAACTCTTTAGTTGCGAGACCATACGTTGAATTATCTTCAGCAATAAGCCATCAGCGATTGATGTTAAGAACTACATTTATTTATTTCAAATAAACCCTTTTTAAATGTCATAATGAAAGAATATCGTTTTTCTGACCTCATTCGATCAAGCGGGAAATGATTTTAATTCTTTACTTGAACATGATATCTCGTTCATTGAAAATTGCTTTCCTAACTCCACAAGTGGCTCATTTTTCAACTATACTAAGATATACCACGGTGTACCAATATTCGTATGAGGAAAGCCAAAGCTTTTTTGGAATAACTTTCTATGTCATAAAAAATTCACGGAAATAAGCATTCAAAAAAATTGCAGCCACAAGAGGAATTTGCGGGTTTTTCAATGTGCTCTTCGAACGCTTCAGTGAACAAATGTAACATGCATGAAATGAGATCATGACAGTAATCGTACTCTAGAAGAGCAAGCATATTGGAACCGATATTTTAGGGACATAGACGATTTTCCGGCTGTCATTGAAGAACGAAAGAATTAATTAAAAGTTCTTTAAAAAATGAAATTCGTTGGAATAATGTTCTTTGGTGTCATACTACATTACTTTTTGGCAACTGTTGTTGGCGAATTTCATTCCATCGAAGCAGGGGATCCTGAAATAAGGGATGCGGCAAGGCCACGTGGGATTCTTGCTCCACAACAGGCAGCCGAAGTAATTTACCGAAATATCCTAAGCGGTATAACCGACCGTCCTTGGTCAGATAGCTTTCCTCTACCTCCATGGCGTTGACCCAAATATCATTTACGGAAACGGTAACGTGAAAAACGCAATCAAGGAGAAAAAACTGGGTGCTAAACTTATTCCCGCAAGGCCGAATGAACGACCCGGCTTTTGGCCAATTAACCCTAAGAAGTCTAACATTTTGAATGCTGTGCCGAATCGAAGTGATCAAAGAGGAGAACGCAATTTTGGTCACGCTGAGCACAAAATTCTTGCCCAGCTAGAAAGTCTGCGAGAAGGATTTGCGCAGAACTCGAATAACCGAGCCGTTTGTCCGGAGTATGTAATTCTCGCAACTCACTATCGTCCCTGTTATGAATGCGCTAACGACTATGTTCTAGCCAAGGAAAACTTCGCCCAAGGGAAATGCCCGACTACAGCTTTCTATCTTTATATTACAGGGACATATGCTCCCGGTACCGATTTCAGTTGGGCATGGCCGAATATTGAGAATTTAATAACGTCAAATCGTATCCATTTATTGCCCTATCCCACGGTCCCCCCACAACCGGTATAGAGGCAAAACCACTTGCTATTTAGTTTGACAATTAGAAGTTTTATGCGGTTTTTCATTATATCAGTTATAGACATTGACTTAAATTGGTTGCCCACCAAGGACGATCCATGTCGCTGACGCTCGATAGTTTGATACCCCTAACTTTATACCACCTAAAATTGGCGAGACATTTACTAAGATTTTCTTTGTGTATATAGCCAGAAAATATAGGTATAAAAATTAACCGGCAATCAGAAGCCAGATCATCGACAAAACTTCCAGTTATCACTTTCTTCATTTCATATGACTTTGGCACTGAAAAGCTTATGTAAAACATAACTGTCTTTTATTATGTCTATGAAAAGTAATTCTATTATTTTTTACGCGGAAACACGTTCGTTTTTTCCTCAACTGTTTAAATTACAATTTAAATTTTTTCGCTTTTTTGTACCATTATTTTTGGAAAAGAAGGGACCAATGGTTCGAGGCGCATGATAACTTCCTTCTGTCCATGCGCCTCATAACGTCTCAGATGAGCTGGAGGCGTGTGAGATGGTGTAAATTCCCAGCATTCAATAGTGACAAATATGATTCGATTGAGGCAGCTTTAAACTCTTCTCCAGACCTCTTTTCGGATGTTTGCGGATTAGCGAAAGGAAACTTGAATTATTTGTCGGATCTGTGGTCGGATGACGTGTACATTTTTATGACGTGGAATATTTCCGTAGAATATTTGTATTCAACAACACGAACTATTATTCTAGGAACAACAACAATCTCACCAACCTTGAATGCTAATTAACCCACCTTATAGATTTATTGCACAGATTAGAACAGATTAATCTTGGATTAACTAAATGAGAACTGGCTTAATGAGGAGTAATAATAAGGAAATATATATGTATATATAACATAATTAATGGAAGAGCAACAAGGATGCAGTAGCTACTTCTGGAATGCATAATTTAATTCTCATCTTTTGGGCCTTGACTGTAAAATAACTCATTTGATATGGTTTATCATATCGTAGGTTTATAACTTTTTACTTTTTATTAATGTTTGTAAGTATATGTAAATTTTGATACATCTATTGTTGAAAGCGAAATATTTCCAGATGAGTTATACGTATGTGTATTGAAATTTATTGTATTTAAAGGTAATATAATTAAACAATTTCTATTAGGGAAGTCATATAATTATTTTTCAAATGTTGCTGACATAATTTTGCCCGTAAAATTACACCCAATTTGCCCTTCCTTTGAGGCAGCACTTCACTGCGATAGTAACTTCTAGTAAGTGTAATATTTTTCCTTTTGCACCCGATGCACACGTAATTATACGCTTATTAACATATCAAATTGAAACGTAATTGGCGCATATATGCGGTGATAGTAGGTATCAGACACCTAACAGCATATACTGAGTAACAAGGTACCAGACTACCAGTCTATGTCGATTGTCGAGTTGATCTGACTTCGCGCCATTTTGTGTGTTAATAGTCGGGGAACAACGATCTGAATTAGATATCTTCTTCGATTTTCTACAGCTTTCGAGGTGATCTTTATACGGTAGTTGTTGGGAAATCTCATTAATATTTATAAGAGTTTTAATATTCAAATTGAGCTATGGAATACGAAAGAAGCAGCGACGGCGGGAATGGTAATGGTCAAGGTCGATTGATCATTGACGAAGAAAAGCTTGCCATTTTAAAGTCTTTCTTCACAAGCAGAAATATGGACTCAACCAAGAAGCAGAACCTCGCTGTTATAAAAGAATGTGCAAACCAAACAATGCTCACAGAACAACAAGTGAAGGTGATAATAAATAATATTGTTTAAAGTACAGTAAACATGAATAGATGCTGCTATTATAAATACATAATTAGTTGCTGTGGTTTAATGTATTGTGTTAAAAGCCCCCGAGTTAGTTTTGTCATGTGGCTAAATTTATAGTTGTTTGTGTGTATATCAGTCCAACAGTATTGATTATTGAATTTTAATGTACTGTAAACTTTAAAATGTGCATGGTTGAGTCATTATAAACACACTCATGGAAAGAATTCCTCAACATATAGTAACACATTTTTAAAGCTGCAAAACTCATCCTTTGATAAATAAAATTGTCAAGCATAAAGAATAAAAGATTAAAATCTAATGCATTTGGCTGTGTTGCTGCTCGATAATAGTTTTGGTAGCAGACTAACAGATAAAAGCTCAATACTAAACATTATCAGAGCAATATAATATATATATAAAGTAATTGCCAGGATCTAGACCAAGGTTCTGCTGTTCATTGTATATTGTCAGAAGAACTGTTTGATTGAGAGCCAGTCACTCAAATTAGTATGTTTACATTGTATTAAACCTCTGACTGTAAGTCCTGCACCTATGAAGTTTGTAAGGCAGTTTTTAGTGGGCTTTCACATGCAGGGAAAGCATTGGTAACATGTGTTCAGAAAATCAAACATTAACATGTTCATGCAGCTATTGTTTCAATATACCTGTAAATAGTGGACTTATGGTCGGGGGACTTATATTTGGAATGGTGTATAAACACTAGAAATGTGATAGGCTTACACAGAGGGCTTATAAGGGGGGTTTGTGATGGGAGGTTTATGGTATTTGATTTTGAAAAGGTTATCCCGAGATGGCAGCCCTTGCTTAGGCCCACTCTAAATAACTATAGTCCTGTGATTATGTGAGGTTTAAACTGAAGCATCCATGTGATGTACTATGGGAACTTTTAAATATAAACTGTGTAGCTGGTTGATGATTGGTTAACATAAATAAACTATTAGTGTTGATATTTGGCACTACTACAAATTACTAAAGAATATCATTTGCCATATCCCTGGTTTCATAAGCCGTGTTTACACTACAAGCCTGAGCCTGGCCTAGGCCTGGCTTTGGCCTAGATCTTTTTAGAACGAAGCGTTTACACTTACGCTTCGACAGCCTGACTTTGGCCTAGAATTTCAGCGGTTTGCATATCACAAGTTTTTTTACTTTGTGTAAACTTTATATTCTTTATATTCTCTGTATTTTTCGCGAAGATGTTTTAGTTTGTGGTTGCACTGTTTAGCAGTACGTAAAACCCCTAGTCCGACAAGGCCGCTGAAAGTTTACCATAAATCACATTGTTACGAATACTGTAGTTGTCCAATTCGTTCTGCGGGACATTTTCTTCACCCCAAAGGTTTAGCAAAGCTTCAGTTTCCTCATCTGTCCAGTTCAAATTCAAATTCCATGTTTATTTGCTTTTCCCGCCAAAAAGCCGGGCTTGGGCCTGGCCTAGGCCACCTGTTATGATGGGCCTAGATTTCCTGGCCTAGGCCAGGCCAAAGTGTGTTTACACTAGGAAGATCTAGGCCAAAGCCAGGCCTAGGCCAGGCTCAGGCTTGTAGTGTAAACACGGCTATAGTGAAGTGATTAGTTAGGGAATACCTTGGATGCTCTAACTAATATGTCTATTTGCCCTAACTAATATGTCAATATCAGTTTTGGCATCCAAGATATTTGAAAAGACTTCTGTAAATGAACATGATTATTAAATAGTTTTTATGTTAATTGTATAAAACTGAATATGCACTGTAATTTTATCTTAAGTATTTAAAATATCTTCTCTGTTGTTTTTTCTGCTGAAATGGTAATATTTCTCAAATGTGAGGGATAAAATATCTTTATACAGTACCTACACTCTTTTAGTGATAAAACCAAATATTAACTCATTTAATAGCCATGTGCAGGTCCTACACCAAGATATGCATGGCTATTGCATTTTAAAACCTATCAAAGTCAAACTCATCAATTAATTAATAAATATGCTCTAACTACATGTTGTGGCATATTATGTTACATACTATCTTATGCAATCTGGGTGATTTTACCCAATTTAACCTATTAGGTAATTGGCATTTTCTGTACTGTTATTAGTTGATTTACCTTTTATTCATTGTGTAGTTGGTGGTGTAGGGAAGCATGGGTGGCATTATGAGGCTAGCATGTTGCCTTTTACCAATGGTTAAAACTGTTGATGGAAGGTAGTACTTGGATCGCTCATCTCTAGGAAAAACCCCAGACCATCAGAGATGGTAGAGTTACATAGTTGATCTCTCCTGTGCTTTGAGGGATGTTATCTGGGTGCTGTATTATTAATAATATTGTTAGCCCATTGACTTTCAAAACATTTGAAAATTTCCTTGTGGGGCATTCGTTCACCCTAATATCAGACAATTTTACTTGTCATGGAAAGAGTCATGCCATTTAATCGTTGAATTATCTACTGTATGCCTTAGGTATGCATAAATTGTTCAATTCACATACTTATACATTTACATTGAAGCACGTTAACTTGCAGTTGCTTGACTTTCATATTAACTCGAGGTAATGTTGCTCTAAAATAATGAATTGCCATTATGAACAGTATTTACCATTGGATGAACAGTATTTAGCACTGGATAAGTAATTATAGGGCAAAAACGAGTGGACGGATATCAGGAAAAGTAGGAAAAAGCAGATTAATGAGAAAAAGATCTGGCTTTAATGTATTTGCCAGTGAGAACCTATTCAAAGGTAACGTTTTAAAATATAGTAAATTGGAAATACCTGCTCATTTATTATGTAATAATTAAATCTATGCAAAACCATCCATAATATTCCATGTAAGTTGTGTAGTTACAGTACTTTTTCAGAATTCTTTATTGTATAATTTAATACTTTATCTCTTATTTTGTAGAAAGCAGTGGATCTTCCTCTAATGCCTTCAAAAACATTGGTGACAAATGGAGAACCCTTTCAGATGAACAAAAAGACACCTTTAGAAGAAAAGCATTGGAATCAGATAAAGATGTTTGCCTTCCTTCCAACAATGCCAAGGCTAAAAAAATAATAAACAATATGATGAAAGAGGTACAGTAAATCGTAACGATAAAATGTAGCGTCGTGTCTCTATTGTTATGTAATTACTTATTTCATTTCACAAAATTTATTTATATTGAACCTTCATTATCCTATACAGCTAAGGGGTTTTCCTACCAAAAACGTAAACTTAAACAACTTAGAGCGTGCAAAAGCAATGGGTTATTATTTAGCATATGTACACTCCGAAAACTAGTCTTGTTTTTGTAACAAACCACCCCTATAACGCAATACCAGTGGCGTAGCCAGCCGAAGATTTTGTCCGCTATGTAAATTTCGAGTTATTTATAATTGTAAGGTTTGAAACGTACACGTAGTCTGGAATATCGATATGTTGCCATTTCCATGCCAGAGAGTCTACAATAATTATTCATTTCTTTAGAAATATATTGTTTTTACAGTCAATGAACACCAAAATACTGACTTACTGTGCTAACCAGCTTACTAAATATAGCTTAATACTAAATATAGCTTTCTAACCAACTAAACAACCATATATACATACATACATACAGGCTAATTCGCTGAATAGCTAACTAAGTACTGTAAATAACTACCCTTTATTCTCTATCAGCTGGTTGTTATAATTGTACAGTACGGTAACAAGACGTTTCGTAGTGTAGAGACTTTATTATATTTCCCTCACATACAATATACATGTATGTTTTGATGTTTATGTTAAAGGTTCAAGAATTGGAAGCTTTAGGAGGCCACTGTTTATTGATCTGCGGCTTTGAAGGCCATGTTTTCCATGGCTCAACAGATGTCGGCATAAGATGTTGAATGATAGCGAAAACGATTTGGTACATCACTTCGCCAATTTGCTGCAGTGTAAGTTTCGGATACAAAATAGTGGATCTAAAGCAGAGATGGGTCCAGCGCGATTTGGTAGGGGGAGTTTTGATAAAAATATTTGAAAATGAGATGATATTGTATTGCTTCGCTTTGTACCTCTCCTGCACCCCCTTTGGCCTAAGTAATAATATTTACTATTGAATGTTATGATTAACTAAACGTTAAGTAAACTTGACTGTATAGGTTCTCAGGATGGAAAGGAGAATATTTCCGTAAAAGCTATTCAAGAACTTTTTAATAAAAAATACGGTGAGCACAAGTTATGTATTGAAAGTTGTAGTTTGAGTACAGGCAGCGTAGTTGGCATAGTCACTGTATATACTGTGATGTCTGTGCATGAGCATAAAGAGTTTGTTATACAGTGTATACAGGGTGTATAAAAAAAAGGAGACCTTTATTTATTGTATGTAATGGTAAAGTTTCAGATACATTGCTTGATTTTAATAGGTGAAGTTGTGAAAAAGAAAAACGGGAAAATGCCATATTCGAAAATTCAAGAATATGGTATTGCTTTTATCGGACTTCCAGCTCATCTGGAGATAGATATTGGAACTACACCACGAAAGCCTGCTCTGTACGGTTCGGCTCAGCGTCGTGAATTGTGGCAGTCTAGAAATGCTTGGTCATTAACTATTACTTCATCAAGTAATCTTATTTCCAATGCTCACACTGATGATATTTAGATTGGTGGTGTTCGGTAATCTTTTTATCGTATTCTCTCACCAGCTTCTTAATCGTGTTTGTCGTTTTATTTATTTGGCCACAGATCTTTTTCGCAATGGCTTGCCCGTCTGTAAATTCAAATATAACAACTTAGATTTCATCGCACAACACTCTGATGTTTTGAAAATACAATCACAACAAAGTACAAAGGATTGACCAAAATTATTTTAAAGTTTAATTTCTCTTTAGTAGTTTGTTACCATGATAAAACAAAGTACTTCTTTCGATGCATTTAAATTCACAGTGTTTTACATCATGTTAATTAATAAAATCATTTTTGAGTTATCGTGTACAGTATCACGCGATGTACAAAACGACAATAGCTAGTGGCCAAGTATATATCACTGAGAGCTAGTGGCTAAGTATATATCAAGTGGAAATCTCTTCGATTAGTAATTTCATTAATTGTATAATATAAACCTGCATATTTTTTCATAAGCTGCAGCAAAAACCAACGTTCCAAACATCTTGCACGCATATCACTCAACAATTCATTCTACGTGTATCTTCCGCTTTTGGTAACATACAATTTGAATGCTGGGTGATCTTGACTCCGCTGCTGACCGTTCTCAATTTTCTTCAGTTGTTCATTTTTGCTAAATTATTCAAACAAAGAAAACTTAACATTCACTAACATTGCAATAACATTCACGTTAGCAACTTTTAAGAAACAAAATAGCAAAAATGAAACATATACTGTACTGTACGTACTGTTCAATTTAGAACTTAAAATTGAAAATTCTTCACTGTCCATCTCGATCTCTGCAAGCTTGGCTCTTTATATAAAAATTAACATAATGTAACTAATGAATTATCGTATGTATACATTAAAACATTGGTATTTAATTATGATGGAAATAGTCAAACCTTGTGTCATAATACTCTTTCAACTTTTCCGCATACTGTTCTGTGACGTCCGTAACATTCGCTGTGGCTACAAATATTGTATAATCCAAATAAAAAATTAAGTACCTTATAATTTATGCTGAACCAAGTAAACCAATTCAAGCTTGCGTACATTGTGTAGCAATCGCACAGGTCGTTTATGTATATAGTGGATAAAAGTTCCTATATATACGTTAACTGGGTATTTATAAAGTGGGCACAGAACGACCTGCAGTGAAATTAGACAATAGCAATTGAGTAAACTGCTCTATATCGCTAACCTCTCTTCTCCGACTTCTTACTATAGAGATCTTTCTCAGACTTAGACCACTTTTCTATTGTTGTTACATTCAGGTGTATACCTATACCCAAAGAAAAATACAAATATGTACATGATTGAATTTGTATTTCCCGTAACAATTATACACAAAATTTGAAAAAATTAACAAACCGCTTTTACTAAGATTTTCAAGGAGCAGATTCAACTGCTCATTTGTGTCGGCTTTCATGTGCAATGCTTTCTTCAAATGATCGCACAAACGTTCGCCTAGATTTGTCAAGATATTAAAACAATGTACTGTTTATTATAAAAAATGCTCAGAAAGTAGAGATATTCCGTAACAAAGAATGTATGAAAATAGATACCACCGATACTTATACCAATGAATTAGAACACTAAAAATAATTATTAGAGGATGAATACAATAATTATAAAAGTACTTATTATTTTGTATTTACCGATTTGCCCTAAAGATTTCTTTCTATAATGTAAGAGAAAGTCCGTCAGAGCATCAACTCGGTGTGACGGGGTCATTTCTTTGGTGATTTTTGAAGTTGGCCTAAGGTAAGACCACATTCGCTCCATCACTTCACCGTCGCTTAGACCAAACCCATTAATTCTCCGGCCACTATATGACACCTGATCAGCCAAAAGATTATTATAAAAATTTAATATCACACTAACATACACCAAAAACATGGAAAAACAATGTAGCTACTGAAAATTATAACCGTGGAAAAATAGACATTTATATATATATATATATATATATATATATATATATATATATATATATATATATATATATATATATATATATATGTTTAAAGATTTGTAATCCAGGCATATTTATTTTTTTTACGTGAATTCAAAGAAGCTTGGTTTAGTACAGACGACAATACTATTAACAGACATATCGACATTCCTGCAGTCTATCTGCAACTTAAGACAAAACGTAAGGACTCTATCAATAATCACATTAATATAACTAATAATAACTTAAATCCACCCGCATCTGATACACAACAATCTAATCATTCCACAGCGACCATCCCTGACAACGAAATGCAGTCAACCATGACAACGCATCCCTCAACTACCACTGATATCAGATCAACTTCAAAACAACCAATCAGACGCTCTCAACGTATACAGAGTCTTAAAGAACAGCGCGAAACTTGAATATATAAATCTAGACACATGTAAATAATTTAGATATTCTGAAGAAGACTCGAAGTACCAAGTCGAAAGCTCAATAAAAAACAATTTTAAATCCGGAGAACATTCATTGACAAACAATATATATATATATATTAGAAGTTTCATTTCTGCTGTAGTTCAATGTAAAAAAACTATTAGAAACAAGGAAAAAAAGTATACAATACAAAAAGTTAGGTACCTGACAAGATACTTTATGTCCATAGCAGTGAAATGTAGGAATGGCCACCTTAACATTTTCCAATAATGCCTCCTGATTTGTTCTCTAAATACACAATAAATAAATTCGAAATTATACAGATATACATCTAATTCGCTCTCTAAGTATTTGGGAATAACTTGTATAACTGACTGTAACATTATTTCACGGGAAATATTGTACCATCACATGCTGAATTTATGTTTATTTTGAAATGAGGATTTTAATGAACCACCGTTCTCTTGATACTGTACAGGGGCACTTTCATTTAAATGGCGAAAATGGCCAGTCTGGGCCTAATGTATTTTTCTACAGACTGATTACTGGGGATTTTGGTGTTTTAAGCTCACATGATTTATATTGGTATTTTACCATTTTGGCTGCATAAAGGAAAGTGCCCAGGTTAAAATGAAGTGGTTGTACTGTGTAGGCTTTTGCAAACTTTTCAGTTAGATTTCAAAAGTCTGTACTTTGAATGCCTACAGTCTGTACCTTCAAATGAGATTCCAGTGTACATGCTATATCATAATACAAATAGATGTTCAAATTCTTGTTGTTTGTACTTTCTTTCAACCACTTCAGCAAATAAACTGCATTTCCAATTCTAAAACATGTAATTACAGCTCAGTGAAATTTATTACATTAACATGTTTTGTTCAATGCAACAATTAGTGAAGTGTCTAGAAACCTTTGGCAAATTTACTTACTCTTCCCCTCTTTTTAGACTAAAGAATTTTAAAGGCACTTCATGTCTGCAACCTGCTCCAAATATTGCAGTTTCATCTAATTTTTTAGTCTTCACCTTAGATCTGAGATTTGATCCAGCTTGGAAGTTATGGCAGGACACCTGCAATATAAAAATTTATAAGAATTTTGCTACTCATAAGAATTTCATTACCTAAATGTATATATTGTACGTACTTGTGACTTTAATGATGATGTAACTTTGTAATTCTTCAAAAAAGAATCCACTTTTGTTTGCTCTATGAAAAGTGTTTCTCCATGGTTTGCTGGTCTAACACTTGTCCCAGCGCTTATCTTTCTCACACAGCCAAATAAAGCATCAAAGATACATACATATTTCCACTTTTCTAAATGAAAGAAATGTAATTAAACTTTAAATAGTCAGTAATAATTCATGGCCATTAACTGTAGCCTACAGAATCAACTTGGCAAATGAAATATGACATGCACAAATTCCCTTTGAAAATTGTCTGGTGTTTAAGAATAAAGTTTCTTCAAGCCAATACTACATTTTCATTATTATCTTTACAAACAACAAAACCATTAAGGTATAGACAACAAGTATAAAGGATTTCCAAATAAATGCTACCTAGTACTGTATATACGTTTGTTTATATACAATGTACTGTTTACCTTAGGGCATGCAGGGCATTGACTAACATTATCCAACTGCACATTTTTCCCACCAAATGTATCCAGCATGTAGCTAAGGTAACGGTATTCTCCAAAATTTTCACCAACAAGTAGCCGATATATGTCCTTTACCTAAAAATTAGATTAAATTCACCTAAATGCTATGTGTCTAACTGTTTTTTATTCTATTGGAAGTAAGTTGCAGACACTAATAATTAGACCCTACAATGTACTAGTATTGTCTTTAGTAATTATTATACTGTATATGCAATTAATACATACTAATGAATTAGAAGTTTGGCTTTGCAAATTCAGTCATAAAAGGGGAAGCCTTTGGAAGTAATGAGGTTGGGTTAAAATACTCACATAAACTGGTGAAAGAGAAGGCATAATCCAGTATATTGCCTGACATATCGACTTTAAAGATGTTCGGCATTCCAAGAAGATATATTTGACCAATTCCATAAGATTTTTTTCAAATGCTGCTTGTGGTTCCTTGGGTGATGAAGGCCACAAACCATGTTTCATTAATGTCACTGCTTCTGGCTCATGGCAACAGAATTTAAACTTCACAAGACGCTGTGACCTAAACAAAATTCGTTGAAAAGAACACACAATTTATTTATTTAAAACAGACTCTCTCTTTTAATGGTCAGCCAGTTGATAGCCACTAGACCAATGTGTAAAAAAAAATGACAAAACAGAGTATGAATAACATCCTGAGCAATCCAAGATATGGATTAACATAATACTACTTACATGAGTTTGTGATGTTTCAATTTTATTATCAGATAGATTGTAATAAACTGCAAATGTCGCAAACTTGTGTTTATAGTCTTAATTGTTTTAATCCATATCTTTCATCTAAACGTCGCAAACTTGTGTTTATAGCCTTAATTGTTTTAATCCAGATTTCTCAGGATTTTATTTTTCAGACTCAGTTTTCTTTTATTTTTCCAAAAAAATACAATTGGACACATTATCAGTCAATGTATTAAATATCAATATAAAGCCATAGTAATTGCTTATTTAATTCATAGGAAAAAATGGAATCTTAGAAGTAGTCATGTTGGCAGGTAAGAGACAGAGTATGGTAAGGAAATTGACACAGAATTTACACAATAATACAAATTCATAAATGTATAATTGTAAGTGTGCTCATGTGATAAAAGAAAACACCTGACAATCAACGTTACAATATAACCATAAACATAACCATTTCTATTAACGACGACAACATCACGAGTATAACCATGATCTAAATTGTGATTTGTCTCCCAAACAACAACTTCTTTAAATTTGTATTGAATATACTTTTCAATCTACAATGCAACATACTCTCATCACATGACTTCATATACACAGTACATACATCCTGTCACATATATGACTTCAATACTATTACACTAAGGTTGCAGTATAAAAGAATCATTGAAATAAGCTCCTCAAAAAGCCCACATGACCTCTGCCAAAATGAGAGACCGTAACTTATAAATATTACACCCAACACAGCTATATTACCTCCAAATCTCAGGATAGTGGAAAGACTGACCAGAGGCATGAACAAGGTTTATATGTTCCTCACACATAAAATGTGCTGGGCCACAGTCAAGGCATCTACCACATGCACTTTCTTTGCACTCAGGAATTACACAACCTTGGTTGACAGGCATAGCTTGATGCTCCAGAAAAGCAGAGAAGAGTTGTTGTCGAATACCAAGCCAAGCATTCCCCAACTTAATCTTTCTATCGCGATAAGCCTTAATTTTCTTCTTCAACGCATTTTACCACGCTTTGGTTTGAAGCTTGGCCCAACAATTTCATCTCCACCAAAGCTGACTTCTGGCTGCCCACATGCTGAAGTTTCAGGTAGAGAAGAGGACGTATATTTGTGAACATTAGTTCTTTCTGAATACTTTATGGGTACACTGAGCTTTGATCTCCGATTGACTTTCCCGTCTTTAAAGCTTACCACTTTAACAGTGTGTTTTGCTTTAAAACATCTTCGAGACGACATGGCTTTCTCAATTCATTGTTTATTTCAAATATTTTAAAAGTTGGATTTTAAACGATTTAAAACTATGGATTTTAAAAAGTTAGTCACCCAGTGAACTGGCGCCATATTTAATTCGCCAAAGCTGTTGTGTACTTGTGTCCAGGCTTTGATCTTAGGTACTCCGACAGTTGGTTTGGTTAGGTGTCTGATACCTACTATCACCGCATATATGCGCCAATTACGTTTCAATTTGATATGTTAATAAGCGTATAATTACGTGTGCATCGGGTGCCTTTTAAAATGGCACAAAGAAAATGACGTCATATCATTTTAGTGGTGTTGGAATTTGGAAACTGGGTTAGAATAACTCCCAAGGGCAATGTCGGTTGTAAACTCGATATTTCGTGCTAATCTTTTTAGAGGCAAAGTAGCAATTGTGACTGGAGGTGGTACTGGAATTGGGAAAGCAATCACACAAGAGCTTCTTCATTTAGGAGCGAAAGTTATCATTGCATCTAGAAATGAAGAAGTACTTTGTGCTTCTGCTGAAGCGATGACAATTGATATACCAGATAGTGTGGTAAAGGCAGTACGATGTAATATTAGAGAGGAATCACAGGTTAATATTGTATTATATTAATATGCTTCTATACGTTATGATGAATTATTACGATGGTTCAGGCAACAATTTAGGAATGATAACATACAAGGATAAGGGTGTTTGATCTTTCATTTAATTAACATATTAGCTCTACCGCCCCCCTCCCCCAGGGACGGATCTAGAAGCTTAATTGGGGGGGGGGTGGATATTTATATATTCGTCCTATGCCTGATTGATTTCTTTTGATAGCGATTGTTTTTACCCTATTTTAAACTTGAATATTTTAATATGCACCCCCCAATTAAGCTTCTAGGTCCGTGCCTGCCCCCCCCCCTGCCCTACCTTGTTTCTAGGTCTGGTTGGAAAGTTTACAATAGACTGAATAGAGCTAAATTGATTTCATTCATCACCTGCAAACATGCATGCCCAAGAATGAATACTATCAAACCACTGCTCTCTTACAACTTAATTGCTATGCATTGCAATAATAATGCACATGTATTGATGTGGAAGCCTGCTTTTTAGTTCATGAACAAACTCACTATGACTAAGAGGCTGCAAAAATCTGCAAAGGACACTTGTTTGAGAGAATTCTATATATCCCCTCCTGAGAAAATTATTAAAAAGTGAATCGTTGTTATGTAGCTTTATACAAATTTTGTCTTCACTCAGACGAACCACCTAGCCCAAAGGTTTTCTCTGCATGGCCCCCTTTCCCCAAAATCCTGTCATTATCAGTATCATCAACACTTTTACTGTGAATGCCTTCTCTGGTGGTGGCCAAGATAGCTAGGTAATTTGGTTATAAGACTATAAATTTAACATTTTAAGCAATACCTTATCATATGTATAACAATATGAGGCATGAATAATGACATTGACACATTATATTATCCGCCATACATGCAACCTTTCTTTTATATGAAAATCACGTCCCAGCAAGTTGGTGCCTCTGTTTGCTAATAAACACTTCAAAATATGCAAAAACCACTAAGTATCCTCAGTATCAATTCTTGTATAATTTGTGTTTGATTAATTTCAAACTGTATCTCCAGCTTAATTGAACACACAATCGGCCAAGTCTACAACCCACTTAACAATTTTGACCTGACATAGTAGGCACAACAGATGCAGCATAACCTTTTGGTAATTAAATTGCTTACTAACTTGTCAGAGGTACATTCCATATTGTTTAAGACTAAATAATTGCTTTGTTGACAGATTTTGTTTTGTCCCAACCAAGAGAACTGTACATAGTAATTCAACAACACTAAAAAATTCACTCACCTGATTAATAATTATTACAAACAAATAAATTTACCATGTTTGTATACAGAGCTCTCCTAGCTAGGTCTTGCTTTACATGATCATTAAAGCGTCGTAGGTTGATCAACTCGAGTTTTATTTTCTTCTATATATCAGTAATATCACTGTACAATTACGTCAATCTTGCGCAAGTACATGAACACCAGCGTACATGTTTTTTCATTCAGCTATTGCCATTTTTTTGCATCTGCTCGAATTTGTGTTAATGCATTAATACCAGATATTTAACAATATGGCCGTGTCACGTGTATACTATTTGCATTTCACCATACAAATTGGCTTCAACTTTTAACCATAAAACACGCGGGAAAAATATGAAACTTGGCACCGTTTGCCGACCTTTAGATGATTACATCCATCACGGTTAATAGAATTTTAACCGTGCATTCATAGAGCAACTGTTCTAGCTTAACTGCCTAACATCTCCGCTTGCGACAGTGATCTTGTCACTAATTTCTGGTAATAAATGGTTAGGTCGAAAATTTAATGAAGATAGCATTGAAAGAATTTGGGAGAATAGACTATCTTGTGAACAATGGTGGTGGTCAGTTTGTTTGTGATGTTGCAGACATGAAGTCTAAAGGTTGGAAAGCAGTTATTGACACCAACCTAAATGGGACATTTAACTGTTGCCAGCAAGGTTAGTTATAAGTCTCAAACGACTACTTTCGTGCAGTGGCGGATCCAGGATAAGTCATAATAAATTAGCAAAGCTATAACACGCAATCGCATTGGTAGATTTTTATGTAAATATATTTTTCAAAAATGAGTAACCAATAGACCTTTTCGATAATTACGTCACAACATTATAATTTTAAATTTAGAACCACCTTAAATAAAATGGATTTCATTATCAAAACGTAATTATCGAAAAGGTCTATTGTTTTGGTATTAAAGTATTCTGAATTGGAAATGACTTTCATAATAGACCAACTTTTGATTTAGGCGACAAAGAGGAGATTTCTGAAAAGAGCATACCATACTAGCCAAGCGAAGATGGCGAATTTTGTATACTTTTATATTATGGTCGGAGATTGTAACTAAATTAGTTACACATTTCCGCCTGTAATACAAAAGTATACAAAAATTGCCAACATCGGATTGCTATATTTTCCGTACTACTTCATATTTTGCAGCCAAACTTGGCTATACTAATTTCAGTATGCTCTTTTTAGCTGTGGTGATTTATTTCCTTCTTGTTAACTAAATCATAATTTAGTCTATTATGCAAGTGGTCCATTACAGGGTTGCCAGATTACTGAATAAATTAACCAAATATTGTTATCATAATCGTTGTTTTCTTTGTTTGAAACAAAGCAATCCGGTAAAGAGCCGACTGTAACAATGTTTGGCTTCTTTTTTCAGTAATCTGGCAACACTGGCCCATTAAGCCTTGTAATTCATTCTGACTTACCCTGAATCCGCCACTGCTTTCGTGAATGAGCTAAATATAATATGATGAATGATATAACGTATTGTACATGCTAAAGTATAGATATATAAATAACTAAAGCCATAAAATAAATGTATGTTAACCTGTAGTGTACCAACAATGGATGAAAGATCATGGTGGAAGTATTGTCAATATTATTGCTACCGTTAGGAATGGTTTTCCCAGATTTGCGTATGTATATGATATATTAAATATACTGAATTATTTACATTTAAATGCTATTATTATATGGCAAGCGTCACTTCCCGTGAAATGGAGCTCAGTGATTGGGTGAAAAGAATTTTCAGCGGTCCATTACTTTCTTGTAATGGACCGGCACTTTCTCGTAATGGACCGGCGTTACCGCTGATCTCGCTCTACGAGCTCGGTCTGTTCAAAAAGACCTCGGTCCGATATTTCTAGCTGTAAAGACCTCGCGCTCGGTTAATAAGAAGTTATTAAAGGACGCATATAAATTCCTTAAACTTAGCAAATTTAGGGAAAAACTAAAAAAAACTTGACCAAAGTTGAATTTTCGCGCGATTTTACGTTCCAAAGAGAATTCCACGAGAATCTCGGAGGAGATTCTATGAAACGAGGGAATTCGAAAATATTGCAAATATCCGACAAACCAAACATCCGACATGACCAGCTCCCCGACTTGACCACAGATAGACAACCATGCAGTTATATGATAAAAATAGTTTTCGCGCATCGGCTCTGCTTCTAACAATGGGGCCCCATTATAACATAAAAAGCCTAAGTTTCTCAAACATATAAAAACCTCATAAACCACAAAAAGCTCATATTCGTAAAGAAGTAAAGTGTTGTGAGACAGACAAACTAGAAGTAGAACGGAAGTGAGACAGCGCATTTTCATTTTATCAGGATCTCATAATTATGTATACAAGACAAGATAATACAATTATATACTCACGACGATTACATGTGTTTTTTAAACCACAACGGCTTTTACAAGCGCGCATTTTTTTGTGCTAGCGTCTTTAACACCCAAGCCTCACTTTGGTGTAAAGAGAGTATAATTATTGCTTTGAAGTGAGGGGTCTTGGTGATAAAGCAACAACATAAGGAAAACCCCCATAAGTGCTATTACTGCATTGATCCTAAATATGGTTAAGAGTTTTATACTAAGTCCTAACTATCCCTAGTTGCCAAGGAGTGATATATAAGTGTTGGAATCAGAGAACATTACTGACCAAGCTTTTACTTAACTCCCACAATTGTTTGTCCAAATCTATATCTTGCGTTTTAACTTGAGTAGCAATTTCCTGGCATCCAACAAAACATCGACCGCTTACACGACTCAGCTCACCATCCGTCGCGAGAAAAACAACAGCATTCGCTGCATTAGCAACCTTCGTCTGAGAACACAAACAAAAACAGAGGAAAATGTGCTTTCGGAAACAATTCTGACTAGAAGAAAGACTTGTCGGTCGGGCGTATCTTCCAGGATTGACAACATTGCAGGTTACTCCTGTACCTTCCAAACGTCGGTGTAATTCTTCGCAGAATAGAACTCTGGCCATTTGGGAGTTATTGTATGCAGTACGGCCCGTATACGAGCCAGATTTTACTAGCTGAATATCGTCCACGTCAAGTGCGTGGAAATTACGGACTTGTTTTGTAATTGCCGAAGACGGCACCACAATTCTCGCTTCCAGATCGAACTTTGCTGTCGACTTGAGGACGTCTAAAAGCAAAAACGTCAGCAGGAAATGGCCTAAATAGTTCAAAGCAAACGTCTTTTCAAATCCGTCTTCCGTATAGATAGGTACTCTACTGCTTTCCCTATCCTTCCATTCCGCAGTATTGATTAACACGTTCAACTTTTTGCCTGAATCGTGAAAATTCTTCGAGAATTTTTCGATAGAACTTAAACTCGATAGGTCTAAAGGCATATGAATAAGCTTAGCGTCGGGCGAATCCCGTTCAATCCTTGTGATAGCCAGTTTCGTATTTGTTTTATCTGGACTCGCCAACACAACTTCATATCCGAGAGCTGCCATTTTCCTGCTCGTCTCAAAGCCAAGTCCAGAGCTAGCCCCTGTGATGATACATACTTTGTGTATTCTTGCCATTTTTTAATTTTTTGTCACACGAAATCACTGCTTCTGTAATAACGAAATATATTTTGATTCTACAATAACAAAATATATCGGTGTATAGTTCGCTTGCTTGCCTTTTGTCAGTCTTGATATTGTGGTTTATGCGTGTTTACAGGTACTTTACATTTAATACGGAAGTGTTTGTTTTTTGAGAGAAGTGTCTTTGATATGACTTGCACGTTTTCACATGCATGCCAATAGGGATTTAGGACGGCGACACGATGACAACAGCTAAAATAAACTCCTTCAAATAAATAGTTGAAAAGAGAACTTGCCGTATATTTGAGACCTATGGAGTCAGTACAATCAATCAGCGATTATTATCCGTCCTTTGATATCTAAGAAATACGACTCGAAATTTCAAATTTTCAAAATGGTTTCGCCGCGCTAGTTTTTTCTTTTTACAATATGCACCATCTTCGAGAACCAGAATGCTTTTGAATTATATAATAGAATTAGATATCGTATTTTTTGACATGTGTCAACTTATTACGACATAATCAATTCAGTCTTACAATATATACCTCATTATACCTTACCGTATATATCAGAATTTAATATGAATAGACCATAATATCATTCCTGTACCATATATGGGTGGCCTGCCAAATATAGCATATCACACGCGGATACACATAAACCACGTCACCATGTACAAAAAGGAGCTTATTTACCGCATCACGAAAACCACATCATAATACCATATTCGGCCAGCACACTACACCGCATTCTGCCTTTTTTTAGGTATCTTTATGTAAATTTAGGTTATGTTCATCCGGAATCTGTCCGGTTCAGGTGTTCACACGGTAAAAATCACACAGCCCTCCTCCCCGAAAAAAAATGTAGCTAGAAAATCGTACACATCCAAACACGCGGTATGAAATTAGTCTGGCCCTGTGTGAATCAATGTAGCCTTTTGCATAATTTTAGACACACGGGAGCAGCAAGAGCTGGTGTTAACAATTTAACAAAGACTTTGGCACTTGAATGGGCAAAGGACGGTATAAGAATAAATTGTGTAGCCCCAGTAAGTACCCGGTCAATGTTTTGTTCCCTTGTATTTTCGAAGTATCAAGTGCGGGTCTTTTGTCCTGAAATGCCTAGCTTAAAGTATATTCGTATTTTAAAGACAGTCCCGGTGAATAATACTATACCAGCTTATGGTTATTTAAGCGGTAGTGATTAATTAACGTGCAAGGAAATCAGGGAATTGCCTCCGGAAATGTTACACGCTAGTGATACGTGCTCTCTTACTGTATAGGGCCCGATTTATTCTACAACAGCAGCTGCGAACTATGAAAGATATAATTTGAAGGTATTTGAAGAAGCAAAGAAATATATCCCCGCAAAACGCTGTGGTACTCCCGAAGAGGTTAGTGGGAAAGGATGATTACTCTAGGTTAGGAATTAGCGTTAATGGTATATGTAAAATATATCCTGACGATTTGAAATCCTTATTTTTTTGAAATTTCAGGTATCTTCTGCTGTGTGTTTTCTACTCTCCCCAGCAGCGGCATTTATAAACGGTAGTACGATTGATATTGACGGCGCTTACGGTCTTTACGGTGTTATGTTTGAGATACCAGGTAAGTGGAATCGTGATTAACCTCTCCAACTAACAGGTTCGAAAGGATCCTAGAGGACGTGCCGCTGACATGCATATACTTTTTGACGTTATCCAACACTGACGCAAGTACATGCAAGCCAGTTGGTCTAATTATGCATCTTTCCGATTTCTTTCTTTACAAAAGTTACAGTTTCTGCCTACACCAGTTATTATGAATTAGTGTTAAGGAACAAAGACCGGGGCATGTACTATCGAAATGATCCAAAAAAGTTTCAGACAGCGAAACTTTCTTTAGCTCTAAATTTTTGTTATCCATTTTTGGCTTTAAATTTTAAGGAAGATAAATAAAAGTAACCCACTCTGAATGCGCTTTCCTCCTCCAATCACCCCGAAGAGCGAAAAGGAACGGTCATCAATGATTACTAACATGTTACTAAAAAGCAACGTTGGTAATCTGCTTCCCGCTCAGAAGAAGGCACTACGACTCATCATCGTGGCTGCGAATGTTGTCTATGTTAGAGAACAAAGACGGGACACGTACTATAGAAATGATCCTAAAAAGTACGGTCTTAATGCCCCAGTTGCTAATTAGATATTAAATACTCGTAACCTCTATACAGCGCATGTGGTGCATAATAAACGTAACAACGCAACGGCGCGTGCCTTAACATAAAAATATGAAAGATTGCAGGATACATTTCCATCAAGCCAGAATATTGACTGCCGGACAAAAAATTAAATTTATTTAAAATGTCCCAGTACCTTCAAGCATGGCTATTTATGGATATTTTTATAAGAGAAATATTTTTATTTTCATTCATGTGCACGGCTGCACTATACGACACACGAAAGTCAAGTTTTTATTACTTCAAATTTTTTAAAATGAACATTAAAGGGGGGTTACAGTCGCTTCGATTCTGCGCATCGGTTCTGCTCGCAACAATGAGTAGTCTACTTGTTTCTAAATTGCTCAAATTTGGCATGATTCATATAAGCTTATAGCTCTGAAAATAAAATCTCTCTCTGTCATATTCATTTAAAAGTATAGCGAACTAAAAGCGTGTCAAATATTTTGAAAATGCTTGATATTTTAGAAAACATACGGATTCAAAATGTAAAGAAAGCGTTTGTGTACATATACCACCTTCGAAGGTAAACTCCCTAATATGAAGGGGAAGTTAATGTTAGTTTGGAGCGATTCGGCAATGAACTCATATGCCCTTATTCAGCTCAGAAATAGTTTTTTATTTTTTAATGAAGTAAATGGACCACTCTGAATGCGCTTTCCTCCTCCTATCACTCCAAGGAGCGAAAAGGAACGGTCATCAATGATCACTAACATGTTACTAAAAAGCAACGTTAGTAATCTGCTTCCCGCTCAGAAGAAGGCACTACGACTCATCATCGTGGTTGCGAATGTTGTCTATGTTAGAGAACAAAGACGGGACACGTACTATAGAAATGATCCTAAAAAGTACGGTCTTAAATTGTCAAGTTACAAATTAGATGTTAAATCCCCGCAGCCACTACATAGCGCATGTGGTGCATGATAAGCCTAACAACGCAACGTCGTGCCCTAACCAGAGTACGAAGTTTACGATTACGGCATACATTTTCTATCAAGCGAGAATATTCACTGCCGAACAAAGAATATAATTTTTTAAAATTTACAATGTAATGCTTCGAATTGCGTCTCAAGTAATGCGCATGCGCAGTATATATCTGGACTAGTTCGGAGCCAGTTCGAATGAGGGGGGGGGGGGTGAGTGCCCGGCCAATCGAAATGATTTAAAGACACTAAAAGAAGTAAAACAATCTACTCAGATCACGAAACTGAGGGCATAATTAATGATCATTTATTTTTATGCTTGCTTGTATAGTTAACATTCCCAACGGCAACGGATATTCGTGTCCGGGATGCTGCTTAGAGGTTCTTGTGAGAGTTTTTCGTGTACTCCATTGCCAAGTACTGTTGGGCTATTTCTACTGAAAATGACGAGTCACAGTTTAAAATAAGATTCTGCAGCTTTATTCCACTCAGTTTTGAGTCGAAGTGGCTCATATGAACAACTCTGAGTAGGCTAAGCGTTATGTGAATAGGTCCAAAGTGTCGACGTTTCAAGCGAAACCCATTCGTCCAGAAGAAAGGCCCTAGCATGCTCGAAACGTTTTCGGGTAATCTAATCACTAACTCTTTTATTCCGCAGCAGAATCTTCCTAATCAGACATTCCTACAACCTCGTTCGCGTTTTTTATACGCACGTACACGTACGGAAAATTTTAAATGCTTTTAACTTTTTATTATTTAACATCTAGGTCAACTAATGCATACTAAAATATGCAGAAAACTAAGTTCCTTCGATTTATTCACTTAGTTTTTTCAAAGGTAACTTGTATAAGGATTTCGACTTTTACGTGCGTGTACGTGCGTATGAAAAGCGCGTAAGTGGAAAACAGCCTTTATACATATTAGGAGCTAGTGCATTGAACTTGTGTGTGGGCGTGTGGAATTAATACTAAGAATTCACGCCAACAGGAAGGACCGTGCTTAGCTAAACGGTGACACAAACTTAATAGCGTGCTTACGATGTTTAAGTCAACTTTGACCGAATGTTAAGTAAAATGCTTCTGTGTCCTTGCCCTTGATTATTTGATCGCCTTTTAAACTTAAAGCTTCGCGTGCCGTCTGGCGTAAAAACTTCGACAGCCTATGTTTTTATAACGAAGATATATATAACCACTGCACTGGGCGACTAGGTTCCCCAAAACTCATCATTTTCAATTGCTGGTGCATGAGCATTTGATTTTATACTATTTCTTCCATTCACTTTATTGACAACTGTTCTGGTCAAAGCTATACGCCATTTACAGATTGCATGCCATTTTGTCGCGGGACAATGTTATGTTAGTGTTTGTTATATGTCATAAAGGAATCGTAAAATATAGTTTCCATTTTGAAACTGTAGTGTAGAAGTACTGGATTTTCATCGGCAATGCCCATGCATACTAGCTATAGCAATACAATAGCAAACATTCTAGCTGATATAAATCTCTCACTGCATGTCTCTCTTTTCTAGAGCATAAGAACAGTGAACCGTTTACATGGTCGAAATCGCATTTATAAAGTCGCGTGATGATCTTGGCACAATCAAAGAAATTCATTGGCATTGGCATTGCACGAGACTTCCCAATTCTGTTTTGACGGATTTATTCAATATCAGACAGCGGTTGAGTCAGTCAGTGAGATATTGTGTGTGGACTACTCTTGTCTTGATCTCTGGCCCTGCACTTATGTTTTAACATAACTACAAGTTAGAAAATGATGTTTGATTTTCTCCAGTTTGAAATTTAAAAAAAATCGAATCAAGAAAACATCATCGATATGGGATAAAAATAGCAATAAATATATTCAAAACTGACAAAAAAGCTTTTTCCGTCAAGCTTTTATAACTTTATTTTATTAGTATTACTATTAGGCTAACAGTCGAATTTGTGCTGTATGGCAGGCAACCACTTGATTCTGCGTTTTGTTTGGTTTAAAAGTATCTGCTTTAAAGAGATCTTCATGCAGCTCATAGCTATTCATGCACTATAGTATAGGTCAGGCTGTCCTAACTTTTAGTAATATCTCGGCTGGCCTGCATACGGTTGTTGCACGTTCGATTATATTCTTCTTTCTCCTGGTACCTGCATGAAGCATGAAACAATCGTGGGACGCCTTTTAAATAACAATAATAAAGTGTCCGTTGTAATGTTATGGAGACGTCTTCAAACTCGTGCGGGTTCTTGTCAGGAAAAATGAAATTGTAAGGAGTTCAACGTTTCATAGCCTGACTCCATTATCACGTTTCTATTATTGCCTGCTGTAGCGGAACGGTGAATTAGAAGTTTGAGTCGTTCCCGATGTAATGATGAATCGTCGACGTAGCCCTTTCGTTATTGACAACTATGATCTTTCGTTTTCGTCGTGTCTATCACACGATTGTGCTCTGCACTGCGATATGGTTTATGTGCAGCGTTCTGATTCTGATTTATGACGGACTCTCATTTTATATCTCGGCGGACCACGTCGAAGTCATGAAAGAAAATCATGTGAATGACTTACGAAGGAGGACGTGGTCGGCGAACTACGAAGATTTGCCAAAATCGCACAACCGCAACGGTCTCGGGGAGTACGGTGTTCCGGTGAATCTCAACAGCACATTTTCAGAGGCGATTCGGGCAGGTTACAAAAAACATGAAATAAATATTGTGGTCAGCGATATGATCTCCTTACATAGAAAGATTCCAGAGTTGAGAAGCAAAGCGTAAGTCCGATTATATTGCATGCATGGCAATATTAATTATCTATTTGTGTGTCTCATTCCCTTGTGCAAACAAGGAGCTCGTGCATGTGTATATATTATAGTTGCTTTGTAGTACAAGTCCATTTCGACCGAAAAATTACACGTGTGGGTGATAAAACGGGATAGACATGAACGCGGAGCTTTAGTCGGCTGCCATACTAGTTCTGTGTGAAACCGTGGAGACTGAGAACGACTTAAACTGTGGATGCAAATACTGAAATGCCAGTCTTCTTTCCTTCACTCATTTTTGTTAACTCAGCTTTGTGTTCAGTTTCCCACGTTTTGTTTGACTTGATGACATTTTTTAACAATTTGCCTATGAAAGCTGTCGCCAAGCTTTTGCAAAATTAATGGTAAAAAACAAATGCTGAAATGTGTTTGTTGTGTTGCTCTCGCGTAGAGGCTTAAGTCGCATTAAGCTTAAGCCCGCTATAAATGTGGTTCAGCAACTGATAAAAATATAAAACATCATGCAGTAAACATCTTGACGTTCGACCTAATGGCCCTCTTCAGGAGAATTAGTATACTTAGGCTCCTGTGTCAAGGCCCTTATAAATCAAAATGTCGAGAAGTTCGGTTCTTTGATATATTTTAGGCAGTTGTTCACTGTTAAAGCGCAATTGATTGAAAATTATTTGAAGAAGCTGCAGTAACTGGTTTAAATTTTTTATAAGAGAAAACGAAATGGCAAAAAAAATTTGACTGCGAGGCACAAGCATCATACTTAGCTAGCAGATGGAGGTCTAAATATTGGTATGTCTTAAGTAAAATATGTTACTGATAACTGATAGCATATCTATAAGATGTTAATATGGACTATAGAGTCCATTAAAAATGGTCAATAAACCAGGTCGCGTTTGCATTGTCAGGCTCACTGACAAGATATGCTCGCAAATATGCAAACAATTCGGAGTTTATAATACCCTGAAGCCTATAAAATAGGAAGGCTATATGAAATGACATATATATAAAACGGCAAAGTGCGAAGCCGAAATGACTGAAACATATCACACTATTACCCGCTACTAGGTTCAGCGTAAACGGGGACACAATCCAGTGCGGAATCATGCACCGAATTTTGGCTCAAAATAATTTTTTTGAAATATTTGTCAAAGGCGGTCTCCTTCAAAAGGTGTTTCAACCTAGCAACAACGTAAAAACGACAGAGCTTTTTGTATTTCGTTATATTGATTGTTGAAATTTTAATCTTGTTTCGATGGAGATGTCTGTGACTGATTAGCATTAAAAGGCCGTGTCACGCTTTGACACGTGTCCTAAGACTCGTCACTATACAAACAGCTTAGTTTAGCAGCAAAATTGCAGCAAATCTGAAGATAGTATTAAATCAGTGTTTTTTTAAATTTAAATTTCATCTTCAAAACATAGCTTGATAAAGTTTATAGGTTGTGTGCATATAATTTACCCTGTAGTTTTTGGCAAAAATATTATAGCTTTATGTGATATTAATTATTAGATGGATAGTTTATGTTGCTATAATATATCGGTACTTATATCCCAATTGCAAACTTTCGAAATATGTTTGACTTTGTCGATAGGATCGATGACAGTCAAGATTCATCTTACAGTACAGGCGTGCATTAACGACTTTGCTTTATAGTTTCAGCTGTATGCCGGCTTGTAAGGTGTATTTATCTGATGTAACAAACGAGACCGCCGCATACCGTCGACTCGCAAAACAGTACCTGCGAATTGCCACTGCATTGTCACATATAAAAATGATAATTACAGCCCAAGTCAATAAAAATTTGCTAATGCGGTGAAATCAGCCAATCACGGTTCACTTTGGCCAGTTCTCAAATGTTGCAAAAGTTAAATGCCGCTGACGGTGTGCAGCGTGGGCTTCGAAATTGTAGAATATGGTGGCCAGAGAACGCTTGTATTTTGTTTATTGTTAATTTTTTCTTCTCTTGTGGATTTTTAATATGTACTTACATGGCTTATTAGAAGCTGATTTATAACTTTCCCAAGCGGAAGCATTTGTCGCCGTGTTTAAAGTGCCTTTCGTCTCAAAACAGGCGAACTATCGCGTAATAACATTCGTTCGGCATGGCCTTAGTATCAAGACGGCGTACCATATTTTACGGCATTATTTTTGCCACTGCACTGTGGTTTTTGTTCACAGTGGCGTTTTTCGTGAACGAACGTAATAGCAAGTCGTACTACGACAATATAGACTTCAATTCAGTGGAACTTGATAGAAAATTACGAGATAAGCGCGGACTCGCGAAGCACCCAGGCAACACAGCTCATTATGTGTATGCGGACTATGACAAGACACCTCATCGCAATCCTAACCAACCTGGCGAGCTCGGCGTAGCTGTGTACGCTGAATCTTGGGAAAAGGAGAAGGAGAACGAGGGCTATACGCAGCATTCTTTTAACCGTTTTGTTAGTGACAAGATTTCGTTGGAACGAAATTTACGAGATTTCAGGAATTCAAAGTAGGTTGAAATAATCCATAGTTATGACGACTACTTAGCTTTCGTTCTATTATGTTCTATGAAAGATTAGTGTGTAGTTTGACAACGAACGATATCTATGCCATATCATATGATATTTATGCAATATCATGTGATCTGTTGTAATGACTAGTCAGTGTTTGATCAATTTGGCATTAGAAATTCCATTTTAGTATTGGATTTTGCTATTTTAGATATGTTTAACATTCTCACCCAAAATATTAGGTCTCTAGTGTCCTAAAATAGAGAGCATTACACCCAAATACCCATTTAGGTATTTTATTCTGTCTTTGCCTATATAACCTAATGCATTGTACCCAGCTCATCAGTTAATTATCTATTCTATCCCATTTTATGCCTGAAGAATTTGGGTATCCCATAATCAGTATTCTAATACCAAAGTGCATAAAAAAAACATTTCTTTCAAATAACTTTTTTTTCATCATGTGGTTTAAGAGGTCACTACAAACAGTTTACTGTTGTTTACCTCCTTTTCACCTAACCATGCCAACTTTCTACACTAAAGGGAGGGATGCTTTTCTTTAAGTGGCCAAAATAGTCAAACTGGTCATATTTCAGATTGAAATAAAGTATTCCATTAAAAAAATGAAATTGTGAAACTGCATTTCCTGTGCTAGGCAGATATAAATAAGGATATATTTGAATGCAGAGTTCTTGAGACACTGTAAAAATAGTACCAATACTCTGTCTATATTGAAATTCATCAGGAATGGTTTTTATCTATTTATTTACAAATATTTATACACGGTAGCATCTCAACCATCAGATAAAAGCCTAATTATACATTAACTATAGTGAAATTTAGAAATGCATGGTCTGACCGTTTTTACCATATAAAGGAAAGTGCCCTAGTATTCATCTAGCAGGTCTTATTTCTAGACAGCATTAGGATCTCTCATTGTTTTAAACCTAAACTAATTTGAAGTTTGGCTTTGGGACATGGTTTCCTATTTTTCAAATTGGGTCTACAGACTACACACTAGCCTGAATATGTGTACAACTTAAAACTGAAATCCAGCATTTACGTATCTTGTTGTTTCTTTTCATTAAATTGTTAAAGGTATTATGGAATAGGCCAATAGGGTAAGGTTTGCTATCTGGATTTTGAATCTTGTTTCCTTAATAGGCAACTAACATTAGGAGGTCACATGACCTTTTTTTTCAAATCCGATTAACCTGATAAAAATGATATGACTGCACTTTTTATATTGGCCAGAGGGTCAATACAATGAATTCTTCTGCCTGTATTGTAAATGCCCCAATATAATATACACTTAATGTATGCTCCTGAGGGAGATAGTGAGTTTTGTTTTCCCAGGAGTCTGAAACTCACTATTTCCCTTGGGAGCATACATTAAGTGTTTTGTTATGAAAACGAAAACATACATGTTACATGTTACACAACAATTTCATTACAAAAATCACTTTGTTATGACAATATGCGGGCAACAATTTTTCACTTGTGTCCTTGGTGGGAAACATTGCATTTATTTAAAGTCATGTGACTACGAAGGAGCCAATCACATTTAAAATACACAGCACCTATATAACAACACTTGCTATTCAACATGGGGCTATCATACCACTGAAATGCTCTGTTTTCACTGCTGACTTTAATTATTAATACCGAACGGTATAACTTTGCTACAGTTTAGAAAAGCAAAAAGTAATCAAAATGTTGTAGTATTCAACAATTATTAATGGTTTCCTTGTTTGGATGGCCTGATCCAAACATGCAGGAGTGTTGCACACTTTTCTTAACTCAAGCAACATTCCCTAACTCTGGTCTCCACTGATTCAGCTGGTCCTTATAGTTTCTCAGAAATTTAATTCTTTACCGCAAATCGTTGTCTTCTTCGCGATGAAATTCCATTTCTGGTATATGGTTGGATCTTTGGAATAGGAAACTCGACGAGGTTAGCAGCGGTAACTCTACATCATCTTCAACATAGCTCAAAGGACGTCGGTTTATTTGAGTTTCTATGTCAAGTAAAACCTGGGCAAGCTCGTTCCAGTACAATTTCGAGTTTAACGCCGCTTCTGTTTGACTGAAACAACGCAATTCGTTCCATTCTCGAGGATGCAATCCTCTCCATCTCTCTTTGCGTTGTAAACAGTGTTTTCTTCGATATCTTCGCTTCGGCCTTTGATCCTGTCGACGGTTGAATGAACGGACTTTTAGGCCAATCCCCTCCTCGTTTCTCAACCATTTTGGACCGTTGCGCTAAAACTTTGTCAACTGACCACCTCTACTCCCTTGATCCGCTGGATTTTGGCACGTTTGAACGTAATGCCACTTGACTGAATTATGAGAACGGATCATTGCAACACGATTTGACGATATTCTCCAGCTCCTTCAATCATGCAAATACTGGGCGGCGGTACTGTTCAACCAACAATGTTGTTCGCTAATCCTATTTTCTCTAAATAGCCCTCGCAACATTTGTTATCAAATTCACCGGTCGTATATGACCAACGATAAGTTCTAATCTAGTAGCATAATCGACCGTTTGATCTTCAGTGGTTTGGGAACCATGGCTGTTTGTCTTCAAGCCAACTGACGTTTGATGTCCACTTGTGGGGTTTGGAGGCGATGTCTTCGAAATTGATAGTCGCTGCCTCTTTCTGTTGTTTCGCTTGCTCCACGGTCTCTCCATACAGGGATTTTTCTAGCTCCTCCAAATCATCTTGCTTCCATTGTTCTAGATGCATGTGAGGCGATGACTCCCTCAAGACGAAATAGCGACGAAACAAGGCCAAACAGCTCTGTTGTATACCGAAGGTTTGTCCTGATATAGGTGGATAGATTTCCTTTCCATGATAGTGCCGTCTTGTACCAACCTTCTGGTGACCTTGTCAGTTGCTCTTTAAACTCCTCGTAAACGCTAGCTTGATCATGTTCCGTCGTGTCTTTAGGTCCGAGGACATCTAGACGGCAAAGGGCTTCATAATCTGATTGGGAGGTTCAATCAATCAAATTTATTTAAAACATGGTAAAATCTTCAGTATAACATTTTACGATAACAATAACGAGTAACTAATTACATATAATTACAATGTCACTACAATTACAATGGTTCCGGGGCTTATTATCAACCAACCCAGCTTTGTCAACTGTGCTATTGTTTCTCTCCTAATTCCAGAACGATGTGGATCGGTATGGATTCGACTCCGCATCGTCCAGCTTGACATCCGTTAACAGATCCTGGTACCAGAAGATCCTTGTTCACTTTTGCCCAGTCTTGTTTCACGTTTTACTTTGAAGATTTTGAGATGAACAACTTGCGACGTCGTCAGCATGTCGATTAGGGTGGTTTTGGTCTCGGTAGATTTTATAGCTTCGGATAGTTTCAAAAAGTACCATTCCTCCCAGTCTGGGTCTGTGCCCACCAAATTCTCCCTGATGGCTTGGAGTTTACTCAAGGTCATTGGCACATGCCCATTTACCGTCTCTAGTTTCTTCAAAGTGCGAAGAGCTTGGACAGCATGCGTCAACTGGTCATTAAACTGACGGATTTTAGATATTCTATAATCAATTTAACACAGGCTTTAATTATTTATGCATTCTTGCCATACCGGGACTCAAGACCAGATTCCGACAATTTGCACTTCTTCGACTGTTTGTTTGAATTGGCAACTGTGTCTGTGATGGCTTTCAGGCCGACTAAATGGCGCTTGATTGCTTCTTCATTTTCTTTTTCTAAAACGCTCGCAGTTTTCGCTACAAATAGTCCCAACTGACTAAGTAAGCTTAACTTATCGTTTAGCTTTGATTTTGCTGCTTCCATAGTCACATGTAAACCCAAATACGTTGTGTCCCGTCGGAGGTGCGAGATTTGATCAATATTCTGCCTCCGCTACTCAGAATTTGGAATTCACCAAAGATCACAGTGATTGTGGGTTTTAGTATAGGTAATCATGCGATGGGGAGTACAATTCGGGATTAATGGTTCTTGCCCCAGTAGCTGGTCCAATTTTGGTAAAATTTTCAAACATCACGAGCTATACGAGCAACACATGAATTAATTTTAGCACCAAAGATTAAAAGGGAATCGTTCAGCAGCCAAACAAAATATTAATGTTGATTTGCCAGCATTTATGCATTTTTAGGTTCTCACAATGAACGCACGTTTGCCAATTTAAATTTAGTTCTTTAAAAATTGCTCCAAATTTACACTTCGATATTACGTTAATCATGTGGTATTCTTTTAGATGTCGATGGAAGAAATATCCTTTACACTTACCCAAAACAAGCGTGATAATATGTTTTCATAACGAAGCTTGGTCAACGTTACTTCGAACCGTACACAGCGTAATAAATAGATCCCCACCTCATTTACTCAAAGAAATTATTTTAGTTGATGACGCAAGCACAAGAGGTATGAACTGTTATACAACTGTTATACGTCCAAATTGATCTTTATCTATCACCATCTTGAATTTTAATAGAAAGTTCCCCAAATGCATTATATTCTCTTAATCGGGAGTTTATTATCACTATTTTTATCAACTAAAACTAAAGAAATACGCGCAAATACATAGCATTAATTGTGAAAAGATTATTGTATACCTCATTTAGAGTGAGAAGATATAGGTGATTTCGTCGTCGGGGGCTACTTTTACCACCGGCTGTAGTTAAAAATCTAACTGTGGTTATAGTGTCTTCGAAGTCCACAGGACGTACAGTACAAATGAATTATTTAAATCCTTCAAAGATCAAGTCACTTGTTGTGCCATAACATCATCTACACTTTATTTTAAAAAGAGAGAAAGCGTTTCACGAGCTGCGAAAAATTCCCCTAAAATACGCGCACGCTATATCGAGCTGTACGGGTGCATACTACAGCAATGACCATATCATGCAAATAATCCGATAAACCTCTATAGAATACAATTAACCAACGACTAAAACGAAATATCAATAAGATACCCTAGCTTATAGTAAAAAAATGTGTTTACCCCTTTTCCCCTTAATGGTGCATTAATGACAAAACGATAAAAAGTTCCAAAATAGGCACAATAAAATATTGAGCACGGTGCACACTTTAAAAGAATCCCTTGTACTTTAGATGAAGTAAAAGATAAATTAGACGAATACGTGAAAACCCTCGCTACGCCGGTGAAAATTATAAGATTGCAAAAACGGGAAGGACTTATTAGAGCAAGGTTAACAGGAGCTGCCGCAGCGAAGGCAGAGGTACTTACGTTCCTTGATGCACATTGCGAGTGCACTATTGGCTGGTTAGAACCGTTACTGACTCGCATTGCCGAGAACAAGTCTAATGTGGTAATGCCAGTCATTGATGCTATTGGCGATAAGGATTTTAAGTATAATAGTGTAAGTGAGCCATTTCAACGAGGAATATTTCGGTGGAGGCTAGAGTTCGGTTGGAAACCAATACCTGCTTATGAAATGAAAAGGAGGAAAGATGAAACCGATGGAATAAGGTACATGGTTTTAGTTGTCTATTTGTGATATATGTTACCAGTATACCATGTATTAAAGGTTTTTAAAGACTTTATATGGGAAAATTTCAAACGGTTTGAATTAAAATTTCTTGCGACATTGAATTTTATTGCAAAAAAGAAGGTTCATATATTATCACATGCTTGCTTAAATAGGCTGCCATTGAAAAATATTAGGTTATCAGCAAAAAGTACTACGAATCTTCAATATTTTTTGCCCTATTGCATTGGCGAAGTAATTCTCTGCGAGAGTGCACGAGGTAAAACAGGTGGAGTGAGCTTCCTATAAAACGTCGCTAAATTTTTCCGTTTAGGACCCCTGTTATGGCAGGTGGCTTATTCTCTATCAGCAAGGAGTATTTCGAAGAAATGGGAACATACGATACAGGAATGGATGTCTGGGGCGGAGAAAATTTAGAGATATCTTTCAGGGTGAGATACCGATAAATTTTTCATACTGTAAATAATGCTGCGTATTTCGAAGAAATTTAGAATATAAATAGAATCTAACATCGTTGATGAAACAAGGCATTGTGCATGTACGAACATACTTTAATTTCTGTTTGTACAATTACTTGATGTATTGGGGTAAATTGTCTTGGTTTATGAATATTTCACAGTGACGACATGCAGTAGCTGTCGATTCCTTTATTACTCCAGCGTGAGCGACGGAGTTGAATATTCGCCTTGGTTTGATTTGTTTTTGTTTTTTCGTCGCAAGTGTGTTTTGGCGCGAAATATACCAGTATTTGAAAAGTGAAATGCTCATTTGTATCCAGGAGTCCCAAAGAAAAAGTGAAAGTCATGTCCCTATATAGACATATCATGTAGACATGCAGTTTTGAACTTCTATACTTTTTAAAGTACGACGTTTAGGTTCACAACCTAAATAGTCTTCCCAACTATACTTTTAAAGCACGGTGTGCTGTCTGAATATCGAACAACATTTAGGTTCGCAAGGCTTCTAAATCAATGAGTATGAACTGTAGTGTTTATGTTCAAAAGCTTTATATTCATGACTGGCACGTGCGCGGCACGCCGGAGTTAACGCCAGAGCAGGCGTCTTGTTTATGTAACATTTACCTTGTGCTGTTGATGTAATCGGTTTGCCGCTATATAGTGAAAATGATCAGCTTGATTTCTTTTGTTTTCAAACGAGAGAGAAATTTGAGGAGAAAGAAAAATTGGTCTGTTTATCTGTCTGCATGACGACGTCAAATTTGTTAGTGCTTTTGAAATTTAAAAAACTAATATAAAAGACTGGTACTTAGGATAAACCCTCACCTGGGAATTTCGAAGTAACTGACATCCAAACATCTGTTTCTTATTGCGCCTTTTTAGATCTGGATGTGTGGTGGTGTTATTGAAATGTTACCCTGCTCACGTGTTGGACACGTGTTCCGTCCCAAGTTCCCCTACTCGTTTCCAGCTCGCCCCGGGTCAAACATTGATCCTGTGAGCAAGAACTTGATGCGCGTTGCCGACGTATGGATGGACGAGTACAGTAAACATTTCTATAATATAAGATATGACCTTAATTCGAAACAACACGATGATGTCAGTGAAAGAGTCAATTTACGCAAGAGACTTAAATGTAAAAGCTTTAAATGGTATCTAGATAATGTTTTTAAAGAATTGTCAGTACCGGATTCAAATTTCCTTTTCTCCGGGGAGGTAAGCAATGTGGACCGCCTAATACTGTTGCCTGCAAGTTTCATTTTGTAGCGCCTGTTTTCGAGGTTGAAAAAACTAAATTAGTTCAAATGTTTCCATGCACTATATAATTTATAATAATAATTTGAAAACACTTTTGCCTGTATTCTAAAAGCTCACTCACTCAGTGGGAGATCTTAATAATCTTCTCATAACGTTTCCATGGCGGTTCCAGTCGATAAGTCTTACCACCTATTTAGAAAGAACTTTCTCATTGACCAGTGACCAGCATTAACAATTGACCAAATTTATATGTCACATTCATTGCGAGTGTGAGTGAGCTTTTGGAATACGGGCGTTTGTCTTTGTTTTTCGATGACTAATGCCTCACTTTCTGAGGAAAACCTCCAAAGCTTATTTTCACATAGAATTGGAGCTACAAAGAATTTGTAATAAATTATATCATTTTCAAAGGCACTATAATGGCACTATTATTAGAACAACATATTTTTTTAATCAAATGCCTTTTACGGCTTTTACCAATCAAATATATATTTGCAGGGCACGCGCTGTACGTGTGCATAAACCATGTGAGAAATGGAGGAAACGGGAATTTTTGCAAATTATATGTCGTTTCGTTTGTCGTTTCGTATTACATATGTCTCTATATACATTATGAAAACGATTAATTTCTTTATCAATCAACTGTTTATTTTTTACGTGACCCAAGCAAAAGGAAAGCGTGACTCGAGTTTAATTTTAAACATAATTTTAGTTCATTTCCATGTCGTCCATACGTGCAGCATGGTCTTATGAATGAATTATTCCTTCCACTTTATTAGGTGCGTAATCCACAAAGCGGTATGTGTTTTGATACCCTCGGTAAGCGCGACGATCATCCTTTAGGCCTTTACCAATGTCATGGCCAGGGAGGAAATCAGGTAACATATTTTTGTGAGTTTAGTTCGGAATACATGCATGTTGGTCTTGTCTTCAAAATACTAGAACCGTGCATGGCCTTTATGAAACGTTTATGCATGGGTCATGCACAGTTAAAGCAGTATAGTAAATACAGAGAGACCAACCTCGACATGCAATAATGTATCGACGAATATTTTACCTCCCAGTAATGGATTAAAATTTTTTTTGTTAATTTTTAGCGTTATTTCATGCTGAATCCATCGTTGGTTTTTCTTTTCTCTTTCAGTACTTCACTTTAAACAGCAAAGGAGAACTCAAGTCTGAGGACAATTGCCTGGATTTCAATGGCTACGATTTATATCTTAGAGAATGTGATGACTTAGGACAAAATCAAAAATGGGAATACAAAGTAAACAAACTTTCTTTTTTACCGTTTAAAAATGATTTTATGGAAGAATTTGTCCACGTTCGTGGTATGGTCAAATGACTTATGGTCAAGCGATAAGAAAATTATTAATATTTTCGTCCACTAGTTTTTACATTGCCACTTGCCACTCAAAAAACGGCGAGCTTGTGTCTGAATGCTCAACTTAATAATAATACTTATAAGAAGTAGGACAACGTTCACTGAACCGCCCTTGAAGTTGCACCTTCCAAGACTTTGACATAAGATGCGGAAATTTTGCCGCCTCATAACAGCGAGGGCGCCTTCCGAAATCCAGTGATTTTACTGATCGCTTGGGCGAGCAATACTTTAGAATAATTTGCATTATGATGCCATAAGCAGGCGAATTTTGTTCAAATTATTTTGATCGAAATATCCCCTTTACGAAATTTCTTTTACGGCGTATATAATCGACTTTTTTTCCTCTTTTACAGGATTCTAAAGTCCACAATATACGTCGCAATGTATGTCTTGATCGTGGAGATAGTAATAGTGAGTATGTGAAAGCTGTCGCATGCAGTGGACAAGAATCCCAGGTGTGGATGTTTGGAAAATCAAAGTGAATGATGATGTATCCGTCTATAATAATTCGTTACTGTTGGCTAATGTTTCCTGGTTACTATTAGCTTTCACTATATCGTAAGAATAATTTCTATAAAAGGTTAAATGTAAATGGTCATGGTTAACTGCTTGCCACCTTGACATGTTCACAGTGAAATTGAAACTAGGCTTGACCGAGAATACGATCTCTGATGCGACCTCATGCAGTTTTATAGTAGCCCAACAGCCAGGCGCTGTAATTTCTATTATTTTACTTTTTATTACTTATTATTTTTTATTACAATAATTGATATTTGCATGTATTTTGTTGAAGAGATGTTTATATTTTGGTCATATTTAAACTATGAATGTTTAAAATATAGGCTTTTCTTGCCAACCTTACATAATTATATATACTATATGATGACATCATACCACAGTAGAGCGCCTATCTATTGGGCTACCTATGATATGGCGCGAAATGACTCTGAACGTTGGCTAGCGAATTTTAAATTAATATCGATTAATACCCATTGAATGAACTGAAATAGGAGAATAAATTAATAAACAGGATTTAAATTTGAGACTGTTGTTGTGATGATCTCAATCGCGCATTGATTATGTATATATATATATATATATATATATATATATATATATATATATATATATATACACCCATTTGCAAAAACGTTGGCCGCAGATAGATAGATAGATAGATACTCGAAGTCTAATTAGAATTGCATATGAATACATTTGCATGGGATTTCAATCATATTACACAACATATGCAATTCTAATTAGATTTCGGGTATCTATCTATATATCTATCTGCGGCCAACGTTTTTGCAAACGGGTGTATATATATATATATATATATATATATATATATATATATATATATATATATATATATATACAACAAAGAGTAGGAATCGAGACCATTAAGAAAATTAGCATGTTTTCATTTTTGGTTACCCAATCAGAATACCGCGGTCACACTACCATTTTACAAGAGGCATAAAAAATTTAGGCATTCTGAATTGGCTTTGCCTGTAAAATTTTAACAAATTTGCGGATTAGTTTAAAACGAAATTCCTCCTTGTTATTTGTTAAAAACCACCGTAATCATGCATCGCCTGAAAGATAGTCTTCTGTTAAGCCTGGTTTCCATATGACGCCGACGTCGGCAAAGTATTATTGTCGGTGATTACTGATGAGTGAAATCTTTTGTCTTTCTGAAATCATTTTCTCCTTGGATGATTACAGACAATGAGTCGGCGACAGGTCGGCGTCATATGGAAACCAGGCTTTAACCCGCTTTTACAAGAGTTTACTGCTCGAAACAACATCTCGTCTTGTTAACGCGTAATTTGCAAATGTTGTACCTTTTCTCGGTCGAAGTGAAATTCTTGCCGACGCCAGGACCATTTCGCGCCTTTTTTCATTCCGCTGAGAACATGCATGGAGGCTGTATTCAGCTCGACAGAATACATCGTGCAAAAGAAATCCGGAATTTTTTACGGATTCTCGGTCGACGGTATATAGAATATCTGGTTTCGACATGGGGGCTGCTGTGTAACATACAGTCTGTATATTAGCGAGCTTAAGATTTAAGACGGTGACGTGACAACGACGGCTAAAAAATTCTTATATAATACAATAATAGATGCGCGAAAATAAAAATTTAAGACATTGCTTAGGAAGTTGGAAGACGTTCACCTTCCAAGGCTTAAAATGCTGGTTTCTACATAAGACGCGGGAATCTGTGATTTGCGCCTCGTAAACAGCAAGGGCGCCTTCTAAAATTCCCAAGAGACTTTAATATTCGATTTGGTCATTAGCCGGCGGCGTTACGTCGTGGCTCTTAAACTCGCTAGGAACCCCGAAACATTCGTATGATATTTCTTTGAAAGTGGTTGGTATCGTCAGTGTATCGTGATAAAGGAGCATCCAGGTTCCGCAGATGAATTCTGCATATCGGCGTGGTACTGATCCTTAACATACAAGTTCCTGCTAACCTTCTCAATCTTCTATTCTTGTAAATATATACATTGAATATTTTTTGCTCGTTTTTGACCTGGACACTTTTTGTAGCCAATTATTTCTGGGGAGAAACTCTCCAATTCAAAACAATAAAAAGTAGTTAACATCATTTTTGAACAGACAAAGGAACCAACATCAACAAGAAATCTTTTATTTTTTATACTGTTATACTTCATTTACTACTATGTATTCTTGGAATCTCATTTTCTGGATCATGTTAACTCAGAATTAATTCAAGATTCCTTTTAGTTTCCAAATCTGTGGTGTGAAAACTGGAAATGGAAATGTGAAGCGCCATCTCGATTCCTTGCGAACTGCTAAGAAATTAATGTTTTCCTTTATGGAAACACCAATTTCCTTTGTGTTGTTTCCATGTTGACTGTAAAAATGTACGTTTATTGAGTTCGTTTGTGATTTTGAACTGTTTTCAAGGCAATTTTATGTTTTGTCATATATTATGGCCGTCATATAATGTAAGAATGTGTTAAGCAATTTAGATTGTTTGAAATATGGGCGATACTTTGTGGGAAGACCGCGATGTACGCTTTGACATCACTTTGCAGTAAGTCTTGTTGTGTTGTGTGTGTACCGTATTTTGTGTAGGATTTTTAACTCACTTTCAACGATGCAACTCACTTTCAACGATGCAAGTGTGTAAATTCGATAGTTATTAGCCTGAATTTATTTTCTTTACACTCATCAAATCATTCAAATGGGGCGCCGGGGGGGTGGGGGGCATGCAAATGTAGGTAACAATCCCAACTCCCAAGGCATTCCTGGCTGACCTGGCAGCATATTTTCCCGAGCAATTTGGAAAAACAAGTGTTGGGAATGTAATGCAAATGCTGGGAATTGATAAGTATAACACATATATTATATTGCACATAATGGCCCTCCCTCTACTGCTGTGGTTTTGATTATAAATAGTTATATAAACAACAAATGTTAATCATGCAAGCTAGGGGTGTGAGGTTAAATCATATTTCATATGTATTTGTCAAATGTTTTTAATTGTCAATATCAATTTGTCAAATGCATCAATTGTTTTTACTAATCTAATTTTTCCCCTTAATAGTAAACATTTTCTGTGTTTCTGTATAGTTATGGAAACATATGGGGAGTTTGGGCGAATTATCATTTCCAGTTCTCCAAAACTCCCACAAGTGCTTCTATTTAACAATTAAACAATGAGTCTGAGTTGTCTATGAGTGAATAGTCATGCAGCGAAGGCGAAGCCTGAGTTGACAATTCTCTCATAGACAACGAAGGCGAGTACACCCTGTACCTAGATATATTAATTTCGAGAAAATAATCGATACACCGCAATTACACCGAAAAATAATTTAATTAATTCAATCTTATACGGTCGCGCAAGAGAATTTTCCCCAAATGTTCACCATCACGAATAGACAATGGTTGAGTAGCCAATCAGAATGTATGATTTGTGATAGATAGTAGTCGGATGTATACTAAAACTGTATAGAAACACAGGAAAAACATGTTTTATTTTTTTTTATAACTCAGTAAAGAGATTTTGTACAAATATTTAATTCAATTCAATTACAAATTCTCATTACATTACTTCGCTTGTCAGTTTCGGCGACAATATCCCTGTGTTTCTATACAGTTATAGAAATACACTTCTCGACCAATCAACATGTGCATAGTATGCATAAATTTTATATTATAATATGTAATGTAATAAGGGTGATTCTCTGGTTACCAATGTGACATGTTTGGTACTCCATTTTCTTACACCATAGACAATTGTGAAAACATGTCTTCTGGATTGTCTATGGTTACATACAATATATGAATCCAGAAGAAACGCTCAGTGTAATGTGTGCGACCATAGGTAGCCCAGAAATGTTTTCGTTCTTGTGGCGCTCACATGTGTACGCTAGTCTACTTTGTCTATTAATTATCATAACATATGATTATCATAATAATAGATCAGACTGTGACCCGAGTAGACTTGCATACATGCGCGAGCGCCACAAGAACGAAAACATTTCTGGTCTGTTTTTGGTGCAACTGGGGAAGCGCCTATAAAACTGCTTTTTTTGTTTTCAGACAAATGAAAATGAGAAATGGAGAGGTATGGTTTTGAAATTTTGGACATAATTTCAGCTCTGTTTGGTGACTCGAGTGTTTACCTATTGCCTATTGCCTATAACTATGTTATTTCATTTTTCATTTGCTCATACATTTTTGTAGCTAAAATTTTTAGACAGTTTTATTGGGAGCCCCCTTTACTTGAAACCTGGAATCATGATGCCCACCAGGTGTCTCATTGACTATGTACTTTGCTACTGTGGAGTAATTTGCCTTACCTTTTAAAGGGAAGAACAAGCATAAAATAAAGATCACGGAAAGGCATGCATCTGCACTGAGAAAAAGTTAAATATTTTATAATTGTAACAATAAATACACATATTTTCATATTTAATTGCTTTTCATATTGTATTGATATGGGGACACAGCCTATTGGAAGATTTCAATGAACTCTCATGTATACATACCTTAGACAATGCACCACTAATATAGGTTTGAACAGCTAGAAGGATGCAACAAGGGCATATTTAGATTTTTAGAAAGTGTCCCAGAAAACATCTTCAAATTTTTCATTATAATGTAGAATGTTTAATTCCAGGTGCAAATTGACAAGCTAGATTCAGTAGAGGACACAAAGGGAAATAATGGTGACAGAGGTATTGTCTATACTATATATGATCATTCCAGAATAAACACTTCACATCATATTTCAAATAGTATTTGCAAATTGGAATTGCGACAAGTAAATATGGCAAATTGTAACCAAAATTTTAGACTAATATAACTAATACATCATTGCGGAAAACGTTTTATAAATCCATGTCTTGGCTTAATACCGTTTAATAACATTCTGTTTATTACATGGACTTGCTTTTAGCGACAAAAATACAATATTTTAATAAAATATTTTAATAAAAGAAAAGAGTACAGCGTCTGACACTCAGACTAAATCCTTACCGTTGTTTGTTGGAGAAATATCCTTTAGTTTATAAATCGGCATTTTGTTAGGTTTTCGCATTCGGTTTCCCGCGACAGAGTTATCTGATATTTGTTGAAGAAATATCCCTTATAAATCGACATTTAGTTATGTTTTCGCCTTGTTTTTCGCGACAGAGTTATTAACATCGTGCAAATCTTATTTCGAAAATAATATCAACTCATTTAACTGATTTAAGTCAGTTTCCCGCCATTTTTCGTTACGTCACTCTACGCGTGGCATGGCATAGGTAGCCCAATGGCGAATGGTTTATTAGAAATAAAAATGCACTAAAGCCACTGTGACTAAAACATTAAAAATTTGAATAAAGCCATCGTAACTTTCATGAAAATTGTGAAATTGACAGATGTCTTTATTAACTTGGCAATGATACTTGTTGCCTACAACGAGCGACGTGTGTTTCTGACAACTACAAACAATTAACAATGTAGTTAATATACTTGCAAAAGCTGACTCCAATAATTGTTTTATTATACATTTAAAAACATTAAAAAAATAAACATGTCCATGCAGGCACTCATTAGTCATCAGTCCTGCATATGGTTACAGTAACTGGAAATAACTTCGTAATTTTTGACCTAGACATGCATCAAGCAAGCACTGTAGTAAACTACTTGCAATTTGCAAATCGTTTCTGACATTCTGTACTTTTTGTATTTTAATGTGTTTAGGACGGTTGATTGTTACCAACCTACGAATTATATGGCACTCTCAAACAATGCAACGTGTCAATCTTTGTGAGTATAAAGAAGCAGAAGCTACCAACTGCTCCCAACTGCTCGTATTATTCTTCATTGTCTTCACCATCATGTATCCGTGTTTTTCTTGATATGCTATCATGTATCCGTGCATGTTTTTGTGAATATGCTACATTGATTATATTTTACCTGTGGTGAATATAATACCTGTGATGTATGTATTACCATTTCTGTTGATATGAGAATTAACCCGGAGACACTGCAAAAAAAATACGCCTGATAATTCTGTACAGTTATCAGATGTTTAAAAGAGAGCACTTTTTCAGTTGTATTATACAGTAAACCCGTTCCAATTTCCCGTGTAACAAAAGTCAATTGAATTTATAATCTGATATGCTGAAGGAAAATGTCGTTTATATATACATTTGAAATATGTTGTGCTTTGCACTTTATTGTAGCTGTTGGATTTGGATGTATCGTTAATCTCTCAACAAGAGTTGCAACATCAGTAAGTTTATTTGAACTATCAGAAACTAATGATACTATAATGTTTCTTGTATAATTTAAGCTTGGAAATAATGAAACATTTCGTGATTTTCTCTATTCAAGTTGTCGCACGGTATGAAAGGCCTTGTTTATCTTTCCCTTCCAATTTTTCTTTTTAAATAATGCTCAACCTTATATATATTACAAAGTTATTTAAGTCCATTTTGGGCGAATGTCATCCACAAGTCGCTCAAATTTCTACAGATACTGCACGTGGGTAATTTTGAATGGATAATGAAGATACTCAAGTTTATTATATTTGTCCAGAATTGGAGAAGAATGCTCCAGTGGGTCGAAAACGTTTTAAAGTCTGTCTTTAGCAAACGTCAGTTCAAATTATTGCCTAACCTATATCGTTTATATAAACTATGTTGCACATAACCCCGCCTGCCTTTTTGAATATAAAAGCTGTTTCACACGTTTTCGAAGGCTCGTAATGACAGTGAAATGGAGCGACTTCGTTAATTGTATGTGCGTTCAAATAGGAAGTTCAAGAAGTTACATACTATACAAGAACCTCATGCAGCTATATAGATGTGCCAGTTAACAAATGTATCTCAAATCCTGGTTCATCAAGTAGCCAATTCGAATTCTGGCAATTAAAAGGAATATCAGTCGAAAAATTTAGTTCAATCGAAAAAATTGGCTTATACTGGATATTCTTAAATTGCTTATACATTTATTTAGAAACTTCGCGGCCAAACGGAATCTCTGTACCTTTTGACGAGGTGTAATCACACAAGATTTGAATTTATTTTTACTAACCTGGTGAGAATTGCTTCTATGTCATGTGTAGACGACTAGACCTATCAAGGCGTGGGTTAGTGCAAAGAGTTTGCTAAATAGAATTCTGAACTGTAAGATGATGCATACATGCACAGTATTCTAAAATTGATATGATCCAAACGTCATCCCAACTATAACTGTATTTGTGCATTTATTTCAGTTCAGTTTATAACACAGTTCAATGCAATTAAGCTCTTTGAATTAAAAAAAATTCTAGCCACAGTGAAAGGGCTATTCTCTCTTGATTCTGTTTCCTCTTTCTATTTTTTACGCATATAGTAGGATTGCACGCCCTGGATGTAGTAGGAATAATCATTACGAAATGGTTCACAGCTAATTTAAACATGGTTTTCGTATCGCTTATATAGTTCTCCTATGTATGTATGGTTACCGAAAATTGCCCAACGAATCGGATTTAGGCGTTTACGAGGAAGTCTATACTGTTCATGTATATATATAGCTATACTATATTGCTGTAACAGATTGTCTTTTATTAGGTGTCAGGAAGCCCAAGATTATTTTCGACTGTGATGTCAGTTTTTAGGTTAGTATTATATACGTTGTTCCAATAGTTATATTTATCATCACATTTTTATGGACATGCAGCTTTTTAATGGCCCGCAGTTTAGAAATTTTAGAAAATGCAAGTATAAATTAAATCATTTTGTAAATGCATGCACAAAGCGTGTTAGTATAAAATCGCTATATTATTAGCGTACTATATAGCATACTCATTATATACAATGCGTATCCATTTTGATTGGACTACATAGGGACTTCTAAAATATTATTCGGCATTTAGCTCAAGATGATAAGTAATGAAAAATGAAGTTTAAAAAAGAATCTGTATATGCATGGAAATGAAGATTTGCTGTTATATCTATGATAATATTCGATAAATTTAGTAAGAGGATGCATTTTTTCCTACCATTTTTCACAATTATTTTCCAGTGACAACAACGTAAGTAAACATGCATGGAATGCCACTGTTTGATATAATGTGGAATAAAATCGATAAACGGAAAACGAGACACAAACTTGGAGTCAAACTATTTAAGAAGCGCCGGGCTTTATAAATATTCAATATATAGCCTATATTTTCCACTCTTCAGAGCCTATGAATCATCGAAACTATATCGTGACTTGAAACTGCGGGGTGCTTTGATTGAAAACAAACAACTTCGTATTCTTCCTCTGGAACAAGTCTATGACAAGGTATAGTGAAGAAAAATAGCTCAATATATATTAACTCGGACGTGCCGGGCTATATCATTGTAAGCAACGTTTATTCCCCATTTTTTACGCCACGTTCATACGCCGTCTCTGCCGTCTCCTTCTCGTTCTCAAGCTAAATCCGTCTATCATGCATGTGCACCAAAGAGTTGGAAGTAGTTCGAAATAGCTACTAGCCACTTATAGAGACAGGCACCACGCATGATAAACAGACTTTTGAATAGACTAGGGGGTTTCAAGGGTTAGCAGGATGTGTGTTTCTCTCGTCCACATCTCTTTGTTATACGCTTATCTATATATTGATGCATCCGTCTCATGCATGCATATATATTTCCTGTTCTTTCCTCCGTCGTTTAAATTGAAAACAACAAAGATTGATTTTAATATTTTCTTAGATCAATGGTGTATGGAATTTATCAAGTGACCAGGTTTGTGACATCGCTCGTAATCAAGTTCTATAAGCCTGTTGAGAAAGTTTGCACTTCAATTATTTCACTATGTAAAAGTGGAACATTAAGGTGCATGCGACAGTCTTTTCAAAAGAACTATTTGAGTCCGGCAGTTAAGGTTTGCTTTCTAAAAAACACCCTTTTGACTCGTACCAGATGAAACGCATCTAATTAACAGTTATTCTGCGAACTGGAGTCGTATATGAGCTGATAGCCGACGAGAGTGAGCAGAATAACTGTTTTATTATACACACAAACTTTAATTGTCGCCCTTTCGGTGCATTTTGGTGTGCTATTATCAACTAGGCTTGGATTTCTATTTCACTCAACTCCCCAAATCTTTCCGCCATTTTGTTTACTTTCTCTATACTAGACAGATATGAGCTAATATCTGTCTAGTAGCCAACCAATGAAATTGCAGCATACCTCATATCTGGCGCTTGTGTATATAATAATATATACACGGTTATTTGTACTGGTGCATGTGGTTGTACATTTTGTTATGAATACTATACGGCATGGTTACGCGAATTTTTTTTCAGGGAATCTTGTGTTATTTTTATTTCAGGGTAATCTTGGCACATTTTACATAACTAACGTACGCTTGGTCTGGCATGCAAACATGAATGACAGTTTCAATGTCAGCATTCCTTATCTGCAAATGGTAAGTGCATAATATTTCTATTTACGAACAAAACCTTTCGATGGCGAATTTTCAATAATGTGAGAGTAATTTGAAATCTGAAAAATACACATATTATTATACGCAGTCGTTTAAAGAATATTTCATGTACGTAAAGAGAAACCCCAATCGCGATTTGGATTCTCGTTCCACAAATTATTAACATGCATGTGCCATTATGTTTTAGTGAGCAATAACTTCTCCACCTTTCTTACTTGTTATAATTATACTGTATTTGGAAATCTAACTTTAAGCAAAGGAAACAATTTTATCGGTAGTGATAACTTTTTCTTCCCGTAATAATATCGATATTGGAAGGTATAAATTAGTATATAATTCTTTTAGAAATCTGTTCGTATTCGGGATTCAAAATTTGGGCTGGCGTTGGTCCTGGAGACATCGCAACAGGTATTAAGATGGTTGATAAAAACAATATGCCTTAATTAAGATTTCGCAGTCAAACCTATTGCAATTTTATAGCTACCTGATTTTTCTAGTACTGCAAAACACTATTTGTCTATAAATGACGTGAATACTTCATTGTAACTATTCTAAACCTAGGCTATAGTGCATTTGGAATAGATGGAACTCTTTTCGATTCTTATATAATGCATATACCTTGATATTTGCCTCTAAGGAGGCGATATTTCCGTAAAAATCCCTTGATTGGAAGAGATATATCTAGGGTAGACAAATTAGGTATTCTTCAAACATTTTCCTGACTTTCTTATGCACATGAGGGCTGAGGCATTCTTATGGATGTAAGGTCCTAAATTTATGATGGAAGAAATAAAAAAGGCAGTTTAAAAGTAAGCACCTGGGTGTGAGGCTGCGTGCATGGCTTTTTGTTCATTATATATTCGATGTACTGTGGCTCCTTTGTTTAAGGATTCACTTTAGCTTATCCCTAATGCTGCGGTCAACAGATTGACATTAAACTTGAGATTAAGGTTATCCATCTTCAAACCATATCTAGAGCGGCGGGTACGTACTTGGTTTCCGTATTGATCCTGCAGAAAAGTTACAAGATGCTGTCAAAGAAATTCAGAGTCTTCAACGGGTATGTATGCATGCTATAATAAATAGTATGTATGCAAGATTAATATATTAATCTGATCTGAAATCAATCACCTCGTTTATCTTAAGGTTTATAGCGCTAGTCCTATATTTGGAGTGGAATTCGAGGCAGAAGAGAGGGTAATTATGTCATACGTTTCTTGTCAAATAGTTGGAATCAGATCGCGATTTTACACATGCGTGATAGCCGTAAATAATAAGGCTTTTGTAAGTAATCGCAGTACATGACGGACCTTTCAGAGCGAGAAACAAATTTTGGCAGTTTTTAAATGTTTTAAAGTTTGGCGGTATAACATATTACTAGCGACCTTTTGAAGAGTTCTGCATGCATATGATTCCTGCATGTGATGTGGCTAACTGTAGGATATGACTAAGTAACATTTTTATAATTTAAATTTTTTGCCATATCTCTTGTCTCTCCATATGATCCTGGATTCACAAATAAACATCTGTTTTAACATGTCAAATTACATATTTTCAAGTACTATAAATATTTGATGAATTAGTCATGTTTTATAACATTTCAAAAATTCTCATTCCTGCTACAGACACTGTGTGAAAACCCTAAACACGATATTGTAGACTATTTTTTAGAATTTATAAAATTTTGCAGGGTATATAACCAATATTTCTTCTTACACCCATTTGTTTGTAGCCACATACTCTACAAGAAGCAACAGTTGACCCAGTACTCGATGATATTGAGATAACCAGTGAAGGCGAAGGAACTGATGCATTTGCAGTAAGTCTTATATATGAATGAATAATGTAACTCTTAAAACTTAACTGAAGTTACTCGCGTTGAAAGGGCATAACCTACTTTTTTTATTTTTTTTCCAGGCGTATTTTGCAGACGGAGACAAGGTGAGTTCCATGCATGTTGTGTGGTGATATTTTCTGAATGTACTTGAATTTCGCTACACGTGGTTTGAACAGGGAAGTATGCACAATAATTTGCTAATTGTGATGCCGATTTTCTCCGAACGAAAAGCTCTATAAGCATACGATTTTTCATCAATTCCGAGATATCCTTTTAACCATAATGTCAATGGTTTTCTAGTCTAAAGACCGCGAGCCTGAATATAATGCCGAACTTGGGTTGGCAATAGAGAAATTGAAAGATGGATTTACATTACAGGGCCTTTGGGAGGTTGTGCCAAGTTGATTTTCATGTTTTTCTGCCAAAAAATGTAAATTATCCCATGATGTAAATATGGATGTTTTCGTATTAATATATTAAATAATTTAATTATAAGTGCATGGACAGTGCATGTTTACATAAAACAACAAAACATGTAGCAGTATCTTCACTACTAGAAATACATGCATGCAAAATCCCCTCGCCTGAAGTAATAAACCTATATTTCCATTAGTGAAATTCTATAATACTCGTTTCCGCTGAATGATCGAAGTCGTATAAGTAAAATCCTATATCAAGTACAATTAGTCGACTCTCGAGCTATCACATTCAACTATAATCGTAATTCATTAATTGTGCTACGAATAGTTTTAAATACTACAACGTTTGTTGATAAATCTACAAATTAAACTTACGAAATACTTGCATGCTTTAAAGTACAAAATCTACCTATTTACCTGTTTAAAAACACTCGTAGATTTTTCACCATGTATTTGAATCAAAGTTTTTCTATCCGAAAGCATCATTTACTTTACATTTTAATCAATTTTCCGAATGAATTTTTCCGTATATTTTCAAAACCATCCAAATGAAAAATATTTTTAAAAAAGTTTTATAATTCAAAATATCAGTTATGCTGACGCGAACCAAAATTTTAATTTAGCCAATCGCAAATCGCACGCTCGCAAACGTTTGCTGGTTACCAGTTTTAACTCTTTTTAAACTCACGCATGCGCATACTTACAAAAACGCCCAACGTCCATGACATAATTATGGGGGACAACTTTCATTTCGCATTTGCATTCCCGGGCGTAATTAAAATCTCCGGGCGGAATTAGTACCCTCGCCCGGTGCTTCGCACCGGCTCGGGGATAAGTTGGTTTAGCTGCAACTGTGCATCTACAAGGGCGTTCTAAAGATATATAAAAGCACATGCATGTTTTGTATATGCAAGCAAAACATGCGATAAGGAATGGGAAGCAAAAAATAATAATAAAACACCTGCTTTCGTTGCCAAAACAATCAAGAGGAACTTAGGCATGGGAATTTCTGAATAAATGAAGATGTTAACATTAAAATAGAAATTTAAATTTCAAATATTAACCAAATTAAGGGATGCATGCATTGGTAAATATATAATAAGGAATCCGTAGTAACGATATAATAAGGAATTATATATAAGAGGAGGAGGAAACGACGCATCCCCTGTCGTCTGCAGATACCATTACTCAGAAAAGAACAGACGGCTCAAATTTCCTGATGAGTACCAAGGGTAAAATGTTTCGTAACAGCTTCTGTGTTGTGGTTAACCATTGCCCACAGTGTTCACCATGCACGACTTTATTTCCAAGTAAAATTATCGTTGTAGTGCCAACCACAATACCACATAGTTACGTTGATTAAGGTGTCTTTGTTTATTTTTCGCCATCACTCTGGACGAATTTGTTTTTCTTCCTTGGTGAATTTCCGTCTTTTCTATGGTATTCGTATACGTAAACACAAAATATATAATCAAATTTTCGACGCACAATACTATATATGTATTTTAAGGCGTAAGCTCTAACAGCATAAAAAAACAAACAAGGATCCCATGCAATTTGGTATAAAGCTTGAAAAAAACGGTAAGCACAATTAAGGCGAAGAAACGCACGAAAACGGGTGAATACCGCCTTTGCCAACGCAACGAAAATAGTAGATCATAAAATCTCATAATCCGTATATATTTAAATCGAAATCGAGGACATAAAACGCGAAATGTGAAACATGATTCGACTATAGGTCGAGCAAATACATAAACTTACATTAATATAGTGTGAATCCTAAACTTAAACTGTACCAAACTCTACAATAACTAAATACAAGGGGGGGCCTTGTAGAGATGTTTCCTTAGTATCTCAACCTTACTTTATAAAACACCTTATTCTTCACTCGTAGATCTTTTAGCTCTTTACCATGTTGATACCTCCACTATACTTCCCAGTTCTGGTGGCTACAGCATGCCTTACACATGCATAATCAGGTAATCTAATAAACTAAAGTTCCTGTGGTACTTATAAAATAAGGGTTATAAAACGTAAGTTTCCTGTGATAAGCACAGTTATCAATAACATAATAACCAGACTAGCAGTTCCAAACCTTCAAAAGGGCTCCTGCTATATTTCGTAGAGTAATCATGGACACTACATCACTGTTTCACCATTAGATATGCCTAATTCGTCGTTCCTGTCATTCTGTTCTTCTTTGTCATCGGAGGTTTCTTCAGGATTATATACGTGCCACGAAAGCACGAAAAGCATTGATGACACACCTATACAATGAGTAAAAGAATACAAATTTACATTGATAGAATTTCTGAAAAAAATAAATTCGTTTTTGTATGGTAAAAACGAACAGAGCTAAAGTCTTAGGAAAGGATTAACAAAAAGCTATAATTATGTTATTATGTTAATCTATTGCGTTAAATTCATTCATGCATGACAGCATTTCACTTGAACGACTATCAAAAGCCATGCATTATCGATGATTAGGTTGCGATTGTTGGAGACATGAAAGGATGTGAACTTGTCATGTTAGAACAGGCCAACATAGAAGCAAAGGCATCATCGTGTTCCACACTTCGATTTCGGGTACTGCCTTTTTGAAACAGTATAACTGTACTACTTCTTTTTAATTTACATCGGGTTTTTGCCCAAACGTGCAGAAGGGCGAAATTGTCATGTGCCTCACCGATTATTACTGCTCCAAAGATACAGATATTCCTTTCAAGAAGATGAATATTGTAGTCGAAACACCTTCCTCTCTTACCACAGAGATCTTGCCACAATCGGCAACAAAGGTCGAATAGATGGCCCATAATTATAGGACCTGGAAGTAACCCGATTGTCTTCAGCATTAAATACTGTATTCCCGTTGCGAACGCTCTTTTGTCGTCCGGAACGCATCTGGAAGAGAATAAATGAATGAAGAAATAATACTGGGCGGCTAAAATAATTGTTTCCTCTCTTTGATTCTTTTCAATAAAGTTTACCAAACACCTTGACTTATAAATTCTGTATAAAAGGCCTAAATTGCGAATAACGCTTTTCCACACGTCCAGGATCCGGCTGCACGGTTTCCTGTGCGGAAAATTATCAATATAAACTTTGAAGAAATAAAAAAGTAGTATATAAAAGTAGTAGTCGAATAATGCGTCACAATTGCATGGATATATGTTAAGCATTACATCGCATATCAATGTGATAAAAATTGAAATCGAAAAATTTTTTTTAAAAAATCCGAAATGGGCATATATATACTAAACTTATACCACTTTCATTCATGTATGACACGAATTTGCACTCTCGTCAAACACCGTGTGAAAAAAAAATTATCCTTACCTCAGAACAACAGTTTGTGTTGGAACGATCGACGCAAAGCGTGAAAATAGGGCAAAGCCAAGGAGGAAAAAAAAGATGGCCAGATTTTTACAATCTCTATCGCAGTAACCTTGCGTTGCTGTATCTGCATTGGTAGGACCAGTAAGGATACAAGAACAACTTCCAAACGTCTAGTGAAATATATAAACGGTGAAAAGCGGTGAAAGTGTGTTATTTAGCCCTGTATATCTATAATGCCGTGATCAATCTTGATTATAGAAAGTTCGAAACATCACCAGACAGGGTTTTTTGTATTTAGCGGTAGTTAAATAATTCCTCCTTGTTATCCCACCTACGTATAGGGCTCGGCTTCTAATGGAACATTTTCGACATGCAGTTTATCAATTTCCAAATATTTAAAGCCCTCTTTCTTCATGCATTGTCGCGGAGATTCACACGCACACGAAAACTGCACCACACAATTTTACAAACATTAGAAACGTTGCTAGATACATGGAGCGCTGCTTTGAAATCATATAGAGAATTCAATTTTTGCTGAAGAAGATCAGTGCATCATGTTTACGTACCCGATTCTTGTATTTAGCAGAACAACCAGCATAGCAGGGATTTGCATAGACAATATTGTCAGAGCCACACACGGGTATGAACTTATCTATTCTGCAGCTACAGTTGAAGTTACACTGGGAAATGAGTTTATCGTTGCTGTAACTTGTATTCGTATTTATTCTAAAAGAAATACAGATAGAAAAAGGGGTTATCAAAAAAGACAATTTTGAATTTGCTCTCAACTCAACAATTCGTTTCATGGCATGAAACATTTTTGTTGTATCAAGGCAGCCCAGTATTTATTTTAAAATTATGGTATCTTATTAATGTTTGCGTTTTCGTTCTCGTGGCGCTCGCACGTGTATGCACGAGCCTACTCATGACGTGATAGTCATAGTCTGAGGTTTTGAATTGAAAATTGGAAGTAGTGAATAGAAGATGGCCAATGAGAAGGCTAAGATAGTTATAGAAAAGTGTATATTCAATCTTGAATCAAGTAAATATATAAAGTCAAAAGTTGAATCTCCGTCCTCAGTACTTTAAGAGAAGACACGAGAATCTTCTAGGCGTTTCTTAGTCTTTATACCTGTCTCTATGACTATAGATAGTTGAAACTCCTGCCATGTTAACATTCGTACATCCAGGTATCAGAACTGCGAACGGTGCTACAATTACCAATATCTTTAAGAACACGTTGAAGAGAGCTGCTTTTTTACAGACATTTTTCACTGAAAATTGTCGAACCACAAATGAACCAAACAAAACACCAACTATATATAACAGAAAAAATGTGTTTGAAAATGGTGGCCCTGTGTAAAAACCGACTGCATGTACACTGTACACTATGAATTATGCGCTACATATATACTAAGAAACATATTTCACAGCGCATTTCGTTTGCGAAATTAGATAGTGCTATTTTTAACTATAACTACATTGGATTTATTTGCAATCGGTAAAAAACGAGTAACTTTAATATTGGTTTTGACTTTTGAGTTTTTGAAATTTGTCAGATATCCAGAATCCTTCGTCAGACATTTAACTATAGTCATTTTGGTTGAAATTTTTATAAGATTTTTATAGGATTTTCCGTTTCACAATCGCGTTTATGATAACGCTGCCTTAAGTTTGCTGACTCCCAGTTACATGTTCTAAGTCATTTATGTTAACCAATCACTAGTTATCGCAAGGTAATGGAGTCGGGAAACTCCTCGGTATACCACATTTCAATGCAGGAATTATTTTTGAAACAGGTGGAACGTATCTTTAAATTATAAATTATAAAATTATAATATATAACTTACAATTATTAAAAATTATAGAGAGAATAATACGTGGATGCGCGGAAATATGGAATTTATATGGAGTGTATTTTGTTTAAATATATTTATATGGAGTGTATTCTGTTTATTATATAATTAAAGAACTGTTATTTTTGAAAAGTTTTTATCCCCCTTCCTGATTCCAGATCGGTGGATCAAACACGATAATCGCACAATATGTTATTATCGCTTTTCAAAATGGCGGTTCGTCAATAAAACACTGCATATTATATATAGAATAAATTATCATATTATATTTTATAGACCAAGACATCTAGCCTAGATTTTCTAATAGGAATTATTTTACAAAAGCCATGCACTCTTTCGCGACCTGGGGAACAATTTGCGTTTTTGGACATACCCACTGTTGTTGGCGTAAGAATTGATGATAACACATATCCATTCTTCACAGGATCCAATTCAAACTTTAACTGAACTAATTTCGCCAAAAATGGAAGCAAACCGCCGTTGAAAATGAACGAAACAGATACTCCAAGAGCATTAAACAGGAATGTCAGATTCGAAAGTAACGTTTTCAACTCAGGAATAATTTCTTTAATGCTTGCTTCTTTCGTGCTGCTTTTCTTTTGTAAATTTCCTTCCCGGATGTGCTTTTCACGTCTTTCTTTTGATCCGGGTAACGAGCTGGGATAACCCGATAAAATAATTGCTAGCAACAAGAATAGTAAACCAAAAACGATGTATCCTAACCACCATGCTCCTATCCAACGATGATCTTTTGGAGTGAGGTTTAATCCCTCTGGCTATATAGATTCGCATCAAAAATACACTTTTTTAGATGTCTATACAATTCTTTATAGTTGGTGGATTGGTTGGTGGGTTGGTGGACCTTCGTGGAAAGCTTGACATCATTATATATAGGATATTACACGGTGTTGAGTAGCTATGGATTTTATGTTCGAGTGGCAAAAACAATATCCATATCTTTGGATGGAGATCATATACAGGGTGTCCCCCCAAAACTCCCCCCCCCCTATTGAAATGAAGCTTTTGTTGGAATTTGAATGCATGATCAACGCAGCAGTGTGTAAATGGCATAGTTGAGGCATTCAAATAAAGCGTCTTGCTTTCAATTGGGTTTATCATAATATTAAGGCAATCAGATTCTAACAAAAGCTTGATTTCAATAGAGGGGACTTTTGGGGGGACACCCTGTGAAGCGCAGTCAATGGTGTGTTCAGAGACGTTGGCATGTATTTTGCTTTTTTGTTCTGTTTCCTTCCGCAGCACTGTTTAGCACTGTTTGTTGCTTGGTACGGGTAAATATTGAAATCTAAAAATGAATATAATTACGTGTGGTCTCATTTCATGCCGTGCAATTTTGGTGTAAAAATAAGCCCAGAAATATTGAAAACGGCTGGTTCGGGTTCCTGCTCTGGGTGGCCGGATGCCGTGCGCTAGTTCATGGTATAGTTTCATTTTGTATATGTATAGTTTTATTTATGTCCCATGAAAACATTAAAGATGTATAGTATATATAGCGCATATCTTTGCCTCAAGACGATTCTTCATTGCGTCCGCCACGCCCGCGCGGGTGAAGCGCGCTTTGTTTTTCAAACCCGTCACGGTCACATGGACAGAATTTTAAAGGCCGCTTCGCCTGCGCGGGTGAAGCGACCGTTAATGGATGATATTACAACGAACATTCTACTTAACGCATATAAAATTCCTTTCTTGACTCAATTTGATGTGGATAAAGGAAATTGCCTAATGTAGTATATACCTGATCAATGTCAACGTAAATGCTCAGGAATTGCCCACCCAGCAATATTCCAATTCCTGGACCAAGGAACGTACAGAGGTACAAAAGACCAAGACACATAGGCATTTGTTTTGGTTCAACATTTTCATCCAAGAGGGAAGGGACCAGTGAATACAATGGACAGATACCGGCACCAAGGATGAACTGTGCGATAACAAATATCATCATATAGTACCACGTGCTTCCACTACCATCGCTGTCGCACGTGCTCGATGAAGACGTTTTATTGGACAATAAGCACATTCCAGTTTCACTTTCTTCAAAGTCAGGAACATGATATGGTCCAACGATGGCATGAGGTAGAGTAAACAAAAGTACTCCAAAACCTATGTTTAAATTACATTACAGTTCAGTAATGTCTACAAGTATACGAAATCCTTGTTTAGCGGCCGAAAGAATTTTCTTTCAAGATTCGCGTAAATAACGTTTCGATCGCAACGATCGTAGCATGCATATATATATAGTAGCCCAAATAGCAGCATATATATGGCGTGATGATTTGAAAGCGAGAAAATTAAGCAATAATAAAATGTTTTGACGATTCCTATATGAGTGAGAAAAAATGATCGAGAGCCCTCTATAGAGAGGTTCGTTTTTGTGCTTCTGTTAGGTCTTTTAAATGTCAATCAGAATCTGTTTTTTTGTTTTCCAGAATTCCGGCATCGAAAACTTCCACGCAAGAGCTGTGAGCATTGCTAGGTCTGCGTGCAATATTTTTTATTTTGTAACTATGTAATTGAAGAAATCCCATTGGCTAGGGAGCGTTTAACAGCGGGCCGGTGTTTCTGTTGGAAAAAGTGACAAAACGCAAACGACTTGCTAATAAACATGTGATAACCTTTCTGGAAAAGGCTAAAAGATTATTTAATGCATGTGAAGACTTTTTGCATCCAGACCTCGCAGCCGGTAAAAAAAATAACTTGTATGCATCTAACCTGAAACGCCTGCTCCTCCTGCAACCCACTTGATCTTGTTGCCATAGTCACCATAGTAACTGATAAAAACGACACAGAGAAGAGCGGTGACGTCAGTCGCAGCTGTGATAATCCCCAGTTCTTTACCCGATAGACTAAATCTTTTCTCAATACTTGGCAGGATAAGAACAGGTAAACCGATCACTGATATGCCTAGAAAGTGAAAGAACTTTCAATTTCTCTATATACACCATACATTTTGTAAAACTTCTGAGGTTCCTATTGAGCAAAACCGATGCGCATATCCCAGTTCTGTTGCTGTCGTCATGTTACACGCACGAAATATTTTCTTTTTGAACCCAGTCTCTACAACCGCCAATCGACTTTCCTAACTAAAAATCACGAAATCCGTAACATAAATAACCCGTGTTGCTCACTGGATAAATTTATTCTCTTCTCACTTAGTATAGGATCCGGATTTCCTTGGAAGTAATTCGCGTAGTATAGGATTTCCCTCGCGTGAATCGCCCTTCAAGTGCATTATTATGTATCCATTAATATATATGGCCATATAGTAACAATATAGCCGAAATTTTGCACAGTTATCTTTTATTTCTATTCATGGATAGTTGAGGACATTTTGAACAGTTTAAAATATTCTGTTATGCTCGATATTTACATTTTCAATATTTACATGACATCTGTTACTTATAAAAGTCTATTAAACATGGTGATGACAATATTGTATCTTAAAATAGCGTTACACGATACCAATTACGTGCATGTCTGAAACTGTGCTATTCATTGATATTATTTTTTATTTATAGAAGCCCCTAAATTACCCCGAAGTTACTAGTATTACAAGGAGTCCTACTATGTAATATAGCGCAGCAATATTATTGTTTGCATAAATACCTATACCACAAAATACATGCAAACCACTGGTGCAGTTATGGGAACACTGTATGAATGACACCATTTACAATGGTGTAGTGTTTCATCAAGTATCCTATTGCATTCCATGCATGCAGGATTCAACACAGCACGTACAGATTCCAATAATATAGTAAACTATAGAAAACGAAATCGGAAATCTGAAAATTCACCAGAGTCAGAGAATATACCAGCAATCATCCAAAAAATTAATGAAACCTGCCATTCAGAGCAGAGTTGAGCGCCAACTATATGTAGCAGTATTGCACGCACGTACGTTTAGTGGGTAAAAAATCCACTGTCCTGGGTTGCTCTAGATTAAAATATGAATCAAAAGCCACGAATCTATGAAGCTACCTTGACGATCACCTGACATCCACTTTAATGTTTTGCCGGAATGTTATATATATGACACCCTGCATGCATGTTGCGCGTGTATAGTCTACAATAGCTAGGGTATCGAAAATGTGCTATTGACATTGCATATTTCATTTTTCCATTGCCTAGCTTCCAGCTATGGTGCACCCGTAATGCCAAACGTAGACAAACCATTCCGTTTAGGTCTGACACTTATTAAACACTGGTGTAGTGTTTCATAATGTATCTCTTGATTTTTGTATCACGTTCAGTAGTATTTAACTGGTATTTTGATATCTATGATTCTATGAATCAAGTCAAACCTCGATAATAACCTGCAGGGAAAATATTAGAGAAACCTGTGAGTTAGCAAGCTTGAAAAGCGATGGCTATAACAGGGCTATTACCATAATATTTAATTTGTTCGTGTTGTGTGCTCACATGCCATGATTTGACGAGGAAAAAACATTTTTTTTTAATTTATGATCGAAAAGAAATATTTCCCACCTGAGCATGTCGTATATAACATGATAACCAGGATAAAACATTTTGAATTGTACAAAAAACTTAGACATCTTGGTCTAAATCTCCCCAACCAAATTTCAACGCTGTTCCATGATGACTTTGTAATTGTTCTGCAGGCAAATGCTTAGGCTCCTTTGATGTATCAAGATTACTGCCGCTTAAATCCATGGGTGTTAATATAGGTGAGAGACTGAGAGTATTCTTCAACGGATACTTTATCTTAGGCCCCGAGTCCACAGGATGCCGGAAGAATTTGAGCGCGCAAGAATATTTTTACGGTTACATCGTGCTTCCACCCACACTAATCCGGGCTTTTCGCCCACTGAAACCGGAAGCATTTGAAGACGATCTCCAGGGTGGAATACGATGAGATAAATTGGAAAGCGATGTGAAAACGATGACGAAACGTTTCAAATCCAGTTCAACCACTCGGCTACAACCGTTTTAAGCCCCGTTTACATTTGCAAATTTTGTTGCGATTTTGTGTGCGATTTTCTTCTTTTGACCGATGGAAACGAGCAAAAAGGTTATGAATGCTCTAAAATATAGGTCTCCTTATTTGAATAAGCGGGACTGGGCCTTTAATTAATTAAGCAAAACTTCAAGAGAGCAAGCAAGCTACTATTGTTTCATATTGATGGATTGTTTTTGCCCTAGTTAATGTTACTATATATAACGTCAGATGAGTCGTATGTAGGTCATTTCATAATGAGCCGATGATTTTCAACATCATGTTCCCGAAACAAGGATTCTTTGCGATAACCATGTCCAAACTGTCAGGTGATTTGGCGTTATATACCCGACGGTTTTTTGCTGGGTTTTTTTACTTAATATATACTCAAAAACAACATTTAGAAGGAGCTCAAACTCGTCGTCTGTGCAAACAAAGTTCTCATCTTGTTTTTGCTTTGGATTTGATACATTTCACAACACACGTGGGTGGAAAACAATCAAACATGACGCTTCCTAAAGGTATACTGCAGGATCAAGTCATTTTAGCGTTTTCGAATCGTTTTTCTCTCTATGTGTGGACGCAGTAAAAGATTTTAGCAGAGAAGTATTTTTGCGTTTTCAAATTCTTTCCGGCAACATCAGTATTCGACGTTTTCAATTGGTGGCCGACTCGTGAAATTCTTCTTAATCAAACATCGATGCAGGGTAAGAAATTATAAAATCGATCAACGTACGAGTAATTGCGCTGCATAGGAGCTCGTTCAAGGCTGTCTTTTTAGATTCATAGACAGATTTATAGAAATTTGGGTGATATTATACACACAGAACGTGCTAAAGGTTTAGACAAGGGCAAATGGAATTCAAACTGCGTCTCAAATTACCTTTTTCACACTAAAAACTAATTCTGTACTAAACCCAATTACCATAAATATATTAGCCAAAACAGCGAGAACAACCGGCCAATGTGTGCACTATAAATAAGATTAGAGAGCTTAGCTTTCAAGAATGATCATTATTCAATCCACAAAAAATCAAAATTCTTGCCCAGACATATTTCATCAAAATCGTCAGATAAAATCCGATTTACTTCCCCTAAGAAAAGAATGTTACAGGCATAAGCATTAAGCGCTTTTGCCAAAAACACCCCGCCAGCTTGCTGAATCGCCGCCTGCTACATAACGGTTTCAAAACTTGATATGCCCTTTTCGTTCTTGATATTTAAATTAATAGATTCTGGAGTTTCTTTAGGATTATATAAGAGCCACGAAAATACTAAACACGTCGAGGACAGACCTAAAATGATAAGTGCAAATTTTTACTTCCTATCTTGCTTATTAATATGATATTGAATATGAATACAAGGAGGTTGGTTTTAGGTTTTTTAAGAGTTTTCTACAATTCTACTAGAAACGTTCCAGACAGTTTTTACAACTCGTATATGTAATATTTGTATAAGCGACCCAGAACTGTCTTACAGTACTAGTATATGCAGTAGATTATAGAAAATCTTGCAATCAGTATATAGCAAGAGACGTGGAGACAATTTTCACGTGCGGTATAGACTATAGTCATGACATGACAGGATGGTCAGTAATAATTTCATGTCCGGCAGAATCAACGAATATAATATATAATATTGATTCTAATCCTTTTGTATAAGCTGTTGCATGGGTAAGGATTAGGGTCAGGTTTAGGATTAAAAGTTATATTCGTGGATTCTGGATATGAAATTATTACCATCATGATGACGGGGGAGGGGGTCTTTTTTTCTTACACCGCTTGGCACTGCAACACGGTTGGTCGCATAGTCAAGGTCGCTGATACTGGTGTTACAATATTTCTTACCAATTGATATTGCTCCAAAAATACAGATATTTCTTCCAGCAAGATCAACATCGTAATCAAAACATCTTCCTGTCTTACCACAAAGATCTTGCCACAATCGGCAGCAAAGGTCCAATAGATGACCAAAAATTATTGGACCCGGAATTAGGCCGATTGTCTTCAGCATAACATATTGTATTCCCATTGAAAAAGCCCTTTTGTTGTCCGGAACGCATCTGCAAGAAAGTGCATATTAAGTAAATTATTATATATACTATTTAGTTCTGTCAAATGTAAAATATTATACTATCTAGAAGGTTTAAATTTTTTGTATAATGAAACAGAAAGGTGACAAGGCCACCAGCAAGTGTTTTAAAATTTTTAGACGATAAAAATAGGTCATGTGTATTTATCGTCTGAAATATACTGTCTAGTTTCAGACGATAAATATGCTAAATATGTACACATAGAATGCAATTTCATGATTTTTCTAATGGCTGCTTGTTTTTATTATCAATACAGTTGCGAAGACACACAAGGAAGTCGCTCCTTTTCTTCGCCAATCCAGAAATAATAAACACTTCAGTTTAATTGACAGTTGCAATAAGAGTTGACACAGATGAAGTCGTCTTTCGCGAGCGTGAGAACGCACCCCTCCCTCGCATGCAGGTTAGGAAAATTTTGTTAGGGAGAGTCGTCCCCCAATTTATCCTTCCCTAAACAACTGCTTATAACAAATAGAATTTTGCTACTTTTATTGCATAACAGAATTAAGGAAACGAAGAAATATTTTTGTTCATCACTCCGCACACATTCTGCAGAAAGGCAAACTTGATCCTTACCTCAGAATGACAGTTTGCGATGGAACGGCGGCTGCAAATCTTAAAAGCATCGTGAAAGTGATGAGAAATAGAAAGATGGCCAGATTCTTACAATCACGATCGCAGTAACCTTGTCTTGCAGTATTTGTATTGGTAGCATCACCAGCAATGCAAGAGCAACTTCCAAACGTCTATTGCAACATAAAAATACAACAGATTACGAATGCTACCACAATTTTCGCCTATCTATCCTATTATAGCTTGGTCACTGATAATATCTCATTCGTTCCCCAAAAAGTCATGTCGCATCAGAGTTTAATCTAATTATCAAATTCAATAATATCTCGATTTCCTAACTTTTCTTACTGAAAACCTCAAGAATTAAACTATATGATTTACTCACTTTATTGCTATACTTTGCCGAGCAGCCAGCGTAGCATGGGTTGGCATAGACAATGTTGCCAGAGCCACACACGGGTATGAATTGATCTATTTTGCAGCTACAGTCAAGGTTACACCGGGAATTAAGATCATTGTTGGTAGAACTTGTGTTCGCTTCAACACGGTACGCACTTATTCTAGAAAAAACATGGAATAAATAAAATTCGCGGACACTTTCATTTTTCATATATATATATTTCATATTTTCACATATACCGCGATAACAATATATTCTCTAATATTAATTCTCTAAAAACAAATCATAAATAAACGACAATTCAAATTTATACTAGGTGATTTTAGAAGAACGAACAAAATTGAAATCACCTCGAAAAAACTAAGCATGGGTATTTTTGTTTTTGTTTGGATTTTTCAGGCACTTTTAATGTAAAGTAAGCCGAAAACAAAACAGATATGCTATTTAAATCCAGAAGGCGAAATTTGTATGTTTTGAATCTCCCTAATATAGGCGGGGGACTTGCTCTATTCCAAGTGATAATTATAGGTAGAATAAACAGTTATAGGGCTAATAGTAATACAGTGGGCAAATCGTGTGCAAGATCTGTGTTTAACAATTGCACTTAATTTTATTACCAAGTAAAAAAGCAGAGTTGGGTATACTAAATGTTATTGTGTGATTAAATTTTCCTTAATAAAATATTTTGTTCATATTAGACTATTCTAATTAAGCTCATTAGTATTCTTTGTATAAAATTGCTCACCCTCATAAGGATTCTTTATATAAAGAATATAAATTTTAAGGGTGAGATGTTTTTATATATAAAGCATCGCTAATGAGGTTGATATAGTATATGAACGGTTCTAAAGCAGTGGACTCAAATAAGACTGGAACGCTCACTCTGTCGGACGTTTGAAGCCAAGATAGAGATCACTGAAGCCTTTCTCGTAGGTATGACCCAGGCCTCCACGCAGAAATTTCGTAAGTAAAATGGCGGTAATTTTTATTTCTCCTTTGAAATTTCCGTGCTAGAGGCCTGGATCATACCTATACAAGAAAGACTTCATAATTCGCTATCTTGGCTTTACTCATTAATACGGGAAAGTCAGAGAGTGAGCGTTCCAGTCTTATTTGAGTTCCGTCACTGTTCTAAAGATCGAGTTTTTGAATCATATGTAGGCTACACAGTACACACAGCTTTATCCTGCACATGCTAAAATTATACGACCAGGGACCGCGGAGGGGGGGGGGGGTTTGGGGGGTTTAGCCCCCCCAATAATTTTCTAAATACATGTGATTCCTTTATAGCGATTTTTATATGGCCATAATAATACGAATAAAAACTCCTTATAGTAAGTTGTGTAATCATAATTATGTGTTCACTATCCATGTCGGTGAAAAATGTTTTCATTGAAGTGTTTATAAGAAAAATATAAATAGATAAGTATGGACCCCCCGAGGGTTCACTCTTTCGGCTTCGCTAGCCCCCCCCCCCCCCAATCCAAAAACTGCTCCGCGGTCCCTGAAAATATTTGACATCATAACCAAAGCATGGTTATACTATTTAATGTTTGTATATGAGCGCCAAACATGCTGGAAACTTTACATAGGACAAGCATTTGACCATTAAAACAGCGTGGTTATCCATTTCAAAATATTTGACATCATAACCAAAATATGGTTATATTGTTTAATGTTTGTATATGAGCACCAAACATGCTGGAAACTTTACATAGGACAAGCATTTGACCATTAAAACAGCGTGGTTACCCATATCAAAATATTTCACATCATAACCAAAGCATGGTTATATTGTTTAATGTTTGTATATGAGCACCAAACATGCTGGAAATTTTAGCTACATAGGACAAGCATTTGACCAATAAAACAGGGTGGTTATCTATGTCAAAATATTTGACATCATAACCAAAGCTTTTTTATATCGTTTAATGTTTGTATATGAGCGCCAAACATGCTGGAAACTTTACATAGGACAAGCATTTGACCATTAAAACAGCGTGGTTATCCATATCAAAATATTTGACATCATAACCAAAGTATGGTTATATATATTGTTTAATGTTTGTATATGAGTACCAAACATGCTGGAAACTTCACATAGGACAAGCATTTGACCAATAAAACAGCGTGGTTATCCATTTCAAAATATTTGACATCATAACCAAAGCATGGTTATACTATTTAATGTTTGTATATGAGCGCCAAACATGCTGGAGACTTTACATAGGACAAGCATTCGACCATTAAAACAGCGTGGTTATCCATTTCAAAATATTTGACATCATAACCAAAATATGGTTATATTGTTTAATGTTTGTATATGAGCACCAAACATGCTGGAAACTTTACATAGGACAAGCATTTGACCATTAAAACAGCGTGGTTATCCATGTCAAAATATTTGACATCATTACCAAAGCATGGTTATACTATTTAATGTTTGTATATGAGCGCCAAACATGCTGGAGACTTTACATAGGACAAGCATTCGACCATTAAAACAGCGTGGTTATCCATTTCAAAATATTTGACATCATAACCAAAATATGGTTATATTGTTTAATGTTTGTATATGAGCACCAAACATGCTGGAAACTTTACATAGGACAAGCATTTGACCATTAAAACAGCGTGGCTACCCATATCAAAATATTTGATATAGCTTTTATATAGCTTTTTGTATATATATATTTACCTATCTGTATAGGAAGTTGAAACTCCTGCCATATTAACATTCCTACATCCTGGTATAAGTAGTGCGAACGGTGCTATCATACAGAATATCTGGGTGGTGGCCATAAAGAAGGCCGATTTTTTACAAACACTTTTCAATGGAAATTTTCGAACCACAAATGAGCCAAACAAAACACCCACTATATAATACAAAAAATATCATTAGTCATTAGAGATGCAAAGGCTGTCCAACGGAACACAAAGAGGCCTACCAACAAACTATAACAACACTTAATATTTATTATTATTATCCTGATTTTTGGTGTGTGCATGCATGCATTGTATGATTTTTTGGCAGAGGTATATACATATAAGCAACTATCTGCATGATATAAATTATTCAACGAAGGTTCTAGGAAGTAGTTTGATCAGACTATACCCCATGCAGCAATGGTCTTAATGTCAAAAAGGTGAACTCAAGTATAGAATTCAATCACATTACATTCATCTGGGGCTAATAAAAAAGTGAGTTATTGTTATTGTTATTATAATCTTTGTAATACTAGAGTCACTTCAACATCATAAACAGGTTAACAATATAGAAGTAGACGTTTGAAAGAACTGCCGGGAATACTAGACACAATGGCAAAACATATATCTTTACATACATTTAAACATTGTACATTACTATGGTTAGTGACAGTGATTGACAACTATATATTATTGATCACCTTAACTTCAATAAGCGTGTTTGACATACCCACTGTTGTTGGGATGAATGTTGCTGATATCAGATATCCACTGCTCACAGAATCTAAATCAAATTTTAGTTGAAGTATTTTCCCCAAAAATGGAACCAAACCGCCCATAAAGGTGAATCCTACAGATACCCCAAGGGAATTGAACAGGAATGTCCAATTCAAAATTAGAGATTTTAACTCAGGGATGATTCCTTTCAGGTTTGCTTCTTTTCTTCTGTTTTCTTTTCGTAAATTTCCTTCGCGTATGTGTTTTTCACGTCTTTCTTTTGCCCCGGGTAAAGACCGTGGGAAACCCGATACAACAATTGCTAGGAACAAAAATAGTAAACCAAAGACGAGAAATCCTAACCACCATGCTCCTATCCAACGATGATCTTTTGGTGTAAGATTCAATCCATCTGGCTATATAATTACATCGGTCAAAATAAAATTACACTTATTTGTACGCTGTATATAAAGCATACAAAATTTGCAGGAATTGTTTTCATAAAGAAGAGATTTCTTGCATATATATAACATTGTTTTAAAAGTCATATCGCTGTCGTTGGCTCGTTGCCACTACAGTAACTTGAAAATAATAAGCTTCTGCCTATAACATATCGCTGACGTAACTACGAAATGATGAAAGTGAGGAGGGTCGTAAAAACACTGAGAATTCACGCAGAATCCTTTGTTAAATTTCCCTTTTCCCCGTCATTTCCAAAAGAGAAAATATCTATAGAGTTGCAGTAAGAAGTCCTTGTTTCAATTTACCTGTTGAATGTCAACGTAAACGCTAAGAAATTGCCCGGTTAGCAATACTCCAATTCCGGGTCCAATAAATGAGGAGAGGTACCAAAGACCAAGATACACAGGCATCTGCTTTGGTTCAACGTTCTCATCCAAATACGAAGGGACCAGTGAATACAATGGACAGATACCAGCACCGTGGATAAACTGTGCGATAACAAATATCATCATATAGTACCACATGGTTCCATTATCACCGTCACACGACTGCGATGAAGAGGTTTTATTGGATAATAAGCACATTCCAGTTTTACTTGGCTGAAAATCAGGAACATTATACGGTCCAATCATGACATGAGGCAAAGTGAAGAAAAGTACTCCAAAGCCTATAGGTTGAAATGGAATAAAAGTTCAGCTGTAGTGAAATCAACTTGCGACGTTGCAACCAAACCTGCACGGTGGGCGCCAATGATCAATGTCGAAATTCTCGAACTGTACTGAAGATGTGAGCTTAAAGTAATAAAGGAAATATCGGTAAAACCTCTCCCTCGACTATTTTATTGATTTAAATAGTATAAGCTACAAGGCTCTTAGCATTAAAGCCCATCTTGACCAATTATATAGACAATGGTTTACACGGTAGGGACCTTAAGATGCACCAAATCTACGACGCGGACGTGACATGAAATCGGCCGCAGAATTGTTAGAAAACCAGTTTTCATTAGTTTTACATACAGCTCTGACCTTGTTTACGAAAAGGATTCCATGATTTTTATTCCTGTTGTTGTGGAAATGAAGACAGTACTACTTCACGTCCGCGTCGTAGATTTGGTGGATCTTAAGGTCCCTAGTATCGAACCTGCAACACCCGCTCCACCGCTCACCCACTTTATTTTGTTGCCATAGTCTCCATAGAAACTGATGAAAGCAACGAAAAGAAGGGCGGCGACGTCATTGGCAGCTGCAATAATCCCCAGTTCTTTACTCGATAAACTGAATCTCTTCTCAATACTTGGTAGGATAAGCACGGGCAAACCGTTCATAGATATGCCTAAAGAGTAAAAGGAGTGTTAATTTCTCTACATCATACATTTTGTAAAACCTTTGCGGGTCGCCATTAAGCAAAACCAATGCGCAGAACGGATTTGACTTCCACTTTCATATTTCTGTTATACATAGTACAGTGCATGGTCCCTCGCTAACTCGAACTCCCAAGGGGAAAGAAAAATTGTTCGAGTTACCGGGGGTTCGAGTTTAACCGGAGTTGGTGTCAGATTACGTTTATTATATAAGTAATACAATAAGATATAAAATCCAATCGAATCATTCTTTAAGGGATACCAGGCCTCTCAATATGAATGGTCAGCGAGAGTGGACGACGTTTTAAAATTAAAAAGATCGAAAGAATACAAAAGGAACTAAAAAAGTTAGATCAATAACCACCACACAAAATCTTTTAAAATTTATAAACATTTATATACAATTATACACTGATTAACTTGTTGTTATTTTGATAGTTTCCAGTTGTCAAAATTCTATCTTCTCACATTTTAAAGTTTGCTGATCTATGATTCGAAACCAAAGTTCGAGTTAACCGGATATATTTGACCAAGGGGAAACAAAATTTGTTCGAATTAGCGAGGAGTTCGAGTTAAGCGAGTTCGAGTTAAGCGGAGTAAATTACTATAAAAACACTATCAAATTCAAGGGGAATTGGATTTAGTTCGAGTTAGCGAGGAGTTCGAGTTAAGCGAGTTCGAGTTAGCGGGGGACTACTGTATATACATGTTGCGCGTATATGTCTACAACATTGTATTTGGATCGATGACCAGCGGTTTGTCAGTAATTTGAGTAGTTTTTTGATTGACAATTGAACGGAGATATTTTAGAGTGAGAGTCCACATGTAGAGCACGTTTGAAGGAAGAAAGCTGATTTGTTCTGTGTCTGTTATATGCTAACCGGTGAATGTTTGTAATTTGAAAGATATTTAGAGCGCGAAAATCCGGCAAGAAGTAAGTTTAGATAAATATTTATGTTTGATTTACATATGATTTTCATAACATGCGAACGGAAATATTAGCACGTAATTCATTTTATACTTGATTATAATCCTTTATTTCTTATTGTATATAGATCGAATAATTTCATTACCAACTTCAATTTCAGTAAAATCATACAAATTATACGATGCCGTGTACTGCGTTCTGTGGCTGAAACACCAGTATTGATAGTATTGTGTCTTAAGTGTCACATGACACTAATTACATCTTCAACGTGCTATAACTGCTATTGAGATTATTACATTTTTGTATAATGAAGACATTCTTCCCGTTATACCGTGTGTAGCCATTGTTTAGGTGCATCCGTAATGGCCAAACTTACGCAAACGATGGGGTTCAACTAAGTGGATGGCATGCAGTGACCAGTGGTGGTAACGATTATTCAAGGTTAGTTAGGTTACTGATCTAAACATTTGCACTTACTCACTAGGGTGTAGTGTTTCACAATGTATCATTATGTTCTTCATGATTTGTAGATCACGTTTAGATTCCACTAGGAGTGAATCAGAAATCTATTATCATATTGTTTGGGCCATCTAGGAAGTGTCGACATCAGTATAAGAACAAATCTAGACTCAGAAAGCAATAGGCATAACAGTCCGTATTATTACCAATTACTATGCTATGCAAGTGTATAAAAAAATGGTAACCTAATTTTAGCACGCTTTTATGGGAAAATTACTTTTAAAACAAGTGTAAGTTTTTGATATTATGATAGATGCTTTTCGCTGTCGAATGATATTTTTTTGTACCGTATGGAAAACAAAATAAGCAAATTATGACCTGGATCATGATGAAAATCGCATATTCTGAATATATCAGAAGATTTTTTTTCTCGATTTGTTACAAAAAGCAAAAAGCCTGATCTATCTTACCATCACAAATTGCGCTTGCATGCTAATCAAGTAAAAAAGATTTTTCTTATAAATATATATAGATTTGTGCGTAGTAAACTCAACACCAATTAAATAGCAGAGCTTGCAAAGAAATGAATCAACAAATTACGATGTTAAATTTTAATTCGCTACACTGTCTTTCACGTGAACATGATTTTGCTCCAAAATAAATTTGGAGTTGCAAAAAAGGTAATAATATAGACAAAAATGTTCTCCGTGTTTACCTTACTTACCCTTGACGCAGTTGACAGGCATATTCACACCTAAGTGCATTTCAATATTTTATATGTTAAGAATGTACATTCACATTCATAATACAGTAAATCAAATCCGACAATATTTCGTATGCTTTTGGCTCATAACTCCGAAACAAAAAAGAGCCACCATAAACTATATATCAAAATGAATATTTTAAAACATATTTTATCGAAAAAGCAAAAAAAATTCATGTCATAGACACTTTAATGCTTTGGATAAATAAATATAGTATATAGTTGGCACCCGGCTCACTAACTCGAACTAAATCCAATTCTCCTTGGTTTTGGTAATGTTAATTCTTTATAGTAATTTACTCCGCTAATTCGAATAAATTTTGTTTTCCGACTTTTCTTGGTCGAATATATCCGGACAAAACTTTAAAATGTGAGAAGATAACATTTTTGACAACTGGAAACTATCGAAACAACAACAATTCAATCGGTATAATTGTATAATGGATTATAAATTTTAAAAGATTATCTGTAGAGCCTCGCGATCGTTACTGATCTGGCCTTTTTGTTTCTTTTTGTAACATCTCTACTCTAGCTACATATTAACTTCAGTTAACTTTATTTTCCAGGAGCCGGTTGCATAAAAACGTAGTTAACTTTTAACCATATTGTTAGTGACAGAATTGACCAATCAGAGTAATTCATTTCTGAGTTAACTACGATTTAACTATGCGCAAAATGCAGTTAAGAGGTTTATACAGGGTGTCTCAAAAAAAACGCAACCATGCACTTAAATATGCAAAACATTAATACAGCTCTAAAGCGCGATAGATAAGCACCTCTGAGCATTGAAAATGGCTCATGCATAATCCTTCATTTAAAATGCTAAAGGCATTTTAGCTGAACTATGGTGCAAACCCGAACAATATAAATATTCTTGCATATTTAAGTGGTTGCGTTTTTTTTGAGACACCCTGTACAACCGGCCCCAGTTAACCTTTACGTTGTAGCTGCTTTAATCGGTATTTCATTATAATATAAAGCAGGATTTTTTAGCAAATAAACGCATGAATTAACTGCGGCAATCCAGTTCACGTAAATACATATAAACGTAATCTGACACCAACCCAGGTTAACTCGAGCTTAATTGGGGGGGTGTTATTCATATATTCATGTTTATATACCATAGGAAAAGCTATATACAAAAGAAATCATTCGGGCATATGACGAATATATGAATATGCACCCCCCCCCCAATTAAGCTTCTAGCTACGGCCCTGACGATAAATTTGACTTACCTGCGCCTAACGTATATAATATGATAACCACGAGAAAGCATTTTGGATTGGCAAGAAAATTTAGACATCTTGGTCTAAACCTCCCCCAACCAAATTTCGACGTTATTCTATGATGACTTGGTAGTTGTTCGGCAGGCAAATGGTTTTGCTCTCCTTGTATATCATGATCAAGATGACTGCCGTTTAACTCCATGGTAGACGAGCTTTTTAAAGATCAGGAAACTATTCTAAAAGGGTACTTTATATTAGGGCGACACAGTATTAGTTGTTTCAGGCCAGTGAATCATACATATCAGGTGACGAAAATTACAACATATGGTACTGCTTAATAAATAACAAATTACATTCCATACGTCAGAGGTGAATTGCACCGAGAAAGTTGGATGCTACAATAGCTCATAGCTTGAGTAGATCAAATACAAACGGCTGAGCAAGGGGGGGGGCAGAATTTATAAACACGCGACACCGAGTCTCGTTGTCTTGTTCCACGTCCTCACAATATGGACAGAAAGCAGTCTAAAAGCATATTGTCAGTGTTCGGCTTACCAGTCTCGTTTCTAGGCCTTCCCTGTAACCTAGTCCCTTATTAATATTTTGATCAGTAGATTTCCAGCGTTTAATCCCAGACTCGCGAGTGGTTGCTATTTACTTATGGAGCGGTTTGTTATATAATGTTAAACTGAAACAACTGAACACCTTGACTCATGCAGGATGTGGGAAAACAAGGCAGAATACTCAGGTGATATTTCCACTCTGTTTGAAAGTCATTGTCAAACTTGAAAAACGGTCCTTTGACAATTATGTTGAAATAGGCAGAACAAAATATATGAATATGCACCTCCCCTATAATTATCGCTCTAGTTACGGCTCTGGTTGCCACACAGATACTGCCAGACGGAATATAATACTCTTTCTTGCTCTGCGCACATTGCTGAAATAATCTAACGAATTGATCATTCTTAGCGACCAACGATGCCAACGCTAGGAAATATGCATGGAATATACTTCAGGATAACGAGTTGGCCACAGTAATCTAATGATCGATCAACAATGCGCGGAAATTCGAACAAACCGGGCAATATAACAACGTGCCAATGCGCCAACAAGTTCTACGTTCACGTTCGTCGGCGAACATGGCAACCTCGCAAGGTTGCGAACATAGCTGAAGCAACTTATAGATTATAATCGAATTTTATACCAAAGGCGCAGCACCATGCGTACCCTTAAGAAAAGCATGCACCAAATGAAATGAGATATATGTACAGCTCAGGCCACACAGCTATTCTCATCACAACACAATATATTATATTAGCCGAATTACAAAGTTTTAAACCTATTATAATTATGTATAATTGCGTTCAAAATAGAAAGCAAGTAAAATATAAACAATAGGTTGAGGCCGTTGAGCCTAGGAACAATAGGACTAAGCAGCCTTTGTCAATCGTCACTATAGGTTGAGCTAAAAAGCCTCCGTGCAATCCCAGCACTTTCACAGCCTATTCGTCAGGCTGATCTCTCTACACGTACGTGCTGCATGGTCGTAATCTCGTTCCTTTGGCGGTACCCATTTTAAAGGTAAATCCTGTTGGAACGAGTCTATTAACTACTTACCTAACTATAGCTTACTAACTACTTACTTATTTTACTTACTCTAGGTTGTGCAGGTGCTCCTAAAAGTACTGTCGAGTGTGTATTGACACGACGGACCTGCAGCCTGCTTGGTTTTAAGATAAATGATATATTGGCTTGGGCTTCAGTTAAAAGTATGTAGACGTTACAGGTACCGATGTTACAGGGTTTCCGTACTGAGAACGATAAAACAAGTACGATTCTAATTTCTAATGCCTTGTTTCCATTAAGTCTTGCATTTAAGTGTGAATTTGAATATCTCAAGGTGCAGTGAACAGCGCACATGACCGATTTAAACACAGAAAAAAAATGCAAATTTACAAGCGGACTATTTCTCATCGGGCCAATGACTCGTTCACTCGTTATTATTAAATGGCAACCAGCTAAGCTAAGTCTATCTGAAGTCATTCGCTGTCATATACCGTATTAACTATTAATCCCTATTCAATTTGTCCTACACTGACTTTTCTATTTAGAGTGATAGTATAATATTAATGCGTGCGTACACCGGTAAATTGCTTGCACATCGTTATACACATTGAGAGCATGGAGCGAGTTATCCCGGCTAGGCGAGGTGAAAAGTTGAAAACTGCATATAATGAACGACTAATCAGGTTAAGCCTTTGATGTGATACGCTTTTTATCTCGCCTATAGCCGCAGGATAACTCACTCCGTGTAAACAGGCCCAAACGCGGTCAACAAAAGTTTATTCATTAATAATGCCGTTTTCAATTCAGACATTGGAGTGCAAAAACTTTGTAGTAAATGAAAATACATTCATGTATTTTATTTTCGGGTAATTTGAGAAATTGAAAAATATATCGACACTCGACCGAAGTTTATATTCAAAACCTGTAGGGACCCTAAAGGCCGTTTTCCACTTCAACCATATCGTAGCGAAACGTAGCGCATCTCATTGTTTTAAAGTCATTAGTTCTCGCCAAATACTTTCGAAACAAAGAAATACGCTACGTTACGCTACGATTGAATTGGAAAACAGGCCTAACACAATGCGTGAAACAAAATTTTAATTTTACTATCTCTACTTAAAATACATAAATAAGTCTTCACGTCTACTCAAAATGCTGCTCGCCTGTTGAAATGCCAAAGAAATATCCCACATTTGGATCAAGTGAATGTGGTTATAAGTAGTTTGATCTTTCACGCTGCTAATTTAACGATTGTTTCGTTCAGTAATGAGACTTTGCGTTCGTTTAACGCCTTCGGTGAATGTCAACTAATATATTCTCTGTGCGTCAAACCGGGAGTATAGACTATATAGTTTCAGGATATATTTCAAATCGGAGTTAGACGTGGTTACTATAAATCTAAAGCCGGTTTTCCACTAGCGATATTTTTCGCGCAAAGCGACAATTTACTTTGGTGTCGGATCTCTCAGCTGCAACCATCTCGAACAAATTGCCCAAATAGAAAAGAATAAAGTCGCTTCGCTCGAAAAATATCGCTAGTGGAAAAGCAACTTAACAAAAATGGCAAGGCGCAGTCCCACTTATAGCTGAGATTCAAGGAAGCGTGAGATGACTTTAATTTGAATGTGACATGTTATTTGTCAGGATGACTACGGCTCATTTCAATACCTCGTAGGCATCTCACGCTTCGTTCAATTAATCTCGGCGAAGCGGGTCATCTAATCAATCGATGTGCAATCAAGCCGACGCGTAACGAAGAAAGGAATACAGGAAGAAAATCAGACAAGATTTAGTATTTGTTCCCCTCATTGGAAGCATTGCTTCTTGTAGCAAAAAGAGGGGACACATGATACATTCTCTCTTGAAAACAACGCTATATGTAGAGAAAAGTCGTTAAGGATCTTAAGGAGTTATCGTATTTGTGGATTATGTGGCTTTATGTATCTGTCATGCGTGAGAAAATTCCTTTTCGAGCTCAATTACGATAGGAACATTAAACTTCAGGCTTATCAAATTTCAGTGCATATAAGTTTGCGACATGGACAGCAAGCAATATCCCGGGTGTACATGCAGCAAACGAAATTGTATGCTCGTTAAAGCGACATCTATAGAAGAAAATGGCTAACAATCACTGGTATGTTAAATTTTTTAAATTTGATGTTCAAGTAATGCTTCAATTAGCTGTGATCGTATTTTGTTGTGAAAAGTTGTTTTGATACGCGGATATTCGTAGTAGGATTTTACAACATAACTGCATGGTTCTTGTCTTCTCGATAAACTTTATCGAGGTGCAGCGATTTCATACGAGCAACTGTGTTGATGGTATGGACTATAGACTTTGCTATTAAACCGAGGGAACACAGTTAATAGAATATACATGGTTTGGAAATAAAAATACAATACATGCAACCATTTACCATGTTATTGTCCAGGTTTATGCTTTCTCGTCACGTGTCTATTGTACAGTTTTAGCTAAACTTACCAATGGCATTCATCTTGCTAAGCTCCTCTATGTTGACTGGAAAAATATGTGAATTATAAGATTGCTATTGTTTTATCTGTGCAAAATACAATAGACATGAGATGAGAAAGGAACATTTTTTTGCATAAATCTGCCTCAAGATATAGTTAATGAGTTGTATTGTAGTTTTATGTGGTCCGGCTCCAAACCATGTGGAGGAAGGAAATTAATCACGATGTCCCTGCTGAACATGAAAACCGAGATCGTATTGGTAAGAGAAACGTTTAATCAAGATAATATGGATATAATGTAACAAATATAGCAATATACCTAAAAATATAATGATTTAGGAGTGTCCCATGTGACAAGTTCGCCGGTTTGATTTCATGCCGCTTTGTTGTGTAACCTGATCAATTATATCAATATACTGATATCACAATCTTCATATGCTCAATATATTATGGTTATAAAACTAGCGAAAAATGCACTAGAATGAATAAACCTTCTCATTCTGGACTCGTTAGATTGTTTGATAATTGGTTTAGGAAACTGCGCAACAATATCTTCGAGCCAATTGAGCGGGTTTTGGAAGTTTTGTTTTGGAAGTTCAGTTGAGATTCGGTCGTATACTCATTTTATCAAAGCTCATATTGTCGTAAGATATACTCGACATAGCATCAAATGTGGTATAAGTGTATAACAACTGCCTAAAATAGACAAAACACTTCTCGACGTTTGGACCTGAGGGCATAACTCTCCTGACGAAGGCCCTTAGGTCGAAACGTTGAGAAGTGTTTTGTCTATTTTAGGCCGTTGTTATACCACATTTAACGCTAAGTTGTTTGAGGACGCTGCCACGCTGCTCCCTGGTTATATTGGAAGTTGGAACGAATATACTCGACATTATATATCATCGCAAAACTTGAAAAATTTCGTTAATTCTCAAATTTTTCGCGTATGCACACGAGCAAAAAAAACTTGGCAAATTTAACTTGGCAAGGAAAACCTCCTCACCATACACACGAGCAAGTGAACTGTTCTAGAAAACGTGTGAAGGAAAACATGTCCGTCTGTACGCGGGGCTTAAGAAGTTGTGTGTTTTGAAATATGACTCTTGCTCTTTTAAAATATGACACACGAGGCATCTAATACGGTGTTTTTTAGCGGAATCTTTCCTAGGCATAGCGATGAACTCTAACATGAGCCAAAATAATCAAAATTCCGATCTGCCGATTTGAAAAATTTTCTCAATCTGGACTTTTACTGTGATTTGAAAAATCCTAGATCCGCCCTCACTCACTCACTCGTTCAGTGCACAGAAAAATAATGCTCATAACTGAAATGTTTCTTTCAAGGTTATAGTTCTTCAAGCAGAACATGCTGTACGATTTTAATACAATAGAGTCCATACAAATTCAATGAATTACAGTTGAGATGCTAAAACATCAACCTTCTAGCATCACCCCTATGGCCTATTAATTTAAACTATATCCTAATTTGATCGCCAATTAAAACAACGAAATCGATTATCCAATCATCTAAACATGCAATTATATGAAAATATTAATTTTAAGACAAAAAAATCGTGATTGCATGACTATACACTAAATTATCTTCATTTCTCTTGGAATGAACTTCATTAGGACAACTCCGTCTGGTTTCATAATACCTGCATGTACAGTTGGATTAGCCTCGGTTTCCCCCGCGTATTCCAAACGATAACGGAGTAGTATTTTGCTTACCAGAGTATAGATAGTGGACACGGCCATTCTTCGTCCAACGCACATTCTCACTCCATAACCGAAAGGTAGTGTAGTAAACGGATGAAATTCTTTCTTCTCCCCAGTTTCATCACGCAGCCATCGCTCTGGTACAAACTGCTTCGCATCTTGCCCATAATAACGCTCGTCGAGGGACAGCAAATATTCGTGCAAGAAAACATTCACACCAGCTGGGATGTTGTAACCGAGAACCTCGAGGTCTTTAGGAAACACGCGAGGAACAATATAACCTGCGACTGGATACATGCGTTGCGACTCCTTCAAAGCTGCTTTGAGAAGCGATGGGACATTGTTCGCTAATACCTCCTCGTTTGGACCAACGGCAGATGCAATTTCTTGATAAACTTTATCCTGGAAGTCTGGATTCCGTGACAGTTCGTACAAGAGCCACAGACTTGTAATGCTTGTTGTATCAACGCCGGCGGCTAACAATCCTGTCATGGCTGCCAAACTCTTCGGCGTATTCATACCGTTTTCAACAAGATACTCAAACACTGATTGATTGTTGCTAAACTCTTTTTCGCGCTCCTGCTGCTTCGTTGCAAATACCTCGTCTATAATGTCCATACCCAGTGTATGGATTGTGGCAAGATTTTTCTTCAGCCGATAGTACGGCGGAGTTCTGATATACTTGTTTAAAGGAAACGTGTAAAAGAGCATCCCAATATTGTATATCATATCCAGAGCTGCGTTTACAAACGCGACGGCTGCAGGTTCTGGCGGATGGTTGTAGAAACCAAGACGCCGATTGAACAGAAACGAAGAAAACGATTCCACCATGAAATACGTTAACTCCTCGTGAATATTGTCTACTACGCCGTCAGACTTTCTAAGTTGATCTAATCGCTTCGTGAAGTCATTCGCTACAGTATTTAGGATTGGAAATGTTTCCATGATTTCCTTTGGGCGCATCAACTTTGGCGATATTCTCGATCTGTCCTGATGCCATATTTCGTAGTCGTTTGATGCGAACCCAAGGCCGTTGTCGCCCTCAATGATTTCGGCGAGGGCATCGAAACCGGGCCGCATCTGAAATTTTTTTTCACTGCTTAAAACCTTTTGTATCGCATCAGCGTCGCAAATATTCACATTTCGTTCGCTTAGTAGTTTTTCGCTGTATATCGGACCAAATCTTTCAAAGCGCTTTGCCGCAACTTCAAGAATCGCACCTTTGTTCGACACGTAGTCGGGAATATTTTGAAATGTTCCCCTGGGGCCTGGAATATCAGCAAACGGCAACACTTTATTGTCGGTTGACGACGTGGAAAAGGATGGTAAACGCTTTTCTTTAATAGTCAGCGACCGAGATAATCTGAAGGATCGTCTGAAGTGGAAATTACGTGTAAAGGATGATTGTAGCAATGCCATTATTAAACTGCTCCACACAGCTCGCGGAATATCCTATCTTGGGAATAATAAGGTTCGTTAATATCGCCTGCTTAATAACATGCACGTTAAGACATATCTCTTAATAATAACTCCTCATTATTAAGGCTTAGACACTTTTGGAATGACGTACATTACAGCGTAAGAAGATTATAACAAGAAATTTTTGGCACGATGATTGCCGCATCTGTACTCCAACTTTTATTGCGAAAATCATGAATAATTAATAAGGTTTATACCCAACCAAATTTCGTTAATTAGGTCACATGTACACCCTGTATAACTCCTCATTCTTGAGGCATTAGAAACTTTTAAAATGACGTACGTTACAGCGTAAGAAGATTATAACAAGAAATTTTTGACACGATGAATGCCGCATCTATACTCGATTTGCATTTATTCATACATAATGCCTTCAACTTTTATTGCGAAAATCATGAATAATCAATAAGGTTTATAACCAACCAAATTTCGTGAATTAGGTCACATGCGCACCTTGTATACCCCATACAAAGAAGATTGATAAATATGCAAATCCGTTATTAACTCTAGTGGTTGTATTTTTCTAATACAACCACTAGCGTTTGTGAGTAATTTGTATATTTATTATATATCGCGGCCGTGTTGTATTGAATATAAAAGGACCTTAAGATGCACCATATCTACGACGCGGACGTGACATGGCCCTAGTGTTAGGAACCCACTTTTAATTTGTTTCATGCACGTAGGGCTTTTCAGACGGCGTTGGCTTTGTTTACTAAAACGAGTCTTTAATATTTTAGTTCTGTTGTGAAACCCAGTGTCAAAATAACGCGAGACCCACCTCCTCCGCAGGCCCTTTCAGTTGGGGCAAATATGGCGGGCGGTGATATTTTGCGTGTAGGCAAACGCAGGACAGTATTACTTCACGCCCTCGTCGTAGATTTGGTGCATTGGATTGTATATTTAATATATTACACTGCGGGTCTTGTTGTAAACATTACTTATAAAACTTACAAAACTGAAAAAATGGCCTTTGCCCTTGACGTAGGCTGTTATTGTCTGGCACAGTACAAACATTTTTCTTTGGTATTGGCATTTTTCCAGTCAGAAGGAAGTGTGTTGTATAATTGAACATGTTATTTAAAGTAGGCCTGGCGCAGAACTTTAAACTTTATGACTGAAATGTTATCATATCCAATTGATGTTAAAGAACCTTCGCCCGCCAACGGAACAACGTAAAAACGTGACACTATACTAAGAGTGTCAGAAATATATCTTCGAACGTTTTGCCACTTGAGTCTCAGAATTCGAATTTTTTTCCAAATGATCCTTCTGGAACATTTTCTTCCCAGTATTTCCAGTAATTTAAAGAACATATATATTTTTGTCTGCACAGTCAGCGTACCTATTTATAAAGCGATCCGAAAAGTTCAAAGCCATTTTATACCTGGCTGCATGTCGTCGAAGCAATTCCGAAAGTTTTCACCCCAAACTCTTTCTCTAGGTTGTGACCTACGATAATTTCTATGTAATGATGGCCTGGGCGTTTTTTATCACGCCACCTTTTCTGTGCTGTACTAAAATACGAACGTTGTAACAATTAGCTATATATAATTCGTTAAATCGGCATGTGCTCTAGTACATTACCATTATTTTATCCAAAAAGTGTCATTTTCTATTTCAGTTGCATGCCTCTAATTTCAGTGCTAAGAAAACAGAGCTGGTGATCACCGGTCTCTGAGATTGCCGGCACCTCCTTATTGGGCTTGTAGTTGAAACGTTACGGAAGCGATAAATGAAATTTAATTTTTCTAACGTTACTTCTATTATGATCAGTATTAACATACTGTTCTACAAGGCTAGATGAATCTCCTAACTTAATTAGGGATATATAAAAGTTCTTTCAGAAAAGGACATATATCATTAAAACCCGTTAAAACAAATTTCTCATCATTTAGAGACAAATTTCTTACCATAAAAAAGGGACGAATCAGAACACGCGGGTTCTCAGGCGGCCACTAATCAGGTCTCTTCTTCAGTCAATTGGTTTACCAAATATAGACATGCATGCTGTAGTGTATTTTAAGCAAATAGGAAAATCGTTGATATAAGTTCGATAAAATAGATATAATTTAAACAGATCAAGATACGTCGTATTCCTGATACCGTATATTTTCAGTTCAGCCAATAGGTATCCTGGAGGGTCAACTGCGTTTTGAAATCAAAAAGACGTAATATAAGCAGGTCAGTCGGAAACAAAGTGACTATACGTTTCAAGAGTTTCGTGGTGATTAAGGGGGAATGTTAAATTTTCCCGAAAATGCGACCTCATGCAGCGAGCTGTCTACTGCTCTTGGCTAACGTTAACGCAAAGACTAAATATTAAAATAAAGATTTATCAGGTAAAGCATATTTATTTATAGCATCATCACGCTACATCACAGTGTCAAAACTTGATATGCCTTCTTCGTTGGTGTTTCCATGAACAGTGCTGTCGGGAGTTTCCTGAGGATGATAAAGAAGCCAAGAAAGCACAAGACACGCTGATGATATACCTAAAAATAAAAATTATTGCCATTCATATGTGACATGGTAAACATAAAAAATCTTGGCTTTTGTAACTGCGGTTGTTAAATGTTTCTGACGATTCACAAGCAAAGATCTCTCGAATCCCAGAAAGCAGTGCAATAATTTGTAGAAACATGTAATTTTCTGAAACAATATCGTTTCGTCATCGTATCGTTTGTGAGAAAACAGTGCACTAATCACGTTGCAGCCAAGCATGCAAATAAGTTTTAAATAAACTTAAATAAGTTTTAAGTGATAAAAAATTGCAGGGATAAAAAAACACATGACCTTGCAGGGATAAAAAAACACATGACCTTGCAAGTTTTTTTATTGTTTCTCATTTATAACAATATGGTGAAATGTATTTTATCATATTGCATGTCATACAATTTGATAAATTGTACAATTTTATCAAAACATACAATTTTATCAAAATGTATCACAAAAAGCGCAACTTCTAACGTTCTTACCAATTGTTATTACTCCAAAGATACATATATTTCTTCCAGCAAGATCAACATCGTAATCAAAACACCTTCCTCTCTTTCCACATAGATCTTGCCATAGTCGGCAGCAAATGTCCAATAAATAACCAATAATTATTGGACCTGGAATTAAGCCGATTGTCTTCACCATAACATATTGTATTCCCATTGCGAAAGCTCTTTTGTCTTCCGGAACGCACCTGCAATTAAGAGAGTACGTACGGAGACATGATATATTACACATATATAGTCACAGTGTTTCCGTGCATTTAAATATGTTTATAGTGAAGGAGGAGTAGACAAAATTTATATAAATCAGTATACAATCTCGTTTAACTAATTGTTACTCAGCCTCTTTGCTCTTATATTAGTGAATATATCTTTAATATATAACTTTAATTTGACTGTTTAAAAAATGATTCAAAATCATAGAAATATTCACATGTGAAATTACAAATTATTCAATAATTTTATTTTTAAAATGTACTTTTATTATCAGCACCCAAATAATTTTTTTACATCGATCCGGGGTATGGAGGGTGGTCGCCCTGGTTGCCTGTTACCTGAGAACAACAGTTTGCGATGGAACGGCGGCTGTGAAGCGTAAAAACATCGTAAGAGCGATGAGAAATAGAAAAATGGCCATATTTTCACAATTCCGATCACAGTAACCTTGTATTGCAGTATCTGTTTTGGTAGGACCAGGATGAATGCAAGAACAACTCCCAAACGTCTATTAAAACACAAAACGTTCGAAAATATTTACTCCATATAGCACTGAAAACAATAATCCGTATACCACGATAATCGCAAAAGCCTGAATTAATTTTCATCTACTGACCACAAGTAACGTTCAGTGGTAATATTATAATTCTTCTTTTTCGTTAACTTCGGCAGAAAATGATAAGAAACCATGTGATTCACTCACCTTATTGTTATATTTAGCAGAACAACCTGCATAGCATGGGTTTGCATAGACAATATTGTCAGAGCCACACACGGGTATGAAATGGTCTATTTTGCAGCTACAGTTAATATTACACTGAGAGATGAGTTCATCGTTGCCGTAACTTGTAAGTGCATGAAAACGGGACATGTTTATTCTAGAAGTAAATAAAATTTGTACACATGTATGGAGTGATAGCTTTGCATGAATTTGGAAAGCTAGTTTTGAGTTTGGAAAGAATGCTACTAACGTATGTGGAATATCTTTAAATAACATAGTATTGCCATATTCAATGAACACAAATTTACTATTTCTTATTGTCAAGGACGCGCGAACTGCACTGTGACATAAAGTACATTATCTACGCCATACTACGTCTTCACCTTGACCTACGTGTAAGTTTTTACGCGAAAGAGCACGCTTTAGTCTCGAAAAAAATAAAACAAAAACGTACATTACTGTCCAGAAATAACCTGAAAAAACCCCCGGTTAACCTAGGTTAAACCTTGGTCTTATCGCGGTTCAACCGAGCGAGGTCATCAGACCGAGGTCGAACCGCGGTGAGACGGAGGTTTAACTTGGGCCTAACTCGGTCTGATGATGTTTTCGGTATGATTATTGTGTTGTCGTTCTTCGCTGTTCATAACATTCCGTTCGGAAGCGAACGGCAACCGCGGTCTTATTTTTTCCCTTTCGCCGGTCGTCCGCGGTTTCTATCGGTCGATCGCAACCGAGCCGCGATCGAACCGCAGCCGAATAGCAACCGCGGTGTTAGGTTATTTCTGGACAAGTGGACAGTACTGTAGCTATCAAGTCTTCCGCCGATATCTTACCTATCTGTGTAGACAGTTGAAACTCCAGCCATGTCAACATTCAAACAACCTGGTATCAGTATTGCAAACGGTGCTATGATTGTGGTTATCTGAGAAACGGCTGTGTAGAGAGCTGATTTTTTACAGACACTTTTCACTGAAAACTTCCGAACCACAAAGGAACCTAACAAAACACCAGCTAAATAATAGAAAGAAAATTCTTATTAAAGAAGCCAGAGACGCACATTTACTTTACGCAAAATACGTTATGTTGTAATTTTTACACCCAAATTTAGTTTATTATTTGTGGGCATGGTGCGTTATATAGAATTATAGAATGTTAATTTAGTCTAAACCTCGATATTGAAACTGTATTATTTTGTACTTCCCTGCATGCAAGATAGACGCATAAGAAATTTAATTTACATGTAATTTATGGGAGTCCAAATTCCTCTAAGAAGCATGTTCTTCAAGTAAGATGCAGAAAAACCCGAAAGTAGTTTTAGCCTCTGATTAGTATAGATGATCATCTATAAGACTTGATACCTCAAAAAAAATTATGGATGATTCCCTGTAGGCTGTAGGCTATAGTAAAAACTCCGCCAGTTTTACTCTCCCAGTATTTCACTCATTCAACACCTCACCTCCTAAGGATTGTTTCATTAATTAAATTGTTGTTTCATTATTCATTGACGTGTTAAAACATACCCACTGTTGTTGGCGTAAGAATTGCTGATATCAGAAATCCATTGCTTACAGGATCTAAGTCAAACTTTAATTGAAGTATTTTTCCCAGAAAGGGAACCAAAGCGCCGATGAAAGTGAAGGAAACGGACAGTCCAAAAGAATTGAAAGTGAACGTCCAATTTAAAATTAGAGATTTCATCTCGGGAATTATTTCTTTAAACCTTGCTTTATTTCTGCTGCTTTTTCGTCGCAAATTCCCTTCGCGTATGTGTTTTTCACGTCTTTCTTTTGCTCCGGGTAACGAGCTGGGAAAACCCGATATAATAATCGCTAGCAACCAAAATAGTAAACCAAAGACAAGGAATCCTAACCACCATGCTCCTATCCAACGATGATCTTTTGGTGTAAGATTCAATCCATCTGGCTATAGATTTACAAAAAATACACCTTTTCAATATTTGAAATTCTATCAAGAAAAGGTTCAGATGGAAATTTCAGCAGAACATTTTTTCCAATATTGTATCAATTTGCACGGTTATAAACAGAGGTTATTTTATAAAACTTTCCATTTTATAGTTGCTTTAAGATCCAACATGTGTTGTTGGAGCACGAAAACTCAATTTTTAGAATTGCCTATCATAGGTTTTAGAACTACCCATTTTAGGTTTTAGAACTACCCATTTTCCAATTAGAACTACCCATTTTGGAAAATGGGAGATCTTAGGATGACCCTGCGGTTTTAAGCAAAATATTGGAAATGGTATAAAAATGACATTTTCATCTATTGTTAAAAATGTTTCAAAACAATATCCATTGTATTGTGTATGATTTATGCCCTAAAAATAGCAACTCATGGCTTTAATATCTGTTCCTGGTCCATAGTCTTATATTAGTGATACGATGTATTACAAAAATCCTAAGAAGACCTAAGGAATTATCTGCTGGTAATGATTTAGTAAATAAAGAATATGTAAGGAATGCCATTGCTATTCAATTCAGCGATGATGGAAATTAAGTGTTTCAATAGGCGTAATAATTATTTACCTGTTTAATATCAACATAAACGCTAAGGAATTGTCCGCCTAGCAATATTCCAATTCCTGGTCCAATGAATGCGCTGAGGTACCAAAGACCAAGATACACAGGCATCTGCTTCGGTTCAACGTTCTCATCCAAATAAGAAGGGACCAGTGAATACAATGGACAGATACCAGCACCATGGATAAACTGTGCGATAATAAATATCAACATATAATACCACATGGCTCCACCAGTATTATCGTCACAAGGCTCCGATTGAGACGTTTTGTTGGACAATAAGCACAATCCAGTTTTACTTTCTCGAAAGTCAGGGACGTGATATGGTCCAATCATGAGATGAGGAACAGTGAATAAAAGTACGCCAAAACCTAGGTTAAAATGGAATAATCGTTCACCCAGCCCAGGAATAGATAAAAGATAGACAGATGTCCATCTGAGTTATAAAATTGTCTCAGAGCAGCCATCTTGCTGGCAACTGTTGATTGCGTGATATTCGTCATTTTCATGACACCATTGCTTTTATGCTCTCTAATTTATATCAATTAAAAGCCAACAAATTACAACTAAAACGGCAGAATTAATAAATTAATTTACAGGCAGCCATCAATTAATCTAAATGTTTGAGCGTTCGAGCAAACGTTTTCAAAAAAATAAATAGTCAACCGCAGGAAACCTATAATGATTATAAATCCTTCATAGGTACACCTGTAATCCCCTATTGCGTTCTCAATTGTATTATTCGTATTCAGAAAATATTCAGGGTCTCAATAAGTTAGCCTATCTTGACAATTTTATAGTTTTTCCAAGCAGTGGTATCTCACCTGCAACGACCGCCCCTCCCCCAACCCACTTGATCTTGTTGCCATAGTCACCATAGAAACTGATAAAAACGACAAAGAGAAGGGCGGCGATGTCATTAGCGGCTGCAATAATCCCCAGTCCTTTACTGGATAGGCTAAATCTCTTCTCAATACTTGGTAGGATAAGAACAGGTAAACCGTTCATCGATATTGCTGAAATGAACGGTTAAAGTTAATCCCCAAGTTCCTGTGTAACAGATTCCGGTGTTGGTAAACTCGAAATCGGCACTCGGTTGCACAGAGGCCAAGAAGCATTTAACGACCAAATGATTCAATATACATAGCTTTATCTGAATTTCAAAAATTAGTGGACTTTTTCGGTCACCTTGTGCTGACTGTATACTGTATATACTCTATACCGGTATTTTCATTACGAAGGTCGACCATAGCATATACTGGTGTATTCGACCTTAACTGATTTTAACACATTCCGGCGTATTCCTTAGTCACTATTTTTTATTACCAAGGTCGAGTTCACCATATTCTAGTATATTTGACCCTCAGTATTTTTTATCACCAAGGTGGAATATTCAATATACCGGAATATTCGGCCTTAACTTTTTTGCATTACCAGGGTCGAATATACCATATTCCGGTATACTCGACCTTCACTGAGTATGCCACGTACGGACTACAGGGTGAAGAAACTGACACTATGGAAATGATTTCATTGTTGTTAAGGTGCTCTTAAACTACACAAAAATGAATTTTATTTTTTTTCGAAATATTCACATGGGAATAAATGCAAAGACATACAAAATTGGTAAATAAGCCCACAACTTTCTCATTTCGTCAGTGTTAAAAAAGGTTTTTAAGAAGGAGTTTAAATTATCTAGAGCAAAAATGTTTTATTTAAAGTGGGGACTTTTTGTCCAGCTACGGGATTTAAATTTTTCTGTCAGGACTTTGAAATATTCATACAAACGTTGCAATGTCATTCGCTGTTAATGCTATCGACTATTGAGTAAACTCGAGTCCGTACGTACATGTTTATGATTATAATAAGCTTCTATCCGCCAATTTCAATTATTCTTGCTTCCTTTATAACGGTTCTTGTTGTAAATTGCAAGCATCTACTTTGTAATAACAATTCTTAATAAAAGTTCACAACATCAGTCATCAAATGGGCTGTTAGGGACGTCACTGATTTTTAAAACCGCGCAATGAGGCCTAGGGAATAGGCTGCGCAAGAACGGGAAAGGAAATATATTCATATATTCTTGTTCACATGCAGGAAAGGACATTTTGATTAATTTGACGTTACGCGTATTTGGCCTACATGACACCTGATACGTGTATGTTTACATCGTGCCATTAACAATAATCTAAGGCCCCGTTCAGTATTACGCTATGGTTGAGAAACAATACAATTATACTTTATGCTGCATATTGTATCCGAATAACATGGTTGCATGTAATGCATGAAATTCTAGTAATCATAATGGTTTTTCAAGCATTAGTGCAAACCCTTTACTACGGCATAATTTACTACGGTGTAGTGTTTCATTAACGCATTCACCGTTTTTATATATAAAACGTTGGTCGTTATAGACTCGATAGGCGTTGCACTCGAAACGAGGCGCTATGTATGCAGAAAATTAGTATTAATTCTCCCGAGCTGGTAAGACATGGTTGCAACTTCGCATCATTAGTTCACTCTTTCATTTTAAAAGGGGTTGACACCCCGACATTCAATTAAAGTGCTTGGAATGTTCGAAATGCTTGCATTCGTGAGTACTCTTTAGATTTGATATGAGAAATCTTCAAGGTTCCAATCGTGTTTCAATGAAATCAGACATAAGGTCGTACGGAAATTGCCAATTAGCTACATTTACAACCGACTGTACATGTAAGAGCTAGCTATACAGGCTATTTAATGCATATATACTCTTTGTACGCGATTGCAATCCTATGTCGGTTGATTGAACTTGTCCATATGTTGCCCATATATTACACGACAATTTTGCAAGATTACTGATTAAATCGTCGTAACTCACCTGCGCCTAACGTATATAACATGATGACGACAAGAAAGCATTTTGAATTGGCCAAGAAATTTAGGCATCCTGGTCTAAATTTCCCCCAGCCAAATTTTGACGTTATTCCGTGATGACTTGGTTGCTGTTCTTGCTGGGAAATGGTTTTGCGCATTTGATATGCCATGATCAAGACACTGCAGCAGTGCAGCTCACATGAATGTAATATTAAAGATCAAGTCTATCACACAAGGGCATTAATATATTCCCTTTCTTTTTATCACAGTATTTGTTTTGCCGGTGACCCAGGAAACACCTGGAACGATTCAGGTGAATGACTGAATGTAACCCGAGAACGTTTTTTGGGCTTCCGCTTGTTGGATACAAAAAAGCATTTCAGCAGCCGATTGTCCAGTAGACGATCGGTGAAAGTGAGGTTGACAAGAGACTTCTTGGGGAACATAAACAAAAAGCTTGTTTGCGAATTCCCATGTAAACGCTCTCTGCTTTATATCGATACGACAGGTATAGCACTAGCAGTAAACTGCATTCTTCGGTCTGCACTGGCAAATATTCTATTTCATTTTCCCCACCTTAATCATCATACAATAGTGAGCTTAAGCATGTGACGCTTTTGACAACACAAACGGCACGAGTAACGTGAAAAGACTGGGTCAAGGATTGTGATTGGTGAAAAACAAAAACTTTATTTCCGGTTAACGTACGTGTTGTCAAAAACGTCACTTGCTTGAGCTCACTAATAAAAAATTTAGTCTATTAATTATAGCGGAGATAATTTAACATAGCGTGAGATAACTTTTAGGTATTGAAAGGACTATATATAACGAAACTCCTAGAAGTCATGTAGTCATGCATCCTTACAATAATAGAGTATGCTATATATATAGCTCCTTACAAGAATAGCAGTTTTGTTTCAGAAGGACTTATTTTAATACCTCAAAATCATGTCATGTTTCGTGAATCTTGGGTTCATCCCTAATCATTTTGGACATTTTTGAAAAGCTTCTTATCAGGTATATATATATATATATATATACGTGTTATGATTTAGCTGACCTATATATAATTTGTTCTCAAAAGAAAAATTAAAGTATAGAGTATAATTACACTACATTATAGTTTCACAACTTGATTTGCCTTCTGCTTTCTTGTTTTCTATAACAGTGCTATCGAGACTTTCTTTAGGATGATATAAGAGCCACGAAAGCACAAAGAACACTGACGATATACCTTGAAGTAGAAATTATTGCTAAGACTTGTTTAAAAAGATCAGAAATGTAAATTTGTTGTATTTTTTGCTAGCAAACTGTGTTCCTATAGGTATAAAACATGACGATGGAACAATACCAGAGGTAAAATTTGCAAAGTATGCAATTTCGCATATTTATTCAGGGGTTATATGGGGATAGGACTGTCAAAAGAAGTAGACAAACAACTAAATTTTGAGAAAAATTATAATTTATGCAATTTAAGCCCTTGCAGTGGTGTGATTTGTTTTAATTTCGCTATATTTTTTAGCTTAATGTACCCTAAAATAACGGTTGGTAATTGTTCCCTACCCATTGATATTGCTCCAAAGATACAAATATTTCTTCCAGCAAGATCAACATCGTAGTCGAAACATCTTCCTCTCTGATCACAGAGATCTTGCCACAATCGGCAGCAAAGGTCCAATAGATGACCAAAGATTATTGGACCTGGAATTAATGCAATTGCCTTCGCCATAATATATTGTATTCCCATTGCAAAAGCTCTTTTGTCTTCTGGAACGCACCTTCAAGGAAGTGATGCAGGGGAAATAGCATTAGAAATAACATGTTGTAAGCGCGCATTGAAAGACAAGGAAGACAAATTAACAGAATTTACATGAATCCAAATGTATAAAAATTAATCTTGTTTGTGAAATATTTTATATGGAAATATTAGTATATCTACTAGTATTCTGTGTTTTTTTGGCCACACTACTATTACATTGTGTAAAATAGGTCGGCGTTTCAAAGTATTTGTTTTGAAATGAAACGAAATGAGAAGTTAAGTTTTAGTTTCGATCGATGATATATATATCCGATTTTTTCGTGTATAGAAATGTTATCTCTCGATATTTATTGTTACCTGCTTTAATTGATTTTCAGAAAACCAGTGACATTTATTTAAATTGAATTTTTGCTCAAAAGCAAAGTTTGGACTGAAATTTAACCTTTTCGAATCTTTATTAGCACGTCAGGATAATTTTTGGGGTTTTTTTATCTCTTTAAAAAAATCTGAAAACACAAAAGTCTAGCTCTCTATGATCTTGATTTAAAATAGAAATTTTCAAAATAAGTATTTTGCTCTCAATATGAGGCCTGCTTGCATAACACAGGAAGGGTTAATTTTCACTTTTAACTCAAAAGGGTCAAAACTCTGGGCACCTGTTCGGGAGTGGTATCGACCTATCTGAATTTACAGAACGATCTATTACCTAAGAACAACAGTTTGCATTGGAATAAAGGACGAAAACCGTATTAATGAAGTGACAGCGATGACCAATAGAAAGATGGCCAGATTCTTACAATCACGATCGCAGTAACCTTGTATTGCTGTATCCGTATTGGTAGGACCAGCAAATATACACGAGCAACTGCCAAATGTCTATTGAAACACAAAGAATAACGTGTCATATAGCCGTGAAAAAAAGTTTGAAAAAGTCTCATGCCGATGTTGTCATATCGGTAGGTAGTGAAATTATGAGAATGGAAGAGACTGGAAGGGATGAAATGGAGGTACGAATAAGCTGGAAATGTCGCACCTAAAAGTGCCTGAGGCGATATTCTTCATCTTCGTATTTATCTACACATATTTCAGAGGAGAGAGGCTAGAGGAATGAAATAATCACAAGCATGTATACATGATATCCTTATAATTATGACTCCGCCCTGGACATTATTACCAAGCGAACAAACAACGTTCTCCGTCAGTCTAACTTAATTGCATTAGAGAGTTGAGGATATCCTGGTTATTCATAATATTACTTAAAGTTGACATGAAATCTGTTTGTGATTCCCTTCATGCAATCCGCTATCGTACCCACACTTTAGAAAAATGTAGATTTTTACTTTTCAAACAACGTTTAGAGTAGAGCTAAGTGTGATCTTGGTAATGTTCTTCCTTCTTTTTTAACTACTACATAAAATTTTAACACTATAATTATGTGCTCTACCCACCTTATTGTTGTATTTAGCGGAACAACCAGCATAGCAGGGATTTGCATAAACAATATTGTCAGAGCCACACACGGGTATGAACTTATCTATTCTGCAGCTACAGTTGAAGTTACACTGAGAAATGAGTTTATCGCCCCTGTGACCTGTCAATGCTGAGCCACGGGAGATATTCGTTCTAGATGAAATGAGAATAGATTAATTAAAACTCGAAAAAATCATAGAGATGTTTGGTTATATAACGTATCCTATCCTGATGTATCCCATGACGCTTACCTATCTCGATAGACAGTTGAAACTCCTGCCATGTTGACATTTAAACATCCTGGGATTAGTATAGCAAATGGCATTGCGATTGTGAATATCTGTGAGATTGCTGTGTAGAGAGCGGATTTTTTACATACACTTTTCACTGAAAACTGTCGAGCAATGAATGAACCAATCAAAACACCAACTATTTGTAGTAAGAAAAGAAGGTCGCATTGAAGAAACACAGCAGAAGTTTCGCATTCAGGGGAACCGGGGGGTTGGAAAATTATTTACAACACAAATACGCGAACATCGCAAAGTTATAACGAATCCGCAGGAATAATATTCATTTTTTCTTTACGATCGGAAAGATAGATCAGACATATAAGTCCATCTACTGACAGAAATACTTATCGTGTAAGATGCAAGCATTTAGGCTCTTATCTCGGCCTTTATTACAATTAGTGTTTTCATTCATACCCACTGTTGTCGGCGTGAGAATTGCTGATATCAGATATCCATTGGTCACTGGATCTAAGTCAAACTTTAGCTGCATTATTTTCCCCAAAAATGGAGTTAAAGCGGTGACGAAAGTGGCCGCAAAACATAATCCGAAAGAATTAAAAAGGAATGTCCGATTTAAAATTAGAGACTTCAGCTCAGGAATTAATTCTTTAAACTTTGCTTCCTTTTTACCGCCCTTTTTCTGCAAATTCCCTTCCCGTATGTGTCTTTCGCGTCTTTCCCTTGCTCCAGGTAACGAGATGGGAAAACCGGATATAATTATTGCCAGAAGAAGAAATAGTAAACCAAAGACAATGAATCCTAACCACCACGCTCCTATCCAGCGATGATCCTTTGGCGTGAGATTTGATCCACTTGGCTATGGATTCACATAAAATTAAAATTTTCGATGGTGCATTAAAGCCCCCTAACGTTTAGAAAAAATTTAGATTGAATAAATCCCCTAAAAAATTCCTTTGGTGGACCTTTAGTAAAGTAGTAAAATATTCTTCGGAAAAACGTAACCAACAAAAATAACAGAACTTGCTTTGGTTTGGTGCACGTTTTCCTGGGTAAAAGCGACCATTCCACTCATAAATGGTGGAAATTTGTTTCCAAAATTTATTGATGTAATGTGATTTAATTACGCATAGATATATATATAATGCCAGCCATGATAACAAATTACTCTATCAATCACCTGTTTGACGTCAACATAGATGCTGAGAAATTGCCCGCCTAGGAATATTCCAATTCCTGGTCCAATGAATGCGCAGAGGTACCAAAGACCAAGATAAACAGGCATTTGCTTTAGTTCAACATTTTCATCCAAATAAGATGGGACCAGCGAATACAATGGACAGATACCAGCACCATGGATAAATTGTGCGATAAGGAATATCATCATATAGTACCACATCGCTTCACCACTATTCTGGTCACAAGACTCCGATAAAGACGTTTTGTTGGTCAATAAACACATTCCAGATTTACTTCCTTGGAAATCAGGAACGTTATATGGTCCAATGATGAGATGAGGGAGAGTGAATAAAAGTACTCCGAAACCTATAGATTGAGATGGAACAAACGTACACTACACTTAAATTTTTCTCACGCCACAGCCAAAAATGGGTACCCGTACCGAATGTCATTCGTGCTCGGCCGTTGTATTATATTGCATGAGCATGCACGGATAAAATTCGGTACGGATATATCTGTTTCTGCCGTGCCACATGAATTTTAATAGTTAACAGATTAATCTAGAAGGGGGAAGTTAAAAAATTTGCATATCACTATTGCCGTGCCAAAAGATTGAATTTGGTGTAAACCAGGCTTCTGATAAGTATGCCAGTAAATAGCTTTATATTGAACTCGTATAGTGGCTGTCGAAGATTTAAAATCCGACACCAACTAGTAAACTACTAACCATTCAAAATGAGAGTAACCGAACTTATTTTCGAGTAAAATGCGTGAATAGGTAAAATATCGGCAATATTGAATCGCCATTGGTACCATAACAACGGCAATGACGTCATGCTTATGGACAATCTCTGACTGTTAGACTCACTGAGCTATATAATAATTCCTGGAGGACCGGCTCCTAATGTTTTTTTCTCAAAAAGTGAAGCAAAAAACATGGCGGACTTCGCCCTTCTGCGCTTGCGCAGAAGCTTTGCTGACGCCACATGGTCCCCTTTGCCCATGGTAATTACCACTGACCAGGCTCAAATATGAGCCCGCTACAAGAGAATGCTCCCCCCTGGTTTTGATGAATATTTTTGTTTTTGCCGTGAAACCTTCTTGTTTTGTATTTTTCGATTTATTTTTCTGCTACAAAGGCTTGCAATAAGGCGTTTATTTCAGTTATGTAGGAGTCGTTGACGCTGTTTTGCCAATGCCAGAAATAATAAATATTAAAACGCAAAAAAAATTGTGGACGAAGGATTTTTATACGATTAGCTGACGGGTTATTTTATTTATTTATTTTCATTATTCATACATATTTTCTGTGTAAAATTTTTAAAATACTTGAATATTTTTCGAGTCTTGTCGGAAATTTCGATTATCTTTCGGATATCAATCGCCGACTAAAGGTTACCGGCAGAAAATATGTGGTTATATGATGTTTTCCTTAGAACATCATGCTTATGCTTATCAGCCCATGCATAACTCAAGGAAACAAAGGCCAAACCTCATGCAAAATGCTGGGTGGCTGATTAGTAATAGTATTTCAAGATATATTCGCATAGGATATTTTAATTTAGGTCATTATAGCTATAAGTTACCCATATCTTAAGTACTGTATCCCAAGTAATGCACTTTCAAATGGTTCCCTGCTTGACTCAAGAATTTGAGTGGAATCATATTCCAGATAATGCAAAGAAAGGCTATGGTAAATAACAAAAGTTTGATTATATATGGTACCAAGAAGATTATGGTACTAGTTGTGCTATCAACAAATGTCTTACTGAATTAATGAAAATGCAACTAAGCCTATTCATTCCTCCATTAGTCTATAATCTATTAACCTTCAATTCCTGATTAGCCCTATGATAATATTCCTTGTAATGGTAGGGAGGGTAAAACTTTCCAGAAAATTATAAAAGTTGCAGCAAATTGAAAACAAACTGCTCAGTCAATGCATGTCTGTATAAATTTATTTTTCATTTAGATAACTATTGTAACTATAACTAACAAAGTCAACATGGTAAAATTAACAGTTTAATGTTCCAATAATTTGCAAAAAGCCATCCCCAAATTTCATAACCTCTTTATCCTAAAAAAGAGAGATCAGACCAAGTTTAACTGTACTCAACAGAGTACACCCTGAGGACAGAACCAGAGAGGAGTAGAAATCATTGCAAATTAACAAGCTTGAATCAAGCTTGTAGCTTGATTAACAAGGTGCAAGATGCCAAGAAAGTCTATAAAGCCATGACTTGGCAAACAAGATAGCATACTGGACTTTTAACAAACACTGTTGAAATCTAACAGTGAAATATTTTGTATCAGCACTCACACAGTCATCACGATTAATGTTTTAAATTCATCTAAAATAGACTAAGGATCAATAGAGAGACTAGTAGATTTACTGGGAGAATTGAATATTGATTTATCTTAATTGTTTGAATGAAAATACTCATGAATTGGCATTAAATATGAGTGAAAGCTCCAGTGCCTGACATTTTCAAATCCCATATTAAAGAGTTCTAATAAAAAAAACAACATAGCCAAAACTTAAAAGATCAGTTATTGATCCTTTTTCATAAAATATAGTTTTTCATAGCGTAACTAAGTCATGTACCATTGATCAAAAAGGCTGAAGCATATTTGCCGTTTTTAACATTAATTTTAAAGGAATTACTGCAACAGACGCTTTGGTAGTTGTCTATACCAAAGGCGAAAAACGAAAATGTTGTGAAAACCGGCTTACCTGAGGTAAAAATTAATATCCCGATAGATGAATTAGGCCATTCACAGCATCATAAGTAGAGCAAGAAACCACTTCTCCATATAACTTGTTGAACAGTGAAAAAGAGACTTTAGATGAAATGCGGAGAAAATATATGCCGAAAACAATACCGAAAACCGAAAATATTTTCATAAAAATCGGGAGGGTGATGGACACGTTTTTGACTTTGTATCGCGGTATGTCAGTGGTAATTACCATGGGCAAAGGGGACCATGTGGCGTCAGCAAACGCCGAAATCCGCCATGTTTTTTGCTTCACTTTCTGGCCAGGAGCCGGTCCTCCAGGAATTATTATATAGCTCAGTGGTTAGACTGCTTGTGAACATATCTGGAAAATTTCATTTTCTTCAGCAAGAAATCCCTGCCAAAATTTTGAAACCTAAATCATTAGCTTAAAATTTTCCTAAAATTGTGGGGAGCCACCTTAATTATGCCAGGGCGTTTATATATATACAAAAGCATATAAGGGCGCTTATATACGTATATAAAGGCGCTATATTTTGCTTCCAGAAATCAATTTATGCGCTTCTGAAAACTGAAAATTCGCGTCGCGTTGCCGCATCGCGTCCCGTCTGCGTCGATCTATACGATACCTGCAACACATGCTCCTCCTCCAACCCACTTGATCTTGTTGCCATAGTCACCATAAAAACTGATAAAAGCAACGAAGAGAAGGGCGGCGATGTCATTAGCAGCCGAAATCATCCCCAGTTCTTTACTCGATAAACTGAATCTCTTTTCAATACTTGGTAAGATTAGGACAGGCAAACCGTTCATCGATACACCTAAAAATGTGTTTATTTTTCAAAGGTGTCCACTTTTCTGGGTCACCGAAGAGCAATTATACTGCCAAGCTATTCAAAATGAAACAATAGATGAACTCTATAGCGTCCGGTCTTTTTGTTACGGTTGATGTAGCGTAAAAATTCGGCAAAGGCTAAAGATTATTTCGCAGGAGCAAGAGAGGCCACAAACTGTGTGATTTTGTGCCTTGAGATTGGCCTTGATTTGGTGGTAGAGCTATTTTTACATACAACTAACACGCTTCGCGAGGTAGTCACATGCATGGGATAGAGAAAAAGAATCAAGGTATATGTAGTGCTGATGTTTCTTCTTGGTGTTGTATTGTTGAGCAATTCTTCAATGTATTGTCTTTATGGTATTAAATGCTGTAGTGAACTGAATTTCAGTATAGGGATCATGTTGAATTGACTTATATATAATGTATGCTTCTTTGCAGATTGGTTGGTCAGTACTGGCATGGTATTGATTACTTGGCGTTATATTTGGAAACGGAAAGCGGAAAGTACGTATGCATTCTTCTGTTATATTTCTAGCAAATATTGTTCGGCGGCTCTCTTGTCACCTGGGCTGTATTAGCCTTGACATGCATAGCCTATCGTTGCGTTATGCGGGTTCACCAAACCATGTCATATCCATGTCAAACATTTCAATTGCTAACTTAGTTGATTTAATAACAACTGAGATATTTAATAAAAAGTACGTTCTGTGCATGGGGAAAATTCGTTTCAAGGAAAAACAAAATCGAAAATATTGCTTCATATAGCGTCGAAACCACGTGTTCCGCGCATGGCTTTGCATGATGACATAACTATAACACTGCATAAATTACAATCTCGCAAACTACGCACTTGTGCTGGTAAATCTAATCAAGGCCGTAGCTAGATTGGGGGGTGTATATTCATATATTCATGTTTATTACTGTAGGAGCAAAAGCGTACATACGAAATCAGTCGGGCATAAGACGAATAGTTATATGAATATACACCCCCCCGAATTAAGCTTCTAGCTACGGCCCTGAACCTAATGTAGGTTCGGAACTGCTAGTCATGTTTATATGCTTATCATAAGAAACTTACGGTACTGAGTATACCACGGGAAATTTAGGTAATTAGATTATGCATGCATGGTAAAGGCTGCTTTCCACTTACGCGTTTTTTATACGCACGTACACGTACGGAAAATTTTAAATGCTATTAAATTTTTAAAATTTAACATCCAGGTCAAATAATGCATACTAAAATATGCAGAAAACTATGTTCCTTCGATTTATTCACAGAAATTATAGTCTTAGAAATACAAATGGCAAACTATTCGTTCCTAAACCTAAAACTGACTATCTTAAACGCTCCTTCAGTTTTAGTGGAGCTTCAATATGGAATAGCTTGCCTGAGCCCTTGCGTCTCTCTGAATCTCTTTCTTCATTTAAAAGATCTCTAAGAATTAATTGTAATTCTATTTAGCTTAATCCGACCCCCACACGGCAACCTGGTAGAACAGTAGTTTTTATATATCGTTACATAATTTATATACTATAGTTTAGAGTAATTTATCATCTTTACATGTATTTTACTGAATGGTTTACCGTGTTTTAAATAAAGGCGATGTATGTATGTATGTATCAGGATTTAGACTCTACGTGCGTGTACGTGCGTATATGAAAAACGCGTAAGTGGAAAACAGCCTAAAGCATGTTTAAAAAACACACCTTTAAAAAAGACTAAGTGAATGAATCGAGGTAACTTAGTTTTCTGCATATTTTAGTATGCATTAGTTGACCTAGATGTTAAATAATAAAAATTTAAAAGCATTTAAAATTTTCCGTACGTTTACGTGCGTATAAAAGACGTGTAAGTGGAAAGCAGCCTTTAAGGTATGCTGTAGCACCCTGGGGAGGATAGTTGAGGTATACTGACACGGTAAAGAGCTAAAGACCTACGAGCGAAGAATAAGGCAAGACTAAGGAGTTGAGTAAAGTTACGGAAAAACATCTGTATGATAGTTCCATTCTATATTCGTATTTGTAGTGCGCTTTTCGCATATTGTTAGTCTCTTTTGGGTTTGGTACAGTTTAAGTTCGGTTTAGGACAGTCACGCTATATTGATTTAGGTTTATGTATTTGTTCTATTTAGTTGAACCATGTTTCACGTTTCACGTTTTATGTCTTTATGTTTTATGGGTTAAATATATATACGGATTATAAACGTTTATGATCTATCATTGTCGTAGCCGTTGGCAGAGGTGCATGTATATATCTACCCATTCTACGTGCGTTTGAACTATTTCCTCACCTCAATTGTGCCCACACTCACACATAACTTTATATATAGCTATATACAATATCTGGACCATTGTTTGCGTTTAATAGTGCATATTAGAGCTCACATCCAATATCGCACATGATTTGTATAAAACTTGGTTTAGCGAAACTAGCACTAGACTATGCCAGAGTTGGTTGATTGTTATTAGCGGGCCTTTGATTTTTTATTTCAGACAAAAAAAAATATTATAATATTTAGATAATCCGGCAATCAAGTTCAGTTTCAGTTTTTTTTCAGTTCAATAACATACAAGTGATATGTAAGACTTTTTAGTCTATTGCTGTTAAAACATGCAGTCACAATTATAATCTAAAGTACCTCAATTAAGAAAGTAAACGGCTAATGATAACGATTGATTATACACGGTAAGTTCGACTTTATTTATCGCCAAGTTAAGCGCATATCTGTGCACTCAGAGGTCACGCACACGCGGCACTTGTGAACTGAATTATCTTGTCTGCGGAGACCAAATTGAAATATTCTGTCAGCCTCGTGTTTAAAATCCAATTATCGAAGTTATTGGGTATTATTTTTTTTATCACACGTGACAAGTATATATGCCATGTGTGCGCTGAAGAAATAAATCATCTGGCATGAAATATCTAATGACACTTCGAAAAATGGAACGATTGAAAGCAGGGCAAATTTGTAAGACTAACTTGTAGATAAGTGGCGGGAATACCCGCGCATTTAACCTCACGCAAGACTCGTAATTTGAAAGGCCATTTGAAATCTTCTCGAAAACCTTCGTTTCATCCGTTGTACCGATGAAAAAGAACAAAGAAAAGCAAAATTAGTTCGCCTCAGACAAATAATCCTCAATTTCGTTCTCCACGTTTAGTTTTTTTATTTGATTCAAGATATCATTTGAATATTTCTTGTAGCATTATTAGTTAACATTTTTTCAACGACTGCTCGCGTTTATCACGAAAGATAAAACGTGTTTGATAATTGCGTTTTCGATACGATGTGACGGAATGTCAAAATTAGATCCCGCAGTCTAGCAATGCGTGTAGATCAAAATTTTCGTACACTGGTGAACTTAGCACGCACACATGTCACTCGTGGGAATTGTCAACTTCACATATTCCTAGTCTGGTGAGAAAAATTTGGGGTATTCTGTCATTCGTGTCGTTAGATTGAGCTTGAATGATAAAATATTCAATTTGGTCCCTGTAGACTAGGAGGTGACAATTGTCACGAGTGACATCTGTGCGTGCAATACGTTAACCAGTTTGCGCCAGACTAAACATAATTATAGGTGCTACTTCTCCACTTCATGTATGTGACCTTAATTCAATTAATTCCACTTAAATTCCATAGATCATCACGTATTTAGCGAATACCTCCAAAAAAATGAACATAGGTAAAAAAATATTCAAAACCTATATTAGTATACAAGTTTTAATCAGTACAAGTACTTGGCGTGTATATATATACAAGGTTTTTGGATATTTTCGATATTTGAATTATAGTGATTTCTGCAAACCGACAGGCTAAAATAATGCGACTAATGTTTACAAAATACTACTTTTTCAAGCTTTAATTCCATAAGTTGTTTGCATGTTGCGCGGCACCATGCAACAACTTAAAAGACTTTCAATTTTGAAAATATATGATAAAAAATTGTCTAAACCGTAATAGCATTTTTGACATTACAGCGGAAAAGAAAAAAATAGATTGTGTAATGTAAAATGACTGAACACATCATCATGATTGTATAAACTCTGCCAACCAAAACTCAAAAATATGCCAAAACGCAAAATCTGGATCATGATTTTAATACCTGTTCTGAACTATACCAAAAAATGTCCCCTCTCATTGAAATCAAGCCTTTGTTAGAATCTGATTACCTGTATTATGATAAACCTAATTAGAAAGACGCTTTATTTGAATGCCTCAACCTGATACCTATGCTATTTACACACTACTGCGTTCATCGTGCATTCAAATTCCAACAAAAGCTTCAGTAGGGTGGACTTTTTTAGGACACCCTGTATATTAACCATTTGTTGGCACTTGATTTGGTGTCGGTATAGCTTGGCTTTGTGAAAGTATGTTTGTACCTGCGCTACCCTGTGTAACATATTAGATAATTTTGCAAAACGTAACAGATTTCTTAATTTCTTAAGGAACACAGCTGAGTGAAACTATATAAGTAGTAACTTTGATCGCGATCAGTATCATTATTATGCGTATTTTTTTGCTATGATTTTCTTTTCTCGTGTATTACGAATTCCAGAAGCGGTAGCAAGAATCGGGGCGCGGAAATCACAGTATATAATGATATATGCATGTTCATGCGCTGTATGTGCACCACATGAAAGAATCTGCGTAATATATTATACTTGCTCACTTCCCTACATGAGTGGCCACCCTGCTGTTCACAATAGAAATTCTTTTGGTATACTTGTATTCGGGAAATTCTTTTAGATTGAATAACAGAAATTTAATTTCTTTCATTGAATAAAATTGGATAATTATGGCGTGAGATTAAATATTAAATTGTACTGTAAATACGTAAATTTACCAAGTCATTATAAACTCGGTAAGCGCATGCAAGAATAAACGCAAAATATTCATTATCATGGCCATGTTAGCTAATTGCATACTAAACTTATTCAAATTTTTATTTTTGATCTAAAGCGAAATAAAAATCAATGATCGATTGTTTACACTAACCTGCGCCTATGGTGTATAACATGATAACAACAAGGAAGCATTTTGAATCGGCTAAAAAATTTAAACACCTTGGTCTAAATTTTCCCCAGCCAAACGTCGAGGACATTCCATGATCACTTGGTTGCTGTTCTGCAGGCATTTGCTTTTGCTCGTTTGATAGATCATGATCAGTATAACCGCCGTTTGAGTCCATGGGAGAATTATTAGGAAATGGTACTTTATATTAGGACGTCCTATTTGCGTATCATCGCAGTATCTACCGTTTGTCGTTCAGTGAACTCATAAATAGCTGGAACGATTGGCAGATTGTAACCGGAGAACTTTTAAATCGTGTTTCCACATGCTTTTTGGCACTTCACTAGATGCAGGTAAATTCTAGAGGTTTAAAGGGGCTTAATTTCGAGTGGAATCATACACACTTCAAACTGAAGCCAGGAACAGTGAGTCAACTATAGGTCCCCGGCAGGAATCGAGCCTAGGTTTTTGCGATGCGGGTGTAATGCTCTTGCCCCAGAGCTACAGAGGTAGCTGACAAGAGTAAGCGTGGTTAATGTATATATGATGGTAATTCCGTGTTTCCACATGTTCGATTAAACCCGATAAAAACAGAAATCCATGAGTTTAGATTGGGGAAGAAAAAAGAAAATAAATTGCTGTATGTGCATTTGCATAAAGTGCGATGAGATATTTATTTAGAAATTGTATAGCCCATTCGCCTAAATTCTCTTATGCATTGGATTTATACCTGATGATATCATACGGGGATGCAGAATTGGGTTCAACAAGGTTAATCATGCATATGCCCAAAACAATGAAAATCACAGAAAATATCGTGTTAATTTTTCTTATTTAATTGTCATCATTTTTACTGATTAAGTCTCGCGAAATTAGCGGTGTATTCGCCCTCAGAGTGTGAAATGGTTGTCATTTTGCTTCATCAGAAATCCAAAGATAAGAAGATTTTTAAATTTGATTTGACGTGATGAAGGTGCTTTTTCAACCTGCTTCCCGCGTTTTCTTTCCGGCCTGTATTTTGGTCAGAGGTTTGTCCGCATTTGAACCAATCAAAGTCGCACACTATTATTACATGTCATCCTATTAGTACATATTATTAGCACAGAGAACGGAGCGAAGTAAAATGACTCAAAATATGAATCACGCCAATTTCATCTAATTGACGCAATTTCCGCTTATATCGTTATGTTACGGATTTCGTGATTTCCAGTTAGGAAAGGGTGGCGCCCATGGCGGTTAAGGGTTGGGTTCAAAGAAAAAAATTTTCGTGCGCGTACCATAACGACAGTACCCAATTTCATGCAGGTGGAATCGTTGATTAACGTGTTCAATTGCGATTGCGTTCAATTGAGAATCTATAGACTTCGACTTAAATATTTTGTATTAATTAACTGTCCTAGCTAAGTCACACAACTAGTTACATCACATTCCACAAATAGTTACATCAACGCAGTATGTTGTAATGTGTAACCATATGGTGTAACTCAATTATATACCCGTTAACATTGCAGGCTTGCATGTATTTGGAAATTGGATGGCCTGATCACTTCTGACGCATGGAATGTAGTTTGTTGTTGATAAACCAGTACTGCACGCATTGGCTTTAGTTCACTGTCCATGTTCACGGCTAGTCAACAGACCATAAAATATCCATCAAAAATTGTGTTAATTTAATTGGATCCGACAAAATTGGATCGTGCGTGTAAACAAACCTACAGAATAAAAATAGCATAAATTGGCAGTCAGTCACGCACACCGGAAGATCTACTGTGTAGCTTATTGTAGAGATTTTTTTTGAGAATTTGCTGTGTATTATTAGCAGTTTCTGTCATTCGTGTCTTAAAATCCAATCATCAGATATATAATATAAAAGATTTTTAATCACGTTTGACAATTGTACCTAATGTGCGCTGAAGCAATTGCAAATGCGGATAAATAATTATTCGGTTTGAATTATGTAAATGTATCTCGAAGTATGGAAGAGGTGGAAAATGTTTCAAAAAAAGATTTTGTACAAATATTATAATTCGAGTCAATTACAAATTTTCATTACATCGCTTCGCTTGTTAATTTCGGCGGGAAAAGTCCCGTTTTCTATACAATTTTGGTATAAATTTCGAGGTGACTGGTCAAAATTCTCTGTTTCTGAAGCGATAGTTACTGGTGATACTCGCAAGTAATTATAAAAGATGCAATCATGTCGATTCAAATAAATTTAATTCGAATAAGTTCAATTCAATGAATTCAAATCAATTCAATTCAAATCAATATTTAATCAGTTCAATTCAACTCAATATGAATCAACTCATATCAAATCGATTCAATTCAGATTGAATCAACAGAAATCAATTCGAATTAACTCAAATCCAGTCCCTTACGAATACAATCATTCCATGTGAATAAAATTCAATACGGATCAATTCAATTCAATCAATATAATTCGATATCATCCGCAATTTAATTGAATACAATTCAATCGAGTACAAATCAATTTAATTTTGTACGAATTACTTTCGAATCATTTAATTAAATTCGAATTAGCTCAATTTAAAGAAATTGAAATACAATAAGTTCATTTCGAATCAATTCAATTCGGTATCGATTCGATTCAAATAAATTCGATTTGAATCAATTCAAAACAACTCGGATGAAAATCAATTCAATTAAAAAAAATTCGATCCTAATTAATTCAGTTCCATACATATCAATTCAATTCGTTTATCGGCTCATTTCTGATCAGTTCAGTTCGAATGAAATCAAATCGAATCAATTCAATACAATATATTTTTAATTTATATCGGATCAATTCAAATAAATTGAAATACAATCATTCCATTTCTAATCAACTCAAGCCTATATCAAATCAGGAATTCGAATTAAATCGAGTCAATTCTATTCAAATCAATTCGAATCAACTCAATTTAAAACAATTCAAGTGATCAAGTCAAATCCATCCAATGCATTTCAATTGTATATCAATTCTATTAAAGTCAATTCAAATAAATTCAATTTGAATAATTCCAATTCGAATAAACTCAATAATTTGAATGAATTCATATCAATTTCAAATAAATCCAATTTAAGTCAATTCAGTCCAATATCTTTTCAATTCTATTTGATTCACAACAATCCAAATGAGTTCAAGTTGAATCGATTCATATCAATTCAATTGGAATCAATAGAAGTAGATTGAAATATATTCGATTTAATTCAGTTCAAATATATTCAGTTTGAGCCAATTCATTTCGAATCAATTTAGGTCCATTCAATTTGAATCAATTTAATTTCAATTCAAATCAAATTCAATTCCAATCAATTTAATTGTATCTGAATTCAAATCAATATCAATATGTAATCTCGTTCCCAGGCAACGAAGACCCTGACGTAACATTTTGCCCGAATAGATATGAGAAAACTGTCACTTTACTCTTTATATTTGTGGTATTTGAGCATTCGTATAATTCATTAATATAAATGATTACACATGATGAAACCGAATTCCTGGACCCGGAGCGGTGTATACAGAAGACCCTGAGAACCAGGTTGTGAATTTAATTGCACTGAATCCAATTAGAAATATTTCAATTCCAATGAATTCAATTCGAATAAATTCAATTCGGATAAATTCAATTCGAAATAATTCAATTTGAATCAGTTAAATTAAATTAAATTCAAATCACTCAATCCAATTCAAATCAGTTGACTCTGTATCAATTAAGCTCTACTGATATTGATTAGATTCAAACCAATTAAATCTAAATTAATTGAATTTGAATCAATCAGCTCAGACTTTCATATGGTTTGCTAGGGGAAGAAACTATAAAACTATGACATATTTCCCCTACGCAATACAGCGTGAATAATTTCAATTTAATTCAATAACAATTGAAATTGAATCAATTAAATTCATATTAATTATTCCTTTTCGATTCAATTCAATTCAGTATCCATTTAATTCAAATCAATTCATTTCGAATATAGTCAAATCGGTTAAATTTGATTTAATTAATGCAATTAAATTCAATTCAATGTTGTATACCAGTTATTTTGAATGTTTCCAATTTGAATCCCATTCAAATTCGTATCAATTCAATTCGCTTCAGGCAATTCAATTAATTTAAATCAATTAAATGCAAACTAGTTCAATTCGAATGAAATTGGAATCAGTTCAATACCTAAAAGTTCTATAATTATTTTTCGGTATACAAAATTAAATATGAGTATTGCTATTTTCTTGTCGTAATTGGCGCTAAACAAACGAAAAAAGAGTAAAAGTAAGAAATTAATGAACGCAGAATGTATGAGCGATAATCAATTCATTTTAAGGATCCGTTACCGGCTGTTATTAGATACCGTAATATCATGTAATTATAATATTATATATTCAATGAACCTGTTAACCTTACATGCATGAGTAAGGAGATAGTTGCGGAGAACCTCTTTCCGCAAACCAACAACGTAACCGACATAGCTTGGTTTGGGGATAACCGTTGTTGTTTTTTACTTGCTTATTCACCCTGTATTGCGTAGCGGAAATATGTCATAGTTTTTCTCCTTGCAAGCGATATAAAAGTCTGAGTACAACTCGACAATTCATGCATTATTCAAAAGGAGCTAGCCTGAAAAACATCATTGCTTTAAAAACGAAATTAAAGAAGTTACATGAAAAGAAACACAAATCAAAAGAAAAGAGAACCGTTATGATAGAAAGAATAAAGAATTGTCAAGATATTCAGAGTTGTGCTCAGACAGACAAGTTGAACGGTATAAGTCATTTTAATTAAGTAGTATTACATATCAAAAGTTAAAAAGACGGTAATTGTTTAACTATAAGTATAGTATCAAAGAATAAATAATTGAAAAGTAATCGGTTTCACAAACTTTGTTGCGAGCGAATTGAGCCAAAAGCGCAGCCAAAAGTATCAAGCCGGACCGGATCGTAACACGGCCTTTTATCAAAATTGCCTATCTTTATTCGTTAATATGCCTAAAATATGTATATCGTGTATATTTGTGAAAGAATGGAGTTTATCTGTCTCATGATTAATTTTCTGAAATAAAAATCGACTCGTGACTTGACATAAAGGAAAACTTGTGAAGCAGTGGT